CTTATATCTAAAATGTGTTCTGTTATCTAATTTTGACCTCAATTATCAAGATGCCAATTTTTCTTCTGCAATAACGAAAACGTTGGAATTAAATTTTTTAAACAATAAGAATTTGTTTATTAATAAAAAATTTTCAACATTAAAAATCATTGTCTCTGTCAAACTGATAAAAAATGAAGCAATTAAAGCACTTTATCTAAATATTATGAGATTAAATAGAATTTTAATTAATTACTTCCATCAATTTATGTCATGATGTGACCATTTTAATTAGTTAATGTCTCCATTTTAACAAGATATATAATAATAAAATGACTATCTTTTGTCTACATCTGTCTTTAAATAGTAGCTAATAAGTAATTGTAGATGAGTATAGTAATTAATAATCAATCAATTTATCAATCTTGTATTCACCTTTATGACCATCTATTTACCACAATAAGTGATCAATTAGTAGACATGATCTCTGGCATAGCAAAATACTCGTGATGAGATTCGTTTAAATGATTGGAAATGCTAATGTAATCAGTCCTGTTGTCTTCAATTCATCAACTATTATTCACTGGGTGAAAGAATTTTTAAATTATTTTGTTATTGTTAATAAAATGAAATAATATTATTTTTTTAACATTTCAATATTTGATTAATTAATAATAATTATTATTATCTAACGTAATGTGAATTAATACTTATATTTAGTACATTTAGTATTGAATTTCATAGACCAACACCTATTTAATGGAATCCTAAAAATGTAAAATGATATTCAAAGTACTTTCATAACACCTTTGAATGTATGAAAATTAAATTCGTAAAAAATCTTGTTCTCTGACTTGATATAATATAAAAGCTTCTATTTCACCTTAACTGAATGCTCTACACGTGCTAAGATATTTTTAGACGCCCATCTTTCCTCATGATGTTAAAACCTCGTTACCTTGGAAATCCATTCGCCTTTGAGCGATTTGTTGATGCATTTCGTTCGACAGCAAAGAAAGGTACGAAATGTAGCTTGATTTTTATTTTAGGTCAAAAGTAAAGCTGAAGACACTCGACATTCTTCTTTACTTTTCATATTCTTGAGGGTATTGAACAGAAGCACAATATCCCCTTAAAGGTTATTCAACATTGTTTTTATTCTTTCCATATTGAATCCCTTGTGAAAACATTTTTTTTAACATACAAATATTTAAATCTATTTTATAGATGTATGTACGGTCATAAGAAATATGTATGAAGAAATGAATTTATTCACGAGAAACAAAAGAGACATTGCAAAGTGTATTAAGCAATAATGTTGATGTTATTCGATGCAAAACATAAATAAATGAAGTAGAAATAAGTTCGGGCAATCGTCGTTTGATAGAAGCTTCAAAGTAGCGGATATTACTGATGGTCATTTCCTGCCAGATGAGAATCTGTTAATGCAGTGCTATTTGTTTTTGTACTTAGAATTTAAATTAAACATTAAATTTTCTATGATAATTTACCATTGTTATATCACTGCAAATCTAAACTTTTAGACACTAGACACTTAAAGTGTTTACAATGTTAAACGCCATAAATAAACTATAGTAATTTTGTAGATAAATTTTAAACACTTTTTACCAATTACCGGTAAACGGTCATGCTATACTTTGTTTATGATATTCAACAATATAAACACTTATGTGTTTAATTATTAAACATTTAAAGCATTTTGAAAAAAAATTATTTAATTGAAATAATATTATTTATAAGTTATTCAAAAATTTATTAAATATAATTATGTATAATAATAAATATTACTTATAATTTGAAAACAAAAGTTAATTTTTGTGTCTTAAGATTTGAAAGATAAAACAAATTTCCAATTAGTTGTATATTTGTATTCTTAAATGTCAACACATAATATTTGTTAAAGAACTTTAATTTAGATAAACTCATTTAAAACTATTAAGCAACTTAAATGACTACTTTTAAAAACATCGTTTCGAAAATGAAAGATTTCCGTCAATAAAGTCACACTTTTTATGTACACTTTATATTTTTAAACAGTAAAATAAAAAAATAATGATTTATAAATCATCTCTTTCTTTTCTATTTATACAATAATTACTTTGAACTATTTTAAATAATCATGCAATTGAAAATACTTAAAAATATTCATCTAAATAATCATTAGTGTTTTTAAAAATAAATATATTTACAAACATTAGTTTCCTCTTAGTATAATTTATAGATTTTATATTAGAAATGTTAATAACCGTCTTACCACAATCGATAACAATATATACATATTTATATACATCTATACAACGTCATCTCACCCCCTACACATTATGTTACCTCATCACAAAACATATTCTATTGTGTTTTTCGGACCCCTGGTTGTCTTCAAAAATTTACTTCTTTTTTATTCAACGCATTGAATATTGAGGAAGTGATTAATAAATATTGTCCACCATTAATATTGCAAAAAATACGAAAAAAAAATTACTTTGTTATAAATGTTTATAATTCATCTTTTGTGACAATCTAGATATTTATTCTTTCTTTATTTGTTTCCTTTTAATTATAAATACTGTAAAATAATTATATATCTCCATCTACATATGTATTAATTGACAAACGACTAATTTTGCTGATTTGTTTATGTTTAGTATTTGCACTGAGAGAAGTATATAGTTGCATTTACCATTAATGGTTCGAAAAGGAAATTAACACAGGATTGTAAATCCAACTATAGAACTCAACTATTCATTTTTTAGAGTGCGACTGAAAGCAGTCTTGATCAGACATCTTTCTGAATCTGTCATAATTTATTTCTCTTTAATAAACATTTTAATTGGTTTTACTTAGTTTTCATTTCGCTATATGTTAAAATACTCATTTCATATGACTCTAGATTTTATCACAATTTCACACAAAAATAGCAGCCATTTAACCGGAATATTCATTAAATTTTTTTCACTACAATATCCTTCAAGAGTATCACAAATTTGAATAAAAAAAACACCATTTTCCACTTTCTCATGTATATTTTTCCTATACATTTTACTTCACAATCTCGTCTTTTTGCCTTATTTTGCAGAAATAAAATTTGAAAGAAGTTTAAACTCATATGTTACGAAATAACTGATGACCATCCCAGATATTTATTGCTTCAGATATCTTTTGCAATAAATCATACCTTGAACTCAGTAACAGTATTAGATTCTGGATTTTCGGTTGACCAAAGTTTATCAAAAAATTTTCCTAACAACAATCTGTTACTTCTTTCACAAGCTATTTTTATATTTGTTCTACTACGATATATAATCTATTGACAGCATCATTTTTATTATTACTTCCTTTATACAACAGTATTATGTTTATCACAATTTAATTTTAATTGATCGTCATAAAATTCTCGATTAACGACCTGTGTATCGTATGTTCTAATATTAGCAATTTATATTTTACTTGATTATCCATGGAATCAAATCTTTTTAACACTCTTAAGTAGAAGTGAATTTTTTCAATTACATTCTATCCATAAATTGTTCTTTTCTTTTTAATTAACAATTATCATTTAGTTTTAACACATATCTAATTATACAGTACCCTCCAAAAGTTTGTTAAAATTATTTATGATTCTTTTTTATAAAAGACTGTCGTCAAAAATAATTTTTCATTCGACATAAACAGCACAATTTTCATTTCAACTCACTGTTGCTCTAGAATACTTTGTTGTAAGTAAGAAAGAAAAAATACCTGAGAATTTTTACTTTAATATTTCAACTAACTTTTGGAGGACACTGTATTTGCTATTATCCATTGAGAAGAAAGTAATTTAGTACTCCTAAAAATAAAACAGTAAACATGATTGCTAAATAGTGAACATAATTTTCACTGTTTCAATTTAGGAGAATAATATTTTTCAAATAATACGATTCAATAGGAATTAATCGTTAGATAAATTTACCTCAAGACTCGCAATGTAATTCATGTTATCCCCAAACCAGTCAACATAACTTGAAAAAATCATATCTCTACAATTAAACGCCTTTTTTTTGCTAGTTAAAAAAAAAGTATCAAAATCCTTGTGAAATATAAATTTGATGTTCATTAAAAAAAAAAATTTCCTATCTCGCAGTTTGTCTGATAAAACAGATGGTTCAAATCAATTCGATTTAGCTGTCAAAGATAGATTTCAATTTATAGATTAACGGAATAGAATAAGTTTTTTTGTCAGACAATCACTTGAATAGGGTAACGAGGCTTCGAGAGTATGCGAGTGGACGAAATCGAGCGTTTCCATTGCATCAATCTATATTTTCAATACTATCTTGTCCATTAGACTTTTATGTACCAACATCAACAAAAATATATCTTTTAATTTAAAGGTTAAACAAAAAACCTTTAAACAGTAAAATAAACAGAAAATATTCTATATTCCTTTCGGAAAGTTAACCATTTTTTCCTTATTTCCCGGAAAGAAAGCGACAGATTTTTTCCCTCAAAAAAAATACAATGTGGACTAGCACTTTTCTAACCTAAAAACTGCAGAAAAAGTTGACTTTTGGCGACGATATGATAAAAATGAGTATGTTGACTGTGCGAACAAAATAAAGCATCTTTACCTGAGTGTTTGCCACCCTTACCTACATCTCAGGAAGCAATAATACACCCAGTTAAAAAATGCGCTATTTTACTCCCTCGGTCAACAATCCCCTATTACCGTACGCAACAGTAGAATAAGTAGTAACGACAGTGCGCGGTCAGCCAACATTTCTGATGTAATTGGCTTCATCAATTATAATGTGTGATTACTGCAAAGCCACTTCGTATTACATTCTAATGTATAACTCGAATTCCGCAAGCGTAATTGAACAATAAATGTTACTGATGTATTTATCTTCATCATTTATTTACACTAATCTTTTTCAATTACGTGCAATGTCACAACAGATTTAAAACTAATATTCATATTTCTCTATTCAATTATTCTGTCGATATTTATCTTTATACATACTCACCGGTTTCTTCTTCAATCGGATGACAAAAATATTTCAGCACTCGGTCAAAATTTTTTGGTTAAAAACAATTGAATAACGTTTTTTTTCAGATTTTATTTATCAAAATATTAATATTATCCATATGAAATAATGGATGGATTATTTTTAAATCACTTTCACATCAATCAGACATTGGGATGATGAATATTCTGAGGCAAATAAAGAAAACCATGTCCATGTATTCGTCATGAACATTACACCACGCGCGTCTAAGCGATACTGCCCAACTTATCACAAACTAGTATAGCGACATAACGTTCAACTGCACCACGGCGCGCACTCAAGCCATCGACCTATCAGAGCTTGATCACATTTGTTAACCACAATTTTTAAGAGTTTAACAGCTTCCTATCTTTTTTTGTTTTAATGCAAGTACGTTACTCTTTTTATTTTTCCTTCATCATCTTATACCTTCACTCAACGAATTATTTGACCATTTACAAAATAAATTCATTTTGATTACACTTTTTGATTTTAAAAATAAATCGGCCATGTGATCATTTTAATATTTATTTCATGGAGATGATAAATATCATACCACTTATGAATATTAAATAATTTCATGAAAACACGAATTGTTAAATTAAATGAAATTCAAGAGAAAAATATATCACACTATGACATGATAATTTATTAAATTGTTAGTGACATTTCTATTTCATTGATTTATGTTGTATCATCTCCACTACATCCTATTTGGTAATTATTTTCATTCAATACTTTTTAATATTTTATTATTTATTAATTAATAAGAGTTTTTAGGAATTATTATTTTTTTTACCATTAACTACACTGCAAATCATGTTTTCAATGTTAAACCCCATAAACAAACTATAGATGTTAACACACCTTGAAGTGTGTTAAAAATGACTACAAGGTTCTATAGTTTGTGTATATCTATTTAACATTGAACTCAAGGTGTGTTATTTTAATACACGTTCGATTTACAGTGTATTTAAATCTGTTACGAAAATAAAATAAAACCAAAGAGATTTAGAAATTATTATTGGTAAACACAAAAAAATATCGTTTATTTTTAAAATAAATTATTTTCAACAAGAAACAATTAATAATAATGAATAATAAATGAAAGTACTAGGTAATGATAAAAAATGCAGTATTGTGTAATATTCAATATACAATATGAGAGTAAAGTGAGTACGAAGAATTTATCAATAAGCACTAAAAGTTCCTTTAATATTGTTTTAAAGATCTGAAGCTTCAAAGTGAAGTATAGTATCAAATGACGAACAAAGCACGAACAAAAGATTCGCAAGTACGTCTGATTTAAACGAAATTTAAATACAACTGAACCAAAATGAAGAGTTGACATTTATATTAATAATACAGTTAATTATAATATTTGCATCAGTAAATTTCAGAAATTCACTAATTAATTTTGGATTAATTATTACGAATATTTATTTCAAAAGATGAATTTATTTATTAATAAACATCAAATAATTAATTACACAAAATCTTTAAATACTATAAATTTAAACAATAATGAAATAATGAAAACGATTCTTTGATGTTACTGAAAGCAGCACATTTTTTTGATTAAAGACATTGTTATCAGCAGTTTATTAGTATTTTCTTAAACGACAAACACAATTGTTTTGTATTACTATAGAACTCTTCAATTTTCCAAGTCATCAACAGGCATTCTCATTTCCGTGTCTTTAATGAAAAAACTCAAAATATTATGATATTAATTATAATTAAAAAATGTTTTTTAAAAAAAATCTAAAGATAATTAAATTCAAAATAAACATCTTGTCGAAATCAATGAGGATCATTAAACAAGTACATCCTCCATACATTCAGAGTGACAATTAAAATTAAATCGTAAAAGATAACAATAATCAATTCAATTAAAAAATTTCCGTTCATATTATTCGATGACAACTGATACTTCTGTTTCCGTTTTCTATTCTTCTTTTCCCTTATTTTCTGTCTCTCTTTATCATATTGCTATCTATTCTTAGCCTCTCAATAATCATCTATGTCTATATTTTTATTGAGTCATTATCTAATAGAAGGTTGTATATTCGTAATATACTAGTTTCATTCACTGAGTATAATAAATAATGAAATTAGAAAAAAATAATCAGATTCAATAAAATATAATTCATAACAAGAGGTACTTTTTTTTTTTTGAATAGATTATTTGAAATATTCAAATGAATTTAAGAAATTTCATAATGATATTGCTTCGACCATTTATAGCATATAGAACGTGAAATAATAGAAATGGTTCTCGATTCTCCGTACGAATTTCGTCGTATGATTGTTATGATAATGAATCATATATTACACCGATAGTTCAATTTCGCATTCTACGTTATTGGCAACCAATACTTAGTAAGCCTAAATTAAATTATGGAAATAACAGTAGACTCAAATTGAATTACTACTGAATTTAAAAAATATATTCTTTGTTTTTTATATGTATATACAAAATAAATTGTTTAAAATACAATATAAAAATAATTCGTTTTAGCCATAAAAAAAAATTAAATACTTTATTGAATATTAATTTTTTTTTTCTTCATCTTTAGTTTTTGGAGTAAAATACATTGAATCGAGAAATAGCTTGGCTAAATCTCCAACAACACTACGATCAGGTAGAGTTTGACTCATTCCATAGATGGCCAACTGAAATATAAAATAAACTTGTGAAAAAATTGAATTGAAACATTTATAAAATTAACAGTTATAATTATGGAATTATTGAATTTAAAATAAAGTTTAAAAACTTATTTATAACTATACGATAAGATTCTCACCCTTCCTTCTACAGGTTCCATAGGATTTTGTCTTATCTCACTTAAAATAGTCTCTACATCTCTTAAAAATGAATCGGCAACTCCAGGCTGTGTGTGAACAAAAGTTACACATAAATGAATTGCAGACGGGAATTGTAGAACATTCAAGTTCCAGCCTTTGGCTGTTAAACCCTCAGAAATTCGATAAATATGGAACTGTTGGGAGCCAAAGGCAATAACTGAAGTACCTGGCGTTCCAAAGATAATGATCTCATCCATTTTCCGTAGCCTGTAATTTATTTAGTAAATTTAATAAATCGTATTCATACATTTAACTCTTTTGTGATAAGTTAAGTGTCTTTAAGATTTTTGATAACATTGTGAATTACCTTGATTCAATATATCTGGTGGTTGCAATTATTTTCTTTGTCGCTTCTAAATAACCGTTATATCCAAAATGCATAAGTGAAGCCCAACACGCTGCAATTATTCCACCCGCTCTAGATCCATTTATCGTCGGAGATCCATAAATACCACCTGGCCAGTCGGTAGTTATTGTAAATTGATGATGTCTATATGTTTTATCCCGATAAAGAATAATAGACGATCCTTTGGGAGCAAAGCCATACTAAAAGAATAAGAAAAGTTTTTTTTTTAACCAAAGATTTAATGTAACGATTTTACTCTTTTCTTTTTTATCTACTACCTTATGGGTATCTGCTGAAATACTTGTCACTCCAGGAAGTTTAAAATCAAAATCAGGTATAGGAAAACCTGCTTGTGGCATAAAACATAATAAGAATCCACCAAGACATGCATCAACGTGTACTGGAATTTGATATTTTAGTCCTAATTCTGAAATATCTTTAATATTGTCCATTGTTCCATAAGGGAAAATTAGGTGTAGATCCAACAAGCTATAAATATTATATTAAATTTTATTCTAAAAAATGTATCTTCTCAGAATTGATATTAAATTAAGTTACTATAACTTACCATAATGGTATTTCTTGAAATAGCTCGTTTCATTGAATCAATACACACCTCATATTCATCAGTAATTGGTACAGTACGTACTCTAATGTTCAAAAATTGAGCAGCTTTATCAAATGCTGAATGAGCAGTTACTGGAATAATCATTTCAGGATTCTTGATACCTCTAACTTCTCTAGCATAATCTCTGTATGCTTTACACACTAAAATAATTGATTCTGTGCCACCAGTAGTCATCTAAAACGATAAAAATAAATATTTAAGTAAAATAAATGAATTATTTATATAATTAGATATTATTAATCAGTAAATTTTTATTTAATTTAAATTACTTACAGTCCCACATGTTTGGTCATCACCATGAAATAAATTACAAGCAATTCGAACAACTTCCGCTTCCATTTTACAAATTCCTGGAAATACGTCGGGATGCAATGGATTGGTATAAGATGCAAGACCATAAACATCAGCCATTAATTTTAACAAATCTTCGTCATTTCTATAAACTGTTCCCGAGACTTTCCCGTTCTCCCATTTATATTTACCTGGAAAATTAATTTTAACAATTTTATTAAAAAATAACATTTATTTATGCTTTAAGAATATTTATCGCAATTCATTAAATAGATAATAAATATTTTATATTAAAAAAATTAATAAATAAGGGAGTAATATCATGCATTACGATATTTATTTGTATAAATAAAATGTTTTACCTAGTTGTACGCATTTTTTAACATGTTCTAAAATTTCATCATGATTTAATCCCTGATTAGGCAATTCACAGATAAAAGGCATATTTTCAACTCGTTCTAATGCTTCTTTCTCAAATGTTTCATTTAGAGAATTTAATGTAGTCTCTATTTTTTCTCGCATTGATGGAATATATCTTATCAATCGAAATACTGTTTTTCTCCCTCTCTCTAATAAACTTTCATCTTCATGACAAAAATTCCACAGCCAAACAGCTCCAAGAACAGAAGTTGTAGTTATTCCAACTATTTGCCAAGGTTCTTTTTCTTTAAAAGTGTCATTAACAATATTTTTTACAAAGTCCATTTTATATCTGTAATCACAATAAATATATTAAATAGAATATTGTTTCAAAAAATGAGTATTAGAAAAAAAAAGTAAATTAAAGTTGATAAATTACCTAAAATATTTCTATTTGACGTCTTAAATCTATCTCAAATGCACGTTGAACTTTGAGTCATTGACTTGTACTGTTAATTATTATTGTAATTCTTGTTAACTTGATGTAGATAAATACATCTACTTATTTACAATACCACTAGTCTACTATATACTGAACACCTGTGTCTGTATGAAAATGATGTCATAGAAGTACCAAAAAAAATGAACAAGCCAGTTAGTACAGTACTTTGACAAAGAGGGCAGTATCAGTCAAGTTAGAAGCACGTGGTTTTTGATTACCCATTATTTTAAAAATAGAAAGAACTAAGTTTAGTTATTTTCACTAATTACAAAATATTATATGTAATTTATTAGGTTAAAAATACGAAAATCATCCTTAATTTTTTATGCTAATTTCTGAACTAATATTTACCATCAATAATATAAAAAATAAAAAAAAAAAATTCTTAGACCATCGATAAATAAAATAAAGAACAAATTGTATATATTAAATGAAAACACAGTTAATTTATTTATAAATAGAATCAATTGTACAGAGGACTTTTATAAGTAAATTTAACAAAATAATCAATTGAATTTAATACAAAAGATTAATTACTATTTTTAATTTTTTTTTCAATTTTTTATTTATTTATATATTTATTTAGCATATATTTATATATATATATATAGCAGGATAGATCTTAGTCACTTTATGTTCATCGTGTGATAAAAATTACTTCTTTAATTATGAATTTTTTTTCTTTTGTTTACCAGTTGTTGTTTTTTTAGTCTTCTTTGATTTTTCCGCTTTCGAAGCGTATTTTTCAATAAGAGAATCAAAAAAGTTTTCAGCTTCACCAGCTCGTTCTCTATTACGATTTTGAATCGCCAGTGCTAAATCATTTGTTGATTTTTGTTTTTCATCTTCTTCAATCTTCAACATTTTCGACAATTGTTCTGCTTCTTTAGCTTCCTTGGCCCACTGAAACAATAAATCATTCAAATTTAGAGATTCTTCGTCATAAATTATTAAATATTAAAATAGTTATTAAAGCTGTTTTATCAGCTGTATTTATATCAAATTTTATGCTTAAAACATTCATAGCTTTGCTAGTTTATTTATAAAACAATCGAATCACTGTGCTTCAATCAACGAGATTAAGAATTTTACGATCTTTAATAGATCTCAACTAAAGAAAGAAATATAGAAAATTAGTATTTATGATATACACCACATGCTTGTTGCCAAGATTATCAAACATATAGAAACAGATGTATTGGAATTTGAGTATCATGAGTGTTAATTAGAGTCTATAATAAACCTTTAGATGAGACCGAAAATATATCAACTGCATGGTTTATTTATTTAAATAAATCTGAGCACACTGATGATTTTCATCAAATTTAAATAAAATGTAATATATAAATAATAGATATTCTAAATCAAAATATAAAACCTAGATTAACTCTTTTTATACTATTTTCTTCCATGTTACTCCTTTATTTTCCAAGTGGATAAAAATTAGGATGAAATAGAAAGCAAAGTCCAACTTGAATCTTTTGATCCTAATTCTATTTTCATTCTTCTGAAGTGGATAAAAATTAGGATAGCCTCATTTTAATCTTATAAGCCTACTTGTTTATACCAAATATCAATTCTGGAAATGGTTAGTCTTGGAATATATGCAAGATAAATTAATTTATATTTTATTTATATAGAAATTAATTTAATATGTTTTGTCTTATGGTTATGAAGAGAGTCTATTCATCTGAATTTAGTTGTTTATAAAAACATTTTATAGTGGTAATAAAATTTATCAGATAATATCAAAATATTTTTTTTTATTTTGATAAGACCCATAGAATATTTATTGAGCTTTGCACTTCTTTCTTTTAGGTCCTTAGTTTTTAATTTATGTCAAAAAGGTTTGAATAAAATTATCCTAAACATTTATATGTATATTTTGTTATAATAATTGATAAATTAATCCTTTCCCATTATCCTATTTATATTAAATTACAATAAGATTAATATTGTAAACTTTGTACAAAAAATATTTAAACAAATAAAATGAATAATAATAAAAATTGATAGTTTTGTTAATATAAAATTACTTAAAGCTTAAAATAAAAAATAGGGTAAATATATGTAGGTATTATACTTTGATTCAGAATATTAATAAATACAGAAATGAATTAAAAATTTTTTTTTCAACATTTTTATATTCATTAATAAATTAAAAAATTTATTTGCACACTTAGCTATCACTTGGTATTAAACATATACATTAACACTAATTAGAATGATACTAAAGAACGATAAACTCAATTTAAAAATTTATTAGGTCATTCAGAGTTCAAAGTTAAACAGCAATTTTTTAAAGAAATTAAATTAAAAATTTGTTATCTTGATTTAATGACATTATTTTTAAAAACCTTGTATATTATATTGTAACACTGATATTAAAATTAATCAAAAAAATAAATGAGGTCCAATTTGATAAAAAAAAAATGAGTCGTGGAATCATTTCATTTTTACATGAATTCTCATACATTAAGAGTAGTGAACGCAAATATCAGTATTTATAATTTCTGGCAAGCTATCTAAGGCACCGACCTAATGTTAGGTTTTCATTGCATAACGAGCATTACTATGAGTCGATTGCTGTGACTTAACACACGAACATTTGATACTAAGTCTGAACCTCGCGTCACCGCTAATCGCAGCCGTCGATGAACTCGATGAGGTGAGGTCTAAAATTTGCTGCTTTGATGGTCAACAACATTAGAAGAAGAGCATGATAGAACAAAGAAAAATAAACAAATTAATGCTATTGATGATTTATTTTTTAATTTTAATTTTAATATTGATAAAAAATATAAAAATTAATGTATTGTCACATAAATTTTTAATTAAGATTAAAATAAATATAATTCTTTTTTTAAATTTACTTTTTCACAAATATGAAGTTTTAGTGATTTTCTTACGATTATATTCTATTGCTTTAACCATTGTTTTTAAAGTAAAAAACGGATATGATGTAAGAAAGTTCAATTATTCAAGAACAGACATTTGCAATTGTAAATTTTAATCAGCAATAATAACCATAGATTATTGTTTAGTAAAAATACATATCAATAAAATGATAATAAGTCAAATTATTAAAGTGATATTTTCTGTGTAAAGCTCATTTCAAAGAAGTAAATAAATTGAAAACATCAAAGCTCCAACTAAAACACAAGTACTGATTGATTTTAATTAGACCGCAAAGAACCCTCAAGAATGGAATTCATAAAGAATATGATAGTATTCATTAATCCTTATTTATTTCAATTTATACTTTCAAGAATGTCACTCTGAAACCATAGCTTTAAGATTTTTTTTAACAATGAACATTTTATTATCACATTTAAACAAGTAATTTTTTTTTTTTAGTAATGGTGATCAATAATTAAATATTTATAATTACTTATTGCTAAAAGGTTGGTTACAATTAATTAATTTAAATCGATTTTAAAATAAGAATGGGAAATATAGGATAGCTAATGCACTTTAAATACTTTCAAAAAAAAGTTTAAATGCACTGAGAAAAAACTTTACAGTTTTTATAGATTTAGTTTTGATGGTTACTTTAAATGATTTCATTGAAAAAAGATATTTCAATTGTATTCGATTATTTTAAATAGAATTATCTGAGTATTGGTTTATTTTTATGTTTCATTTTTTTTTTTTAAATCCATGGTGCCTCAGAAAGTAATTATTAATCCAATTTCACTGGTATTTAAACTCACTATAATCACTAACCAAATATCAAATTTATTTTACTATTTTATTACGAATATTTCAAATTTTTTTATTGATTAAATCAACATTTTTTTGTAAAGCGAATATTTTTTTTTTCAATGTAGAAAAAAAAATTTTTTCAAATGAAATAAAATGGATAAAAAATACATAAAATAGGTCAAAAAAAAAGAGAAAAAGTAGCAACTCAGAATATCTCTCGCTTATCATTCATCTTTGTAATAAAGTCAACAGAGTAGAATGAGTATCCATTACACTAATCATTCATTTAAAGTGTTTTTAATTAATAAAAGTTATAATAGACTACCACCCATGGTGAAAAACAAGAATTCAAGTGTGTTGACACAACTGTGAAATGTTTTTTAACTTAAGCATAACAAAATGCTTAGTTAGTTTGGGTCGACCTTGGTCTCCTTGAAGAGATTCATGTGCAGCTGGCTGTGCGCCCTGAGCTCCGGAAATCGAATAAAGCTCAGCACAGAGACGCGTCTTAAATCCGTGACAGAACACATTGCTCAACTGTTCTCTCACCGTAAAGGAATTCAGATCATTATATCAATGTATTCATTGGTAGCGTGCCTAGACTTCTAGGAAAATACGAACAAGTTCACGAGTTTGCTGGTCAAGAACTTTGATTTAGAATCATAGAAACACTAACTATGAATATATATATTTAATTTTTTATTCAAATTGAATGTTCTAATTTCAAATAGCCAATTAAAAGCATATCCATTCAAGTAATCATGAACAAAGCTTTGCTTCATGAGTGGCAGCAGCGCGAAAAAGCATCACATCACGCGCCCCTCAATCACTCGATATATAATAGTCTAGAAACTAAGCAATGGATGAATGACTCCGATTCGTTATTACATCTAATGACCAATTGTGTTAAAATCCAAAGATTGAAGGTCACACGTGAGCTTCCAAATGGAGTGATAGTGATGATGAAAACGATCATGATAAGGATCAAGAAAATTATACTGATCAAATGATTCTGAGTGGGAGTGTCAGATATTTATCATAAATGAAATCCATTTGTCCCTAAAAATGCTTTTGATTAAATAATAACTGATATTTTGATGAAAATGAATTTCATTATCATTTGATATCATAAATGAAATTATATTAAAAATCCAATTGACATCTATGATACATGCAATCAGACAGGTATTACATAATGTTATTTAGCTGATTGCTTAGAGAATCGCATAGGTAATTATTTCATTAGCACTACGGATGCAGTGCGACCCTCGTAGCTTGTTAATTTCAATTACTATTGTTATCATGAAATATATCATATTTATACTATTAGCATAACACAAAAAGGTCGATTATATTTATATGTTCTGATTCTATCATGATAATAGTAATAAGATAATGAAGAATGATTGATACGTACGCAATTCTCAATGAGCCGTAAATCTCATTTAACATTTCAATGTACTAATCTTCATTTTTTTCATCTCTTCAATAAACATAACACTGATGATGATGAAGTAATTTTTTATTCCGTGATGAACGTAATGTTGACTACTAAATCAATATCTGCAGGTACTGGTTAATAGCTTTTATTTAATCGTTATTAAAAAGGTACTGGAGTTTTTATGAAGCTATGCAAAATATATATCAAGTCTTGTCCTCTTCTCCTTCATTCTTTTCTTCTCCTTCCATCAGGTTTTTTTTTTCTCTTCTCACGACTAGAAGATTCTGGTAAGGTAATAAAAAATGTTTAAAAAAATTATCAAAGCAGAAATGCCACTTGATGTTGATGAGTTACAATTTGGTAATGGTTTATCAGTAGTTGTCACAACTGTTGAGAAGATAGTAACAGGTGGTTTTTCATCAACTTGTTGATAATTTTCTAGAGGATGTGAGTTTGGATACTCTTGTTGTATAGGTGGTCTTGAAGTTTGATAGTCATCAAATTCTTCATGAAGAGGTGATCCATCGGATGGCTCTCCATAAATAGGTGGTTCTGCATAAACTGGTGACTCTGCATAGCTAGGTGGTATAGTTTCTATTGGTGGATTATCAGTTTCATTAAAAACTTCATCTGAATTTGACCAGAAAATTTTAGCAGTTGTAGTTGGTACGACTACAGGTAAAGTATCTTTGTAAGGATCATAAGATGTCCTGGATGGTTGTGAAGGATAATATGGTTCATTGTATAAATCTTGAGATGTTGGAAGTGGAGAGACATAATCATTGGGTCTACTTTCAGTGACTATTGCTGGAAAATTATTTGTTTGATAATATGGTTCATTAACAGTGGGTCTTGTGGTATAAGACTCATGAATTGGCCATTCGTGAGTAACTTGAGTGGATACTTCATAGCTTGGATATGAAGCAGATGTGTAATCATTAGTTGTCGGTGAATTATCTTGACTTGATGGTAAATATTTAGAGTTTGAAGAATAAATTTCTGTGGTAGTTTCGACTGGGTGAGATACTATTAATCTTTCACGGTACATTGGCGTTGACGAATAAGTTGGTGTTCTCCAATCATTACGATTTAGCGACAACGATGATGTTGGTTTTATTAAATCTTCTTTAATTTGTTCCCACTCAAAATCACGCTCAAAATCTATATCTTTTTCTCTTAAAATCTCAGAAATGGCATTAGGACATTTTAAATGTGGATTCTGGTTTAAAAATATTCTTTTTAAATCATTCAAACGTGACATTTCATCAACATTTAAACATTCTATTTTATTTCCAGCTATTCGGAGATCTACTAAACCTGGTAAATTATCAAATACTCCATTTTCAATTGTTTCTATTTGATTATAGTTGAGATCGAGATATGTTAAATACATCAATCCTTCAAACCAAGATGCTTTGACAGTACGTAGATGATTATTATCAAGACGAAGTTGTTGAAGATTTTTTAGTTGTTTAAATGCATCTGAAGTAATTTCAGCAATTTGACAATGGGAACAAGCTAGTACCCAAAGATTGTCCCCAAATCGAGAAAAAGTATCGCTCGTTATACGTTCTAAAGCAACGTTTCTTATTTGAATCTTTTCAGTTCGTTCAGGAATCGAATATATATCGTATGGACTACCATTTTCACATGCATATTCAATCATATCATTATTAGGAACATGAACACAAGTGCTTGATACATGATTTACAATAGCTAAAAAAATTAATATCAATTTTTTTACACTCATTTTTACAAAATTCACTTACACCAATTGTAAGAAATATATTTCTTTTAATTCTGAGATTTTTTTTTTATCAACTAAAGCACATTTTTCAATCAGTTCGAATGTATAAAATATTCAATTCAAATTGTTAAATTAAACTAGAAGAATACGAGAAAACGTCTAAATGATAGACTGAATCGTATTTTCTTGCGACGCCGTTATTTATTTATGACCACTACCCCCTTCTATTTAAAACTCCCTCCTACTCTTAATGATTCTAATCAAATTTAACAACTACCGCCTATCGGTACAGGAATAATATTCTTGAATGTCTTGTCAGAGGCATCTTGTGGACTTTTTAGCAATTTTCTTGCACATTTTTTGTGATAATAGAAACAATGATGATAACCCAGTATAATTCAATCATCACATCGTTTCAGAAAATATTAAATAATCATTTTATACTCACTTTTCGTTTTCGACGAAGTTTTTTCTTTTCATTTTCATGTGTGAATGCTCTGAATGCTGGTACTTCTTCGTCTTCAATAAGTTTTGAGATTATTTCACGGAGTCGCGATTCATCTTCATAATTAACAAAAGGAACTGCTTCAAAAATATAATCCATATCACCTTTACCTGAAAGATAAATTATAGAGCTAAACGTTCTTTTATATTTGTATAAAATTATTAGCTATTATGAAAGGTATGAATACAATGACAATCATTAAAAACAATAAAGTAATCACTAGGTCTAAAGCTTGAAACAAATTAAATTAAAATTGCATTGTTATTATTTATAATATACTATGCAAAAGTTGTAATAATAATCAGAACTTTTGGACTTTTAGAAAAAATGAACAATTAAAAATTCTCTAGACATTGTTAAAAATATAAGAAATAAATGTCTATGAGAGATTAATGATCAAGATAGAGTAGAAATAGTTGGATTAAATAATGTGTTTAAGGAAATTTAATGTTGTAATAGTAAATGGTCAAGTGAATATAAACTTACCATCAATATAAGCTCTTTTGAGATCTTTAAGTTCAGTTTCTGAACCTTTATAATTCTTTTCATAGTTTTCAATGTCCTCAACTGTGACAACTCTAAATAAAGATCGCCAATAATCGGCCCAGTTTCTCATGGCAACTTCTTCACTCTCTTCATCATATTGACCTGTTTCATCGTAAATCTTTCTTTTATCATTGTCACTTAAAACTGAATGTATAAAACTGAGAACTTTGAATTTTTCAGTAGCTTCTTCTTTTGTCTTTTCATCAACACGATCAGGATGGACAAGTAGTGATAATTTATGATATGCTTTTTTTACTAAAAAAATAGATGGATAAAATGTTACAATTTTTGTAGATAATATAATAAATTACTTTATATTCATTAATTTTATTTTAAAATTATAGAAAGGATTACGTATAAACCCTGAAACTAAATTCATCTTACCTTGTTTTTCATCGGCATTTTTGGAAATTTTGAGAACTTCATAGAAATTTCGAGTTCCGAAATATTTTTCACACGATTTAACGAGCTGTTGAGCCATTATTCATAAATTAGAATAAATTTTAATGTTGAATTTATTTACGAAATGTAATCAGAGCAACAACTATCAATTTGACAAGAAAACGATGCAATCTGCCATTTTTACCGCGAAATTCCCTGAAATTATTTGTGGAAGGGATAACCCCCTCTTTCTTCTTCAATTTCAGAGTTTCCATGAAAATTGTCGCTACGACTGATCGTCACGACCTCTATGAACAATCGTTGAAATTCTCCATTTCATAGAAACTAAATTTTTTGTTTATTTATGAACGGAAAATAAAAAATGTCATTTATGTAAATTATTGTATTGAACTAATTGTTAAAAATACTATTTCATATTTATAATAGTGAAACTGGTTCAACAATAAATATAAGATTATTGATATTACAAATACCAACAACTCCAAAAGGTAATATCTATAGTTTTACATGCTCTCGAGCTGAACATCTGATTGTACATACAGACATTCCATAATAATTATTTTATGTGTCATAAAATAATTATTAATCAATTAATTTTTCTAGCAATCTAAGATTTAAAAGCAAGTAATAATTATATTTATGTAATTATTTTTATTTATATGTCATTTTGTTGGATTGGTGAGAAAGTTCAAATTCAATCCTAACTGCTTCAACTTCTCTAACTTTACACGTCATTTATCTAAATGTGTTTTCATAAAATGATTATTATCATTTCGTGATCATTATTTTAAATAATTATGCATTAAATCTACCATAATCCAATCTTAAACATACATAATTACTTAAAAATAGAAAAACTTACAAATATGAGTAATAATACGATTAATCTTTTTTTTAGGATTTACAATTATCAACGCCTGTGAAGTCATTTTCAATATACCGATTTATTTATCCTAGTAAAAAAACAACTAATTCAAGAATTAACACAGTAACTATTTTTAATTTTTGTTCAAATTAAAACAATAGAATTATTGATGTTAAGATAAACTAATATTTTCAGATGTTGGACGATTCTGAGTATGTTATCAATACCAAAGACATTGAAGGTGAAATGACGATAAAAAATATGAGAAATGAACCTCATAACAATGATTTTTCTATTAACACATTAGATGAACCTGTCAAAGATACAATAGTAAGTTTTATTTATATCTCATTAGATTAACATAGCAAGATTTAGATTCGAAATTAAAATTTTATTCTCAATTTTAGCTTAGAGATTTGAAAATCGTAGGTAAAAAATTCCATCACGTAATAAATCCCAAAGAAAAAAAGAGTCTCTTGAAAGAATGTAAGTATTTTAATGGATAATTATTTAAATCAAAGACTTGACAATAAGATAATAACAATTTTTTTGTAGGGGACTTGTGGGGACCATTACTATTATGTACATTTTTGGCTATGTAAGTCATTGAAATTAATAATGATAAAAAAGATTAATTTATTTTTAAATATACTCATTCATAAAACTTCTAAAATTGGAAAACATTATTGTAGGATTTTACAAGGGCATTCTGATAAAGAGGTATCCAATGATGGAGGTCCTGAATTTGCCGAAGTATTTGTAATAGTGTGGAATGGCTCAATAGTAGTGACATTGAATTCTAAACTATTAGGAGGAAATATGTGAGTGAACAAAATGATGATCAAAAAATTAAGTAAATAACTAGATAATTTGTACAAAATTACGTTCATTGAAACAATTATTCTTTTTTTAAATTGAACGACTTTTTTTTATAAATAGTTTAGCTCTTATACACTTTATATCAAACGTAACTCATAATTATTTTTTCTAGATCATTCTTCCAGAATATATGTGTTTTGGGGTATTGTCTACTTCCTATATCTATTGCTCTCATATTTTGTAAAATTATATTATTATTTGAGCAAACAATTTACCTGTTTATACTTCGCGTTCTCTGTGGTGTAATTGGATTCCTTTGGGCTATATATGGTGAGTTGAATTTAAATATTTTTTTATAAACTAAAATTGAAAAAAAACAATATTTTTTTTTAATATTATAGCTTCTACAACATTTTTAAGCGAAAGTCATCCAGTAAAACGGAAGGCACTTGCAGTATATCCAATGTTTTTATTTTATTTAATTATGTCATGGTTAGTTATATCGCATACTGGTTAAGATACTTCATCTTTAAGAAGATATTAAAATTATGATAAAGTTTGTGATATAAATTGTAATTAAATTATACATAAGACTGAATTAATTATTACCTTTGAATTCCAAACCATAATTATTCTGATTACCTATGTATACATTGATAAATAAGTAAATATAGAGGAGATATAAAAAATAAATATGTTATTCATAAATTGGAGTCTAACCTCCAAATAATAAATGTAAACAGTAGTAAACAGATCTCAGTAGAAATGGTCAAACACATGTTTCTAATGAGTGTATTTTAATGAAAAAACAATTATAATTTATTAAATAGACTCTATGTTTTTACAAAATTAGTGTTTATTAAGTCATAATACTTGAAAATATTTTAACATATACAATAACTTTGATTTTATATTATTATTTATAATTTTATAACCTATAAACACGATTTTATAATACCTAAAAAATTGTACAAATATAAGAAATTGTTAAAACAGTATCAGATTTTTACTTGGAACTGGTTTTGCAAATTTCAATGAAATTTAAGAATTATTTATATCAATAAAAAAAATTCGACTTTACAATTTACACGTACCTAAACATTAAAATTGTGTAAAAAATTATTAAATAATTGTTATTGGATTCAATTTTTTATTTTATATTAAATATTTAAAAAATGAGTAAGAATGATATTCTTAAAACTCTTCACGAATTACTTAAACAAAAGTTAAGTGGAGAACTTGATAGCACTGATGATTTACTAAATGATCAAGTTAAATGGCGACAACAATTGTATTATAAACAATTGACAGAATATTTGACAAACTCTTGTGAACAGGTAATTTTATTTATTATTTCCTTGTAATAAAATATTTTATTTTAATTATTTTCTAGATAAAACTATCAACACTATCACTTTTAGTGGAATCAAAAAAAAGTACGCTAAGTTTTTCAGAAAAAGAATTAAATTTAATATTGACATTTTTAAAATTTAATCTTGGAAAAAAATTCGAATTTATTCCTTTATTAAAAAAGGTATGTAACTGGTATAGTAAAAAATGATATTATTTTCAAAAATCTCATAAATATTTGAATTCTAGGCGTTACAGCGATTAAATAATAACACAGCAGTACTTGAAAGAAATACACTTCAATTAGAAAAATTTGAATCAAGTATAAAGGGTGTAGAAATAGACGAGCATCAAGAATTATATGCACAACGTAAAAAAGAATACGAAAAATTAGCAAATGATTCATTTAATTTATTAAAAATTTATAAATCATTTTTCATTGATATACGAAAATTATGTTTAAATTCAATATTTATTGGAGCTACACATATACGAAAAGAGAACAGTTTATTATTGTTACAATTACAACAAGAAATTTGGCATTTCAAAGATGATAATGAAATTAATGAATGGACTGCTGATCAAGCAAATCAACTTTTTCAATGTTTACTACTAGATACATACGAAACAAATAAAAATATTGCTTTCAAAATAATCTCGAAATTAAAACCGTCAATTTTACAATTAGACGATGAAAAACAACTTGAAACTATTTTAAATGTAGCATTTAAACTTGCCAATAGCATGCGACCAATTGATAGTATTACCGCAGCTTATATGTTGAAAGTTTGTATGATGTCACCAATTATTGAAGAAATAATTGAAATGCGATGGAATGTAAAAAGTAAAGGCGATATTACTTTGCAATTAATAATGGTTCTCTTGCAGTATTTAAAAGTAAGATTTAATCAATACAATTTTAACAAATTAACTAAAAAAGATCCTTAATGTTATCATTTATAATATGATTTTCAGAAACCAGTGGAATTAAATTATGATAATATTATCCAAGTTGTCTCTAAATATTCTTTATATGGTTATATTTTCTGTATAAAAACTTTAATATCTAGTTGCGATTTCAAGTAAGTTGTCAACATTTTTTATTTCAAAATAATGACTCTGTATTATTTACTACTATTATTATTTGAATTTTCAATTTTCTACATTTCTTATTAGGTATTTGATTACCATTTAACTGAAGATATCGTTTTCAGAAAAGTGCATACCAATGATTGTCAGAATATTATTACAGATATAATTGACACTTGTTTATATTTGAACAAAGCAGTGTCGTCGGTGGTAAATAATTCTTCACCAGAAGGCCACTTTCCTATGGATATGAATAAAAAATACTTGAATATTACTGAAGATTTATCTGAAATAAATAAAGTAACACCACAAATGGTTTTAATATGCTCTTGGAGAACCGTTAAAGAAACAAGTCTACTTTTCGGTCATCTTATGATTAAATTACCTATAATTAATAATGATTTGGATAAAGGATTGTTAACTAATGAACATATTTTAAAAATTGGAGATCATTTAGTTACCTTGCTTTGTGAAACAAAACATAGAGGTGCTTTTGAACAAGCACATGTAGGATTCGAGCAGCTTTGTTCAAGATTATGGAAGCTTAAAGATGAAAAGTTTAATAAGCTGCCTAAGATTTGGTTGTATCAGTTGCTCATAGCTATTACCGGATTAGCACCTGGAAATTCTAAATTGTGTGCTACCAGGCGAAGTGCTGGAGTACCATTCATGGTACAAGTAAGTAAACCACTGTAAAAATCAAACACTTTTAAAAATTTTTAATTGCTCATTTTACTTAAAAATTTTCAGGCATTAGTAACATCTGATCCTTCTCTTAAAAATAGAGAAGGAATAGCTTTTCATTCAATAATGAGAATCCTTTTAAGTTTGACTAAAATTGAAAATGAAAATGAATTGCTAACGATAGCAGATAAATTAATTAATCAAGAATCATTTTTTTCTGATCTCAAAGATTATGAAGAAATAAATACATATAAATATTCTAGTGTTATCAATTCAGGAGATGGTAATAATCGAGTGACAATAATTGATTTAAAAACTCATGTATTAAATATCTTACGAGCCCTTTTTAAACATGCTCAACTCCGAGATTTAGCAGGAATTTATGCTGCTGATGGATTAATTATTGCTGTAAAAAATTATGATAGTCAAACATGGGCTGTAAGTTTTATAAATTAATATAATTTTTTTAAATATTTAATTCATTATTCTTGAAATTTATAATTTCAGGAGCGTAATTCTGCTACTTTATTATTCAGTGCTTTAATAACACGAATTTTTGGTGTTCAAAGGACGAAAGATTATGTAAATTTGACTGTTCATAACAAAATGACTGGACAAATATTTTTTGAAAAATATCCACAACTTTTATCATTTATGCTTGATGAATTAAAATTATTTATTCATAATGAAAACAATGCTATAAAGCCAAGTATTCAGTCTATTTTATTAATTTTGTCTCGTTTATATCTTAATACAAATAGCGATAGATCAAATGCTAATTGGAAGGTATTATTGAATTTTTAATTATTTCATTATATTATATTTTATATTATTTGTTATAATTTTTTATTTATTTCAGGTTGATACATTTGTAAAATTTGTTTCTGCATGCGCTAAAAGTGTCGTTTATACAACACGTGAATTAGCAGCAAGAGCTATTGTTCCTTTACTTACAGAAAAAACCGTTTGCTCATTTATTAACGATTTATTTAATGATATTGAAATGGAATCTAAAAAATCTATATTACGTCAATGGAATTTAATACATGGTTATCTTTTACAAGTTTGTATCAACAATTCATTTTTTTACTTTTTTGGTCATCTTGCTTGATAAATTCCATGGTAGATATTTATTCTTACTCACTCTATTTACGATTCAATATTTTTAGATATTACAGATAGTTCAAAGCAGTTTATTTGTTACTTGCAATCTGAAAGAAATAAAATTAATAAAATTCCTAACAAATTCTACTTGGATTATAAAAAAGAGATGCTGGTCTGCTTCTAATTCCTTATGTTATCCATTAGCAGCAGCATATATTAATGTTGTTCATGAATTTATGAGAATTTATGAACAGAGGTAAAATTATTGAAATGTTTTAAAATTAATCTAATTTATCTTGGACATGTTCTTTACTAAATTGCAATGTAAAAAATTCATTACAAAATAGCAATGCAGGTTTAATATGTATACATTTATTATTTATTACTTTAATAGTAGATAATTTATAAAAATTCATTTATCTTCAATAGTGCAGATCATTTTTTTCCAGATCAAAAGAGATTGATTACATTCCATTTAATGAAATTCTTTCTGAATCAATCATATATTTAATTGATGACAACCCGAAACAATCAGTAGGGAAGGAATTATTCGAGTGTTCAATAGTACAATTTTTTATTGATTGGCAACGCATCACAGATTCTAAAGATGTATGTGAACTAGAAAAGTGGCTGAAAATATGGACCAAAATCTTATCTCATTCCAATACTCACGTACAAATTTTAGGATGGTTTAATATACATGAAATTATTTATAAAAAATATTATAAAAGATATAATAATTCATCACTTTTAAATAGTAATATTCAAGATGCATTACTATCAGTAGCTATTGATCAAGCATTTAATAAAATCAAACAAGATATATTTGATATTGATCTCCAAACAGCAATACAAGAATTTTTATACCAAGTTTATACTGAAAATGAACCAAATGATTTTTGTACAAATCAAATACAATTTGATAACGATATTTGTATGACAATTGTAGTTTTTATTGAAAAGAGTAATCATATTAGAGCTCCAAATACATTAAAATTGCTGGGTAAAATATTTAAAAGAATTTTAAAATATCCAGATTCTGTGAGTATTATTGCATGTATTTATATTTATCTAATAATTCTCGTAAAAATAATTTCTTTAATTAAAATATCTATATTTTATGTATGTTTTCAGACTGAATGTGATAAACGACTGTTTATAGATCGATTAAGTATATTAATCAATGAAACTTTTTTTTATAATTCATGGACAAGTACATCGACACTAGATTATCGATTAGCTATTGCTCATGTGATCGGTGATATTTACATTGACATAAGTATTAATAATTGGAGACCATCTAGAGGTATGTTGAACAGTACAAGTGTTATCTTTTGCATTATATTTGTTGATGAAAAATTAATTCAATATTTTTAGAGTGTCTTCTGGATTGGTGGACAACATTGTTAAATTTGCTAGTCGATGACAATGCAGAAGTACGAGAAATGGGATTGTTAGCACTATCTAATTTAAAAGTTTTAAAAAATGATGAAAGCTATATTGAACCTTTAGAGATGTTTTTTGAAACTTTTTTTAATACTTTTGATAATGAAAGTGATACACTATTTGCTGCTTATTTCTTTTGGAGCACATCATTATCAGATAATGACTTTGAAATGGACGAAAGTGATGTAAGTATTACTTTAAGAATAAATTTAAAGATTTGTGATAAACAAGTAGATCATTTACTTTTATGTGGAAATTTTTTAAAACTTTTTTTTTATAGGTTTTTAATAAATGTTTCAATTATGAAATGTATGAGCCATTCCAAATATGTGAATTGTGTAATTGTTATTTAAACAAATTATCCAAAAATACATGGAACTTTCCATACAATTTTTCTGATGATGTACAAAAATGGTTAAGCAAAAGACTAGACATACCGATTTCAAATTGTGTTAATGTTCATACACTTATTTCAATATATAAAACAAAATTACCATCAGTGACCAATAATTTAAATGAAATACTAGATCCTATGTATAATGATAAATTACTCAATCATTTAGCTTTTGAAAAAATCACGACATTTGTTGATGCAAATTATGATCAACAATAAATAAATAATCGCATAAATAAACAATTAAATTCTGTTATTTTCTAGCGAATAAAATAAATAATTTATAATAAATTCACTTTTCAAATTTCTTCAATAATTTATTCCAATACGATTATATATAAAATTATTATTCATGCACAATAAATTGTTAATTTTATCTATTTATTTTATGTATTTCGCATTATAAAAAACGTTAAATCGTAAATTTTTTTAACAACAAGTTATCACAGTTTACAATTTTTATGTACTTAACAAATGTAAACGAGTTCACTCCAAAAAATGAGAGTAATGAGTAAACTTTTAGTATGTACCAAATTAAAATCTCGAGATGCTCCAGAAACATGAAAGCTTTTTCGAAAACTATGTCAAGAGACTGAAAGACCAAAAAACAAAAAAAAAAATGTGAAAAATGACTTTCTGTAGTAGATCTTATGTTAAAATTGTCGAAACTTAGTAGAGTAAATAATATACAGATATAAAGCATGAATTTTTTCACCCGTAATGTGTATGAAAAATTAAAATAAAATGAAAATGACAACAAAACAGAACTCTTAGAAGTTAAGAATAGAGGGAGAAAGAGAAAGTTCGAAAAGTCCAAGTAGTTGGCGCTTCAGTCGACACTCGTTGTCCGACTGGTTATAGTCGTACACACATATTTTTAGAAAAACTTCACAATTTTCTGAAACTTATACGTATAAGCTTGAATTATTCTATGTCGTGATTTGTTTTGACTGGAATTTGTCTTATTTCTTGTATTATACTAAATGTTTACAAAGTTACCACTATGCGTGCGATTTATATTATTTTTTACAGTATTCAAACATTTTATATTAGAAAAGGGTGAACGAACCGTAATAACGTTTATGCGTTTAATATCAAGCATGGAATGGATATACAGTTGTGAGTTATTCCAATCAATTAATGACTCTCAAAATTATAGGTGAGTTTTCAAATAATGTATTTATAATGTAACCTAATAATTATAATTACAGTAATACTATTATTTATATATCATAAAACTAGATTAACACATCTTTTCAATGCATAAAGGTTCAATCGATTTTGCTGTCAAATGAAAATTTATTATGTTATAATAAAACATTATTATATTACCAGTATGTTTACTTATTTTAAACATAATTAGTTAAATTTATAAATAATTATTGTAATTTTGTCAAATCGTATTTAAAACATTTTATATTTAACTAGTTTTTCACAATCTCATTATGCCAGTACTGATTAGAGATGTCAGAATTTGATGTCAATCTTTTCATTTATATTATGGCGATGCTGTATTAGATCATATATTATATAAGAAAAAAAATTGTTATGAAAACAGTTGTTTATAATTGTAATCAAAGGTATTTCTTACTACTACTCTCTGCTATTACATTGATACTTGATGTATAGATATGTATATACATCAAGTAGTCTTATACATTCTAACTAAAGTGTAATAACATATCGTTTTGGAGTACTTAGTTAATCTTTTAGTTTATTTTGTCTATGATTGAATATATATTTTTACACACTTATACACTTAACTAACGATTGGATGGTACTTTGTAAATACTTCTTTATCTGTCAACAACTATTGAAACAATTGATTTTATTTCAACAGGTATTCATTTATAAAAATAATTTTAATTTGCTCCAAAAGTGTTTTAGATGTTGAATTACACTTCTTTAGAAGAAATATCTTTCTTATCTCATTCCAATATCTATTTATTTTAGAATATTTAATCCATTTATTATATCAATATTATTAATTTGAACATTTATTTTTGATTTCAGATGTCCAGCCTTTAATAAATTAGACAAATCATATTCTTCTGGAATAACATTGAAACATAATATGAGTGAAATGGCGTTAACTTGGAAATTTGGTGTAAATTAAACAATCAATCATTATGTTGACTCACTAAGAGCTTCCATAATTTTACAAAGACATTAATGTCCACTGAAACCGCCAAAGCTTTTGTTAATTTAAATGTTTGACGATTTACTGATTTGAGTACATATATGCGTCTAATTGTGTGCGTGTGTATACCCAAGGTGGAGGGTAATGGATGACATAAGAAATTCATCGGCAACTCGCCGACTTTCACAGATTTTTGATCCCATTGCTCGATTTGCATCTGATTTTGGATCTTCATCAGCACCATGTAGTCCTCGATTAGGTCTAGGGAATCGGACTTATGAAAATGCTAATATTTTTGAAGGTAATAAAACACGTGGAAATGCTTCATCTTCAGCAAGTCCAATCCCAGATGAGCCAGAAAATTCTCGACTATTACCAAGACGAAGTGCTAGTAGCTCACGGCAAGTTCTACCATCAAGATCCCAGCAATTAAATGATTCATCAATGCACTCGAGAACTTCGACGTCTACATATGTTAATGTGCCATGTGAAAATTTACATCACGGCCGAAGAGACAAACATTTCACAGATACTAAAAGTAATTTTAGTTATATTGAATTACGTGATAAAGACAAACATTATCACAATGCCATGCAATCACCTTTCGGTTTCACCACTGAGTCAAGCGGTTGTGTCGAATATGCTGATAAGCGTAATTTATATGACACTAAACCAGAAAATTTTGGATCTTACGGCAACTTGGAGAATGATTCATCTTCGGATGCGTCTTCTCCAATATTTGATAGTGCTGGTGGAGGATCTTCCTTAACTTCAAATGTAGATAGAATATTATCATCTATTAGTGGGAAAAATCAACAATTTCGACGAGCATCTATTGATCGTGACATTACATTTACCTCATCAATATCAGCAGCTACATTTGCAAGTGATGACCAAAGAGAAAGATTTGATATTCGACCAGCAGCTTATTCATCATCTAAAAGTTTTGACGCTGGTTATACAACAGCAGTTGAAAAGCTTAATTGGCAAGAGAGATGTTTAGAACTACAACTCGAACTTCATCGAAGCAGAAGTCAAGCAACGAGAGTGCGTGATATGTTGCGAGAAAAAGTGAGTATTTTTATTAATAATTTTATCATTTTTTCTAATATTTAAGAAGGCGTTTCTTGCATAAAATTTTAATTTACATGAGACTTTACTCTGCCAAAAAAGTATGAATAACTGAAATATATCATGAACAATGTAAAGAATACTTTTAATCACTAGTAAGAGAAATGATAGCTTAGTTTATTTGGGTCACAAACGATGTACTTGTTTTGTTGTATCTTCGGAACCTAAAAAGAACCGTGTCTGACTTGTTTTATAATCACTCTAGAATAGGATTAAGATTGTAATCCAAATAATCTCAACATAGAAAAATAAATAGATATGAATTAATTTGTATTTTATAATGAATGCAAAATAATTCAAGAACAGAATTATATAATTCTTTTTCTTCTGTTAAATTCACGGTCTACATTTAAGTATCCCCTAAACATGACTTTGCATATGATTATATTCTTTTTGCTATGATCACCAATAAGTCGTCTTTTATCATGGTTAAGCGCTGATCTTTTTAACACATAGATTTGTTGAAAAATATAAATCGGATAATAGATCAATGATATCAATAGAAATAAATTATCAGATAACAATAAATAAAGTAGATCTATAGATTGAAAGAAAACTAAAGTTTTGTCGTATATTGCTTTGTTACGGATCGAAAATCTTGATGATACGTATCTATTACATAGGTGCCAATGAAAGTTTTAAGAGAAAAAAAAGCAGATTTTATCACTGCGAAGGGTAAATGGAAAAGTGTTTTGTGAAATGTTGATTAAAAAATGACAATTAGATTTATCTAAATTTTTTGGACATTTATCTAGAAACTTTAGTCCTTGATTTATTCAGGAATAAAATTAATTTTAATAATTCATTAAGATAACATCTTTATAAATGACTAAAATTAAATTACAGCTGTATCATATTAATTTTAATTGAAAATTTCTAAATGAGATTTAAATTGAAATAATCATCTAATAAATAATTTTTATTTTTTACTAAAAGAAACCAATGTGATGTATAACCACAATTTTACTCATATTTTTTTGTTTTCTTATTCTCGGTATAGTTGGCAAACAGGGAATATTAATTAATGGAAGAATGTTGGAAAATACAAGGTCCATTTCATTAAGATTGTGTACTAGTGAATGTGAGAAGGCAGTATAACTATAGTAACGAAAACCAGAAGAGAAACAACAATGAAACTCTCAAGTACAATTTATCATTAGGGTAAATATCTACTACCAGAAAATAAAAATTACTTAGACGTGTATTTTTTACATACTTTCTAATTTTCTTTAAAAATAGTTGGATATTTTTAAGAAACTCCAATTATTTATTTGATAGATAAGTTTCTGTTATGAAAAAAACTTATTTATATTTATCTAAAACTTTTAAAATGTTTAAATTTGTCTTCACTTGGAACTTATTTTCCATGATTGTCTTTAAGACGTTGGAAATATATCGTAGTGTTTTTGTCGGGTATTCTAATTTTAGAGAATATACAGGAACACTTTATGGTGCCAAATACGTGACTAGTATGGAAGTAATATTTAGTATAATGACGAATTAAACTTAATAGTGAAAACATTAGTTAAGTACTCGTTAATTAAATAGAAACAGATCAATATTAATAATATTACTCAACAAAATAATATTCGATTTAATAAGTAATAAATATTATTTAAGAAAGTCATACTTTTATTAGACAATGAAAAAAGTAGGGTAACTCTACGAATAGTCAAACATGTACAAAGATTGGCCAGAAAAGAAAACCCATTTAGCTAATAGTAAAAATTAATAGTTAAAGATATTTAGTATCATTGTATAATTAATCCCTAGGTATTTCTTTTTACCTTGAAATTAATCAAATATCATTACTTTTTTATATAAAAAATAAAAAGTACAAATTGAATAGAATTTGTTACAGAATATATTTAATTTTTTTTTATTCAATTTTTCTTTGATTTAGTTATTGCCTTTTATAGGTAATTTTGATGATTAATTCAAGTTATTTTTATTAAGTGACAATTATTTTAAAAATTTTCAAACATCTGTGGTAAACTTTATTTTATTGAGCTATTTTTGTATCGAATGTAGTTTTTGTTTCTTTCATATTTTGGAAGAAACATAAAAGAGCGTCTTCACCAATTAGTGATAAGAAAATGAAGAGAAGACTTCTGGCAAATATAAACATATGAGACTAACGCCGGATGCATATTTTTTGTTCTATTAAAGTCATACGCAAGCGCGTGACATCGTCTAGACTCCTGAAGAAGAAACTTACAAGTGACAACACACGTTAAAAACTTTAGTATTCCGGACGTCATCTCTAATACTACATCTGTAGAATCGCGTAATTAATTATACGTAAAATTCGTGGTTATTTTTAATAAGACTGATCATTTAAATTTTTAGTCAATGAATTTTAATATTAATCATTTGATTTATTTTGAAGACAGTAATGAAATTTTTATGTAAACAAAACTTAGTATAAATTTTTCTTTTAATGTGAAATATTAAATACTAATTATTCACTAATTGAAATGCAACTAGAAGTATCAGTATCGTTGAACATTCTTTCAATTGCAAATTAATTAACTGACAATCGTTGAATATTATTCCAAATTATCATAAAATAAATAAAACGTATTGTCTTAGAAAACATTCATTGTTAATCAATATGTTGTGTGAATTGAATTTTGTTGGACTTTTGAAAAGGGAAAAATTTAATGTAAATTAATACATAAGTATATTTACACACACGATTTTGTTATATATATAATTTAATTCAGTTGTTTATTAATTTATTTTAAATCATTACTTGATGAAGTATTTTAATTACCAAAAAGGTAAAAGATATCATTTAAAATTGTTTAATTGCAATCCTTATTTCTTAAATTGGTCATATTTATACTGAGAAAAAATTAACTGTGCACAAGTAATATTTTTTTTAACAAATAAAATGAAAATTTTGAATAATCGCAATGGAATATTTTTTGTTCAATTAACATAATAAAATTTTTATTGATTCAGTTCTGATGCTTACTTAAAAATAATTTATTATTGTGCTCAATTATTTTGAATATAATTATCTCAGAATTGACTTATTTTAATGATTAATTTTTTTATAAGATCCATAGTGTCTTAGAAAGTAAGAATTATTCTAATATCACCATCTTGAAAATCCATTATAATATTTTATTACAAATATATCAAATTATTTTTATTAATTAAATTAAAATTTTTTTGCACAGCAGAATTTTTTTCCTCAGTATTTTTACAAAGAGATAAATAGTTTAACAAAAATATCAATCTTTTATCATAACTCTTTAAAAATATAAACTAAATAAAACTTGTGGCTAAAATAAAATAAAGTAAAAATACCAATAGTCAGACTGATGTTTCTGAATGAAAAGAATAGTTTCAATAAATGCCTTTTAGTCTCACATATGACTATCAATATGTGTAAATGACAATACAAACTACATGTCGATGTAACCAATAAACCGTTAAAACTGACATATCTTTGATATCAGTATCTGTCTTTCAGTTTCAGTGGTTGTATTGTATTTGGTATAAATTTTTTATCCATTACTTTTTCTATTTATTTATATTCATTATTCTGATTCTTTTATTTTCAATAAACACAGTATCGAAGTTTTCTGTTTTCTGTGGTAGTCAATAAAGTATTGTCAGTATCGAATATCAATAGGCTAGACCTTTGATATGAATACTTGCCAAAGTTTGAATACTTGCAAACACGTGAAAACAACAATCAGTTGAATTCGGTGTTGGTTTTATTTTGGAGACATATTAGGGTGATAATTAAATAAATATTGAGCTGGAAAAAAATTAAATTATTAATATTAGAAATTACAAGATCGTTTTTATAAAGTAAATAAAATGTTTAAGTGTATTTGAGTGTATACGAGACCTGCTTATGATTTTTTTTAGAATTCAAAGAATTACTCTATTTTTTAAAAATAATATGTAGACGTCAGGTTAGAAGAAAACTTTTTCGTGGAATGAAGAAAATAAAATTTAATTTCTCTTTAATCTTTTGACTCTAATAAAAATTGTATTAGAATATTTTTTTGTTCATCTGTATAATGAATGTTATGAAAATCACAAAATCAAACAAATGGTTCAGCCAATTTATATTGATCATGATTCTACTATAAATATGGAATCTCTTGAAGAAATGCTACTTAAGGTAAATTGTTAGATATTTTTATGTCATTAAAAACACAATATGATTCAGAAAACTCAATTTTCTCTAATTTTAAATCAACTTTTTAATCAGATGTTTTGATCTTTCGTCTTCAGTCTCCTCAATTATTTCGTATTTTTTCCTCTTTACACACTCTCTTTTCATGGTAGTTTTCCAGCTCTGTTATTATCAACTCATCTTTTCCAATATTTTCCTTTACTTTACTATAGGCTACCATTTTTCTTGCATCTAGTTTGCACTGTTTTCATTCTTAATTTCAATTGTGATTGATGTTTATCAATTTACAAAATTTTAGATTACACTTTTGATGAACTCTCCATTATTTTTTCATTCCAAATACTCTACTTATTATTTTCTATTACATACAATTTTTGTTTTGATTATCAGTAGATTAATTAAATATCTTTATTTTTATTTTCTATCCATCTAATGTATTACTCTTACTCTATATTTAATGTTTAACATTCATCCTATTTTAAATTCATCACTTTACTCTTTGATAATCTTTCCTCATTTTTAATTTAACTCTTTTTAATAATTTATAATATTTACATAAATTTATATTAAATATGAATAATGAAGCCAGTATTTATTTCATCTTGACTTGGTCTAAAGTAACCAGTCTTCTATTCTCCCTTGAGTGAACCTTTCTTACCACAAGGGTATGTTAAAGGCACACTCTTCTGCTATAATTAATATACGAATCTCTGGAGACTGAAAGGTTTAAATGTATAAATGTAGAAAGATCTTTTGGGATAATCTGGGTTCATGATATATTTCAAAAAAATCATAATGATTGATAGTGAATAATTGTCAAAATTATATCAACTTGTTTATGTTACAGCTTTCAGAACTTGAACAACGAGTTCTTGATGCAGAAGGAAGGGCAGATGAAGCTGAAGATAAGGTAAACGAAAGGAAATATTTTATTTTATTTATTTTGTTTAAATAACTTTCTTCATATTTTAGCACAACAAGCATAATTTCTGTTGTACCTACTTTATGCTCTAAAGCAAGAAGACTGACTTTCATTCATTAATGCTTTAAGATAGTTACTTGATCAACTAGATATCAGTAACAAAGATTATCAATACACCACTGTATTTGGCAATTATTTTTATAACGTTTGAGTAACAATTGTGAAAATTATCCAGTTTAGCCGGTGCGCATGCTGAAATTCATAGTACATTGATTTTTGCAGCGTGCAATATACCAAGATGGCAGAACATTTCTTCAACATTGCTGTTTTTCTAAAAGCTCTTAACACGTGGTTATCAAATATCAAAGTAATAACGTTCTGAAATATTTAAAAAGATTATTCTTTCAAGTTGGAAATAGTGTACTAAATATTAATATCAATTTATTTTTTTAAATATTCTTATTGAGTTATTAATATTTATTTATGTATTTTTATAAACAGATATTTTATCAAATTTAAATCATTTATAAATCATGCATCTCACCAGATGACATTCATGAGAGGTAATTTTTAATCAAAGTAATGTAATCATTGTTTTATGGATACAAATTGATTTGTGAAATTTAAATAATGAAATTTTGAAAAGTAAATGTTTGTTCAGTTTAAAAATGTTAAATTTAATTAATTAACAGACCTAAAGTCAAATTATTGCAAATAATCACTGTTAATCAGTTGTATGTATTCTATAAAAATATTTTCAATTTTGAAATAATAATTTCTATGCATGTATAGCTAATTTTAAATTATTAATTATCCATAAAACTGTAAATGATATATAAAATTTAAATTATCTAGCTTTTTTATTATTCTAAAGAGACAGGAAATAATTGATACTCAAAAATCATTAAAACACTTGTTAAAAATAATTATATTCAGTCTATTTATGTGTTATTATTTGCAAATTTTAGTACAATAAGAATCTAAATAAAAATAGTCTCATATCTGTTTTATTTGCAACAGAAAATAATGATAATTTTCCAGTGAATGACCACTTACTTTTCTTTCTTCACCCCTAAAACGTGACGATAAGTTGTATTGGCCATAAGCCAATGTGAGTCATCGACTCCGTGAAATCCCCATAGCTCAGTTCAATGTTGAACGCCGACGAATATAAGTCGTTTCTATCAAAGACCAACTGTATATACTTGTGTAGCATGCTTTTTTTGACGGTTTATTGCTCTTTTTAATTCAAAATTTGTATTTTCTGATTTCAAATGAACTGATTCATTTATTTGAATATACGTTTAATTTAACTTTTAAAATTCTTAGTCCAATTAATTAAAAAGATTGAATATTATAAGTTAAATTTTTAAATATTACACCATGATTTCCTTCAGCCTTTGTGGTGAGTTTGTCTATATTTAGTACTTTTAATTTCTATTTTTATTATTATCTATCTTTTATGACATTTGTCAGCTTATTACAGTATAATTATTGTCAAATTCTAAATTTATAAAATTATTTTTCATTTTTTTTATTGAAAAAATTTTTCTATATTGTTTATAGAAATTTATAAATTTTTATTTATTTATAAAAATAGATAATTATACTCTTTAAATTCACTTGTATCAAAGACAAAAAAATTATACCTCCTGTCTGTAATATGGGGGTTTATGGCATCTGTAAACGATATCGATTTTTGACAGCTGCTGCACATGTCTGCTTAAGACTCCAAGGGGTACAAACGAATACAAGAATATATGTACAATTCTCTTCTTTTTCCAGCATTTTAAATATTATTATTTCTTATTTAGTATTTTTATTTAAAATTTATAAAAATTCTACCGACAAATTTTTCCAAAAATCTCAATTAACTAATTTAATCTTTCAACAAGATAATTACCCAATTTTTTCAAGCTAATCAATGTATCAAATTATTGAACACCAATATTTTTAGATGTATAATTTCGAAACGTTGTATTCTTTCATTATTATTTAGTTGGTTGAAATGTTATATTTACTATCTGAAATATTTGAAAAGTATGATAAATTATTCAATCACTATCTAACGTAGACTAGAATCAATAAACTAAAGAAGTGGTCTTTTTAGCACTCATATAATATTTTATAAAACATGTATGATGTACATATCAGAATGATTGAAAAGAAATATTTTATTACAATTAAATTGAATTAAATTAATTATTTTCAGGTACGGATGATGGAGGAACGGTTGGTAAAAGGTGAATACAGCCTGAGTACATCTGGAGTTGGTTCCCCGGTACACTCTTTGGCATCAACCTCTGGTACTCAAAATGACAAACTTGAAGAAGTTCATTGTGCCTGTATTTCAAAATTAGAAACTCAAGTTGAAGAACAAGTAAGTCTCTAATGTTCCAAAAGTATATCTGCTAATTTTATTTTAGATGATCTGTCGATTAATTTAATATTTATTTAATTCCAGAAACAACTGCGTCTCCAAGACGCTAAACAAGTTGAAGCCAAAGCTGCAAGAATAAAAGAGTGGGTTACTAATAAATTACGTGAACTTGAACAACAAAATCAACATTTGCGTGAGCAGAATAACAAGTGTAATCAACAACTTGAACTTCTACGCAATCATATTACAAATATTGGTTTCAGACCTTTGGTAAAAAATTATACATAACAAATAATGAATCTTTTTAGAAAGTTATTGGTAAATCTTTTTATTCAATGTTTATCTATTTAGGTGCCTGTAACAAGAGCGTCATTATCTCTTGAAGTAGATCCAATTTTACGTAGACGATCAGAAAGCTTAGAAGCTACGTCACAAACACTACCTGAAAGCATTCATCAATCAACAATCAGTGATTCTCAACAAATAGGGGCACGGCATAGACGTCATTTATCCGCTTGTGGAAATATTCATCAAGAAATCACTACTACTAATATGGATTCCAGGTAATTTTATTTTTTTTAAATGTCGAATAATCGATTCCTAATTAATTGATTTACGTCATTGAATTCTCCTTGGGAGGCCCCACGACGTGATAGTGGCTCCCGTTTTTTATCCCTGGTACCCTGTAACGTCCTGGGACTTCCTGAGGGGATCTGGGTTTATATTCCGTTCTTTACTATTCAATTATTATGAATAATTATTCAAACAACTCCTTAAAAGAAACATGATTACCAATAACCTTCTAGCAATTATTTACACAGAGAAATACTTGCTGAAACATTTTTTGGAATTTAAAAAAATATTTGTTTTTTTTTATTTATTATTTGTCAGATAAGTAATTGTAAATTATCAACTTTTAGCCTATTATCCGAGGAATTAGCAGCAGCTGTGGAAAATTTGGTAATGCTACCAAATATACCGGGAGCTACGGATACAAACCGGAATAGTACAAGTTCAGAAGCTATTCATGATTATGCGGAAATTTATACTCCCAACCGAGAAGATATCAACTGGGCTAATCAGGCCGGAACAACTGCACATCGACCACCAACACCTCCTCTACATAGATTCCCGAGTTGGGAAGCCAAAATATATCAAGTAATTGTTATATATAATCAACAATACATAATAATATTCTGCAACAATAATTTAACATTTTTTTTGTTTTATTTTTTTAGGTAGCTGATGGTGGACTTGGTATCGGCCCATCTACTAATGATGATACATTATCTAGTGCTCCATTATCAACGTCAAATACAAATTCATCAAAACACACACATACTGGACATAATTTGGCAGCTTATAATTCTCAAGGATACTGTGATATTTCTGTACCCGTTTACGCTACAGTTAAAGGTAATTTAATATTTTAATTATTATCCAATTTAATAAATATTCTAAACTCTCTGCATTAAGAAACTTAATTTTTTGTATAATTTTATTCATATAATAATTAAGTGATTTTTTATTATTATATTTAAAGGCCGTGCCAGTCAAATCCGATCAATTCCATTTGGAGATAGCTCTGATGACAGTTCTGATGGTGAAGATCATGGAAATCCTACAGAAACAAACACAAGAATTACTAATAGTTCATCAGATAATACTGACTCATCTCTCGGTAGTGGAAGCAGCCCTTCGAAAAGTATTAAAACAACAAGCAGTCTTAGTCCTGCCAAAAGAAGCTCCAGTGGTTCTCCAAGCAAAAGTGTAAAACGTGGTAAGCTTAAGCAATAGAGAATTCTGTATAGTATTTAATTATTATTTTATAATATGAAAAATTTTTCTGTATGGACTTATGTATTTTTCTTTTCAAAATAGATACTTCATTAGAATCAGGTTTATCAGAAGATTATGCTATACCTCCAGATGCATTGAGTACCACTTCTTTAGAAACAAGTATGCCTAGTCTATTAATAAAAACAGCTGGAGAAAGCCCGAAAAAGTTAGAATCTTTAGAAAAAGCTGGACATCTTGCAAAACTTGGAGGTAAATTAAAGACTTGGAGAAAACGATGGTTTGTTTTGAAGAATGGTGTCTTAACATATTGGAAAAATCAAAATGATATTAATAGAAAACCTCAGGGACAAATTATTTTAGATGAAGTCTGCAGGTAATATTATAGTTTGAAAGAAATTGTTAAAAAATAATAAAATCTTTTTTTGTTTTTAAACTTAAATGGTTTATTGTTATAAAATTTTAGGATAAATAGGGCAGAAGGAGCGGCAACTTTTGAAATTGCTACAGGAAAAAAAACATATTATTTAACTGCAGATTGTATTGCAACCATGGAAGATTGGATTAAAGTTTTACAAAATGTTCAAAGACGAAATGCTACGAAACTATTACTTAGTAGAGAAGATAATAAACCGACAATTCAAGGCTGGCTGACGAAAGTTAAAAATGGTCACACAAAGAAATGTTGGTGTGTGCTTATTGGAAAGATGTTTTTATATTTTAAATGTCCGAACGATACCGTAAGTGTTATTTTAAACTTGATTCAATAAATCATGAATATCGTTCTAATATTTATTATAGAATGAATTTTTTATCTCTAATAATTATTAAATTTATTTTTGAACTAATAGAATCCAATTGGACAAATAAATATGCGTGATGCACGAGTGGAAGAAGTAGAGCACGTATCTGATAGCGACAGTGAAGAAAGAGATACTGAATGTCCTCATGAAAGAACTATTGGAATTTTTCCTACTCATCAGGGACCAACTTATTTATTAATGCCACATAAACAAGATAAAGACAATTGGCTTTATCATTTAACAGTTGTTTCGGGCGGTGGACCAAATGCTGGAACTCAGTACGAACAATTGGTTCAAAGACTGATGGAAACTGATGGTGATTCCAGTTGTGTTCTTTGGAGGCATCCACTTCTTTTACATACAAAAGAAAATATTACCAGCCCACTTACAAGTCTCACTTCCGAATCGCTACAAGCTGAAGCTATTAAATTATTTAAAGTAAGATTTATATTTACAATTTAAATATTTTTATAATAAGAAAAATGTATCGGATCACTTAATTGATTGTGCTATTTAGGCCTGTCAATTATTTATGTCGGTGGCAGTAGAACAGGCAGGAATAGATTATCATGTGGTGCTTGCACAAAATGCATTACAACAATGTCTAGATCAACCTGAACTCCAGTCAGAGTTCATTTGTGCTCTAGTGAAACAAACAAGTCGTCATACACACCAACGTTTGGGCGTACAGGTAAAAAAGGCCGCCAGACTTGTGTCGCTGGGTACTGCGCGTGTTGTAAGTCTTGCTTATTGTTTAACAAAAATTCACATTCATATACCATTTCCTTCATTTTACGAGCATTTACTCGATCAAGTAAAGTTCGTCATCATTGTGAAAGAGAAGAAATACACTAAGTATAGTTTTTACATATTCTCTTTCTTGGTTTCATTTAAATAATTGGCTTAAAAATTTTAATATTTAAAAAAGATCAATTGAGCACGTTTAAGTTAAGTATTATTCTAATTTTGGTGAATAAATGTCGATACGATAAACATTGATTCACTAAAAGGCATTTTTTTTTACAAATAATATAAATAATACTAGACATTTAATAATAATATTCTTATCTCATATTTAATAATTAATTCATTCATTTATTCAAGTTATGAAATTTTTTCTAATGAATTTCGAGTATTTAATCAATTCAAATCTCGGGATTGAAATAACTTTTCTTAAATAAATTTTTCTAATTTTATACGCAATATAATTTTTTTATAAATTATAAACTTTTAATAATTTTCTAAAACACTTTTATTTTATTTTATTTTTAACCATGTATTTTATTGATATTTCACCAAAATAATACTCAACTTAAAAATTGAAAGAAAAAATTATTTTAATTCTATCATCATATTCTTTACTTTCATTTGCTGCTTTGAATGTGCTGTGCAATGTGCTTAAACAAATAATAAATATTCTGAGTGCATGATAAGTATAATGTGTCTAATAACATAACATCACGCTACAAGTTTATTTACTGCCAAACATAATTCATTCTATAATATTACTTGGACCATTATCTATTAAATAAACATAATTTGGCAAAAACAACGTTAATCAATGATGTTAATGGAATATAATAAAAAATAAATGACTCTTTGTGATATAAAAATGATGAAAAAGATTTATTGTAAATAAAAAAAAAGGAAAAAAATAAAGAAATCTGCCAAAATATGTTTAAAAAAATACACATGCAGAATGGTATGTTGGTGTACATCAAAATAAAACACACAGAACAACATAAGAATCAACTTTTTGCCTCTGATCAGTTGATTTTGCAATTAGATACTTCTTTTTCGTATGCTGCTTGAATATTATTAAATCAAAAAATTATTTTATTACTTGTCAATCTAATAGACGTAGTCATCACACTAAGTGACCAAAAATCTGCAAGCAAAATTTTAACTAGAAATTTGTTTGGTATTGAGTGAGTCCCTCTCTAAAATATGATATGAATTCAATTTAAAAATGCGTAAATTTTTTACCAACGCTTAGCTATCATGTCATTGATGATCATTTATTGATTGGCTTACATGAATTACACCTTAAAGTTTTATCAATTCAATTTTTTGATAGTTTCATTGCCATCAAATCACTTTCAATTAATTCTGATTTGGTATCTAACACATAAAAAAATAAACTTATAATGTTTTAACATTTATTAATGATAATTTATTTTTATAATTAATCAATATTCAAATAAATTCTGAATATTGATAAAAATTAAAAAAAAAAAAAATAAATAGTAAACAATTGATACACTTATTAAATACATAAATTCTTTGAAGAAAATGTCGATCTAACCAGATACAATTGAACAAAGATTGTAATCAAGCTAAATAAAATAATTAGACTAGATAATTTGTCTCTGTGCACGGATGATAGTAGTATGCCAGCATACCATATTGCAGCAACTTCTCCTGTGCGCCACACAATCGCTCTTCACGTGCGATACGCAAAGCCCCACGACAAACGGCGCGGGTGAAAATGCGGACGCACAGTCAACAACGTCAACTTCTCACAGTCCTCCGCTCACGCAGGGTTATTCAACATCAACGATACTAGACTGCAAAACAAATCCTGCTCAGTACGTCCTCGTTCAGGGATGGCAGCTTCTAGCTCTAGCTGTTTCACTATTTTTGCCGAGAAACAATCGATTACTTTGGTACCTGAAAATTCATTTGCAGAGAAATGCTGATTCCAAGTGAGTAGATTTATCTTATTCCTTCAATAATAATGATATTTTATTATTTCAAATTAATCATTGGAAAAATTCATGTACATTTAATGGACTTCTGTAATAATTTCAGAACTGAATGTGGAAAATATGCTGCTTACTGTGAACGTGCTTTAGAACGAACTCTACAAAACGGAGGAAGAGAAGTAAAACCTTCACGAATGGAAGTTTTATCAATTTTATTGAAAAATCCATATCATCATTCATTACCCCATGCTATTCCAGTTCATTTTTTGAATGGAACTTACCAAGTTGTCAGTTTTGATGGTAGCACAACTATTGAAGAGTTTTTGCATACTTTAAATCAAGAAATCGGATGTCGTGATGTTCATCAATCAGGATTTACGTTATTTAGTGATGATCCTATTGAAAAAGATTTGGAACATTTTATAGATCTTCAAGCCAAACTTTGTGATATTATTTCAAAATGGGAAACAGCATTAAGAGAAAAAGGATCTGGAAAATTTGAAAATACTCGTGTTATTCAGTTGACATATAAATCCAGGTGTTATTGGCGATCAGCAGCAAAAATGGAAACTGATAGAGAACGTTTATTGTTGTGTTATCAAGTTAATCAACAAGTAGTTCAAGGAAAATTTCCATTAAATCGTGATTTGGCATTTGAACTTGCTTCTCTTATGGCTCAGGTAAGAGATATTATTTTCTTCAAAATCTTATCACTTTTTATTGAAGTTACACTGTAAATGTGTGTATACATGTGGTACATTCGTTTTACAGATCGATTTTGGAGAATACAATAATGATAAAGTTCGAGGCAGTGGACCGAGTAACAATCCCAACCATTTCATTCTTCAAGCATTAGATAAATTCTTCCCGTTACGATATCGATCCAACATTACAACTGAACAGCTTAGGTCAGTAGTAAAGTAAATAATTAATGATTATTAAATTATTTTTAATTTATAATTGACTTACATTTTATCTAAATTCTATTACAGAGAGCTTCAAGAAAAACTCCAAGAAAAATGGATTGGTCTCCGAGGTCGAAGTGTAGCAGACTGTGTTCGGATTTATTTGACTTGCACCAGAAAATGGCCGTTTTTTGGAGCCACTTTATATCAAGCCAAAGTACGTAATTGATGGTTGAAAAACACTGATCTACAACATTATGTTTAATGCACTTTCCTTTGGACTTATTAATTTTATCGAAAGCTTTAGAATTTCTTTTAATAATTACGAACCCATTAAATTAAAAATATTTAGCCATTTCTCCCGTTTTTGATATCTAAAAATCATTATTCAAAATTTGTTAGAAAAGTTTATAATAGATGAGTGTAATCAATATTGTTAATTATTACAAAAGTAATATTTATTAATATTTAAAAGAATACTTAATAAATATATTTTATTGTTGTTAGCTGAAACAAGCAGAGCCTATTAATCTGTGGATCGCAGTGTCTGAAGACAGCGTTACTTTATTGGAACTACAATCAATGGCAGTTATCCATCGATATAATTATGCAAACATAATTACATTTGGTGGCTGTTTAGACGATTTCATGCTTGTTGCTTGTGCGGATGAAGGTGTAACAGAACAAAAACTGCTGTTTGCCCTAAGCAAACCTAAGGTATTGCTTTCAATTAATTTTTTATTACTTTTACAAAGAAGTCATTCAAAGTTTCATGAAAATTTATAAATATAAATTATAAACATTATTTTTTCTAATAATTCTTTCTTTTTTTCATTTTATAAATAGATTTTGGAAATCACACTGTTGATTGCTGACTACATGAACGCATTAGGTCATACTTTACCTGGAACTCCACAAATGAACACTTTAACGCGAAATGGTTCACATAGATCAATAAAATCTACTATGAGACCTACGACTGGTGATTATTTACAATTTTATATTTAATAAGTATTCAAAATATATATTAAAAAATTATATAATTATTTCAAACATTACAGGATCGAGTTGTCTTCCAACGCAACCAGATATTCTAAAATCAACACCTGATCATCAAAGACCGTAAATTATAGGAAATAGTTCATACTCTTATACTTTACAATGCATAATTCATAATTTCACCAGAACTGATGAATGAAATTGGAAACTGCCTATGTCACAATGAAGTATTAATGTGATTTTGCAAAAAAAAAAAAACAAAGTATGAAGCGATAGTTTGGTATAAATTTTAATGAGATTTATATCGATTGCTTGTATATATTGCATATTAAATAATTATAATAATAACAATAATAATCATAATAATAGATGAAATTCACTTGATACTAAAATTATCTGCTCATTTTTGTTTAAATTATTATTTAGTATTTTTGCTACGTAAAATATAAAAAATATTGACAATAGTTAATCGTATTGATATTGGAATAAATATCGTTTTCAAATTAGAAACTATTTAAGTCAAATGGTAGATGGAGAATCGAAATTAAGGCAGTTGTATTACCATAATTTAGTCATATATTTAATATCTATCTATATTACATTGTAATAAAATTATGAAGACAATTAATATTGATCTTAAAATTAATTCAATTAACTATAATACATATTTTAATCTGTTTAAAATTATTTAATGTATTATTTTTAATCATATAAAAGAATACTCATGATTTCGGATGGTGTCTTTTCAGGGAACAGCTACCTTAATTTTATATGAGCAACGTTCATCTCATTTTTGCCATAATTAATGGAGATATTTAAAATTACCTCAGATTAGTAATTTAGTTTCAATATAATGTTTATGAAACATAGTACTATAAAATAATCCTAAAAATTTATTAATGTATTTAATTTGAAAAAAGAAAAAAAAAACACGTTTTCAAGCAATTTGAGCAAGTAATTTTGGCTTTAAGTGTAATTAATATTTTCTATAAATAACCATTCGTTATTTTAGTCAATGTGTAGCTACAAATGAGAAAATTCAAATATAAGGGAAGATGCGGGGCATCGTACTCTTGTTAATGAGTATGGGAGTGGCTTTCTTGCCAAAAAAAAATTTAATTTAATAAACGTAATTTTTTCATAAATGATAAAGAAATGGAAAATTGATAATATCATGTATTATTACGCGGTACAGTAAACTTCCTAAATCGTATCCTCAATGTCTTTTTTAATAAGTGTATACTATATACGTAAAAGATTTCAGATTATGGCCTATTAAATGAATAACTATGTTGTGTTGAAAAAATTGCATGAATTATGAGCATTGTACTTTTTTTGTTTGTGACTAAATTGTCACCTCATTATAAGTATGCTGGATTTTAGTCAATAATTTGTATTAAACGTACTGTATATTTAGAAGTTATTGTTAACTCATCTTTTATTGTAATTTATTTTGATTATAAGTGAAGAGATCTTACCACAAATTAATTCATTTTTATTGTGTAATATAATAAAATAGTCTTTTATTCTTAGATTTTTTACTTTAAAATTAATTAATATAAATAATGAATTTTTAAAAGGTAAAGTATTCTAAAAATACTTTATTATTATAAAATTTTTGTTAAAAATACTTTCATCTATTAATTGAGTACTCTCATATTTTTATTTGATTACAAAAAAAATATCTCTGGGATGAAGTTCTTTAATTTTAGTAAAATATTTATAAAAAATAGAATAAATCAGTACTATGTATATTAAATTTTTAGATTACTTTATGATTTATGAAAAATAATAATTGTCTCATAGAATCTTGTTTAATTGACTTTTAAAATTTTTAAATTGATGATATTTTAAAAAAACTAGTCCTATGTATTAATATTATTATTTCTAAATTACTAATAATAACCATATTTGAGTAGCATTAATATGAAAACTATAAATTTCAAAAATTAAGTAAAGATATATTTTTAGCATAATAAAACTTTTTGTAGATTTGTATCATTATATCTCACTGCATTGTAAATTTTTTTTCATGAATTTTTTTTTTTTATGAATAAAAATCGAAAAAATAAAAAATTATTTTTAATCGACGAATTTATAATTAGAAATTTTATTTTAATCTTTATACAATGATATCAAATATTGAGGATATAAACTATGTAGTTATTTTTTAATAAATAAATGTTTTGTTTCACTTTTTATTCTTCATCTGAATGTCATTCTACTTCTTCCGGTCTAACTGGATGAGTTAAAGGTATAACTGATTGTTTTAAAACATCTCTAGACAATGCCTTTCTCATATCTGCAAGTGACAAAGAAAATTACCAAATGTAAACTTTAAAGTATATTATAAAAATAATTAAATAATACGTACCGTATGCATCTTCATCAGGATCTCCATTATAATATTCTAATACAGTTCGATAAACGATATATCCCAATTGTTGATACATTTGTATAGCAATTTTATTACTCACACGCACAAATAAGTCTACAAAATATGCTTGTTTCCTGAAAAATCATTAAAATTGTAATGATTAAGATTTGGAGTAATAGTAATAAAAAAGTGTAAGTCAAAGGCTCTGAACTGAAACTTTGAAAGAAAAATTTGGGAAATAAATAATTGACTGACACTCATGATAGTCTAAAAAATAGTATGTAATTTAGGATACTTTTCTGAGACATCCTCCAAATATTTCATTAATTTTGCAGCAAGACCCAATCGTCTGTAGTCAGGTGATACTGTTAAAGCTGTTACATGCCCATGCCATGATTCTCCAGTTCCTTCTGCTTTTCCCATTACTATAAATTATAATAATACGAATTTCATCAATGTAAAGTAAAGAATTTAAAGTTTTAGATGTTTTATTTAATTATAGAATAAATAACTTACTGTAACCCATAATTTCACCACTTGGAGATTCAGCTACTTGAACATATTCTGGCCAATGGGCCAAATAAAGCATATAAAAAGAAAGTCCATACTATAATTGATTAAGGATCAGATATAAAAGAATTTTAGTATTTCTAATGAAATTTTTATTTAAGATTATTTAAAAATGATAAATTTATTTTTTTAATTATCTGTAGTATATAAACCCTTAAAATTCAACAATAAAGATGAAAAGTCCATCTGTCATTTAACCAATGTATGAGACAGTATTTCTAGATATGTTTTTTTTTTCACTGAAATGATAAATGACTTAATTTTTTCCCCCTTTTAAACTAATCACACCAATCTTAAGAACATCATCCTTAAAAGTCGTGTTTTTTTGCAGACATTCATTAAAAGCTAAAACACCTTTAACGTATATAAACGTAAAATATAAAAGGATACAGTTTCAGTTAGAGGATCAAGATTTCTGTAACAAAATTAATACTTTACTTACTACATAATATCTATAATAGTTTTTTAATTCAATATTAAATCTTTATATATTTACTTACACATTATTAAACTTAAAAAGATCATCACAAGTAAAGGGTCTAATGATAGCCATGGCTCTATTTAATAATTTATTCAATTACCACAATGTTTTTTATCGCTTCAATAGATTTTTTTAACAAAAAATGTCGCAATGAATTCAAAAAGTTCAAAGAACCAATTCAAAGAACCACAACTTTATTAGTTCAAAATTGATGAAAATAAATTACACTATGACATTAAGCTAGATAAATTTGGTTATTTTTTCATTCATATAATATATATATATATATACACATACATATGTACACATGTATATACTCTTCATTGGAGAGACATCGGCTGCCGAAAAATAACGAGCTTTATCGAACAATGTCGAAGATCTTTTAACAGTTCTATTGTTGGATAAAGAAAAATAAAAATTATTCGTCTATAAAACTGTACCATGTTACTACATATTGGCGCGCGTTATTTCCAGTGAATTACATGTGTTTACTTCTCAACAATATGTGATAAAAATAAATTAATTAATTATCATTAATATTTTTTCCAGTTAACTGCATATTTCATTCATCAGAAAACTTTTCTTTCTGATACTTATATCCATAAGGTAATATTCATTTTGGAGTATTTTTTTGTCATCAACAGAGTGTTTTAAAAACAAAATATATATATATATATATATATTCAGTGCTGTGACTATTCATAATTGTATCCCCATTCGCCAGAGCTTTATAAAATAGTCTCCCACCATCTTGGTTACAATACATACCAACAACTATATACATATTGCTTTACTACTTTTTAAAAGTAACGTCTTTGGCCAGTTTCAATACATGTTTCTAATCATCAGCAGGATAAATTTCTGACATTTTATTCAGAATAATTTTTTTATTATAATAATAATAAAATGATGATTGTGGTTGAATAAAAGTATTGATACGTTTATTATTTTAGAATCAATTAACAAAAAGTAATTGACTTAATTTCGAAATTATCAAGTTCATAATGTGACGTTACGGAATATCATATGTGTAGATAAGAAATCATAATTATGAACTAAAAGAATTAACTAAACTAAACAGTATTGAAATCGTAATGTCAACTAGGTTAGGTAATAATCGAAAATAAGGCACATCGAACAAAGGTTGATTTACTACATAAATTATGTTATGAATGACATGAAGATAGTAAAAGTTCAAAAAAAAATTTCTAAGAAGATATATTCTTAGTGATAATGAAATCATTACTTCATACCAATTATACCACATGGAGTGATACAAGACTAAATTGTGAAAAAATTTAATATACAGAGAAGTGTGTCAAAAATTGAATTAGTTACTTGTTATATTGTTCTAAAAATCAATTTGAAGAATAATATATATTACAATCAGTGATTTCTGATATTAATCTGACTGCCATTACATCACAAATAATTACCTTGATTGTCACCGGTAGTTTTCAATGAAACATTATTGTTTTCTAAATAATAATCACATTATTTAAAGTATGTATTATTAAAAATGTATACACAGAGAGAATAATCTAATACGATATATAATGATATATGTGTATTTAATTGTAAAAAAAAATTATTATATAATTTAAGAAAATGCTATGGTGGACATAAGCCGTGCACGTGAGAGCTGCTCGATATTATATGACGGGTGGCTTCTTCCAAAGATGACAGACTCATCTTCGCCTTCTTCAACATTTATTAAGTAAGAATCTTTATCTATATTGTTCAAATACATACTTTGTTCAAGTTCTGTATTTTACATAAATTTTTTTAGTAATATTGCGTGACAAACTCTTGTATGCCTTTGAAAAGTCTATCAAATAACCTTGTTTCAGTCAATTTTTATCTTCAATACTAAAAATACAACAAATACAACTATTTAATATTTAATACATAATAAAAATCATGTTATAAACAATAATATTAATATATATTAAAATAATAAATAATAATTCTTAGCCTTTAAATTAGTTAAAAACTATGTTTTTGATAAAAGTACATTAACAATCATTTTGATTATCATATTCATGGGTAGAATGCTTATTATTGTTATTGTAAATAAAAACTTATACTACGAAATGTTAAGTTAAAATATTATAATGTTGGTTAAACATTATCATGAACTGTAATTATTCTTTTTAACGAATATATGCACAATAAGTTAACAAATTATAGTAAAGCTAAAAATGTCACGAAAACATTGTCACGCAGTGTAATTAATAAAAGATGAAGTGGATTGTTATAAAAGAAAAAAAATGAGTTGCACTTATAATATTACTGATATTTAATAATTACTTTAAAGTCAAAAAACATTTTTTTTTTCACTACAAATTTTTATACAACATTTATTCGTATTAATGTAACATGTTTTATTGATTACGTTTTCTTTATTAGATAAAAAAAAATTAGACTTATAGATAATAACAAAATGTTTTTGGAGCATTTTACTGAAGTATAAGGGAATTTTATTTAAACAATTACTCTTATCAAAAGTCGATTAATCTAATTTGTTGGAATATATGTGATTTATTTTTATACATTTTTATTTAAAAGAATATTATAAACCTGAAGTATTAACTATTTCAATTGTTTTGAATATTTAAGGTCTATTAGACACACACTATGAAATTTTGAACACTTAAAATTAACATAGAATTAATGTTCCTTGACCTAATAATTTATTTGATTTATTTGTCGTTATCCAGTTATATAATACGAATAAATAAAAAAGATATCCTGTGAAAAATGAGCATCATCATGTACTAGTTAATAGTTTTCATTTAAATTATAGTTTTTTATCATTTATTTTTTTTATATTTTAAATAATATTTTTATACAATCCAATGATGTAAGACATATCTAATTGAATTCATCATGAAAAGCACCTATCTCAATTCTTAACAATATAATTGCATAAGTGGATAGTGCAAAGGCTTCCGTATATCAATATAGAGTGCAATACTAGTATTGAGACTTATATTAAACTAACTTTAAATGAGGAAATGAACAAATAACTTTTGAAATCGAATATCGAATATGATACATTATTTTTTTCATTTTTTCAGCACCATCAACAGCATTCTTAATCTCATAAAATCTCTTCTACGCATAGGATTTGTTATTATTAATAATATTTACTGTATTCCTACGTATGTAACATGGATGATGTTACTATTACCGGTCAAAATAATTCAACCAAAAATTTATTGGAGAATAGAGGGTCTATTTTTTCATTGGTTACTAGCTATGGTATCAATGTGGTCTTGGTCAGCTGGATACGATGGTAAGTTTTCCATCTTAATCAATCAATTTTGTTTACTTTATTGTTTTATTTATAAAAAAATGTTTTGCAGTTGTTGAACATGGTGATGATGTTCGACCAATTATAAATGACAGAACACTGGTTATAGCAAATCACCAAAGTACTGGAGATGTCCCTATTCTGATGACAACATTTAATGCGAAACCAAATGTTTTACCAAATCTCACATGGATTATGGATAGAATGTTTAAATTTACTAATTTTGGCATTGTTTCTCTATTGCATGCAGATTTTTTTATCTCTTCGGTATGTTTATAATTACTATTGACATTAAAAGATTTATAAAATAATAATCGCATAATTTTTACTTAATTACAGGGTCGAAAAAGACGAGAAGAAAGTCTGAAACACTTAGAAAAGCATTTGGATAATTATTATATTCCCTTAGAACGAAAGTGGATAGTTCTTTTTCCGGAAGGAGGATTTCTTTGTAAAAGGCGAGAAACTTCACAAAATTATGCAAAGAAAAATAATTTGCCTATTTTAGAAAATGTTACTCTACCAAGAGTCGGTGCTATGCGGACCATTTTTGATAAACTCGGTCCAGCTCAAAATAATAACACCTCTGAAGGGCAGCTTAATCCTAGATCAAGTAATTAGTATTTAATCTCACAATAGTAACCATGAATAATACAATTATTCAATTTTTTCATTAGCTATAAAATTATTTATTTCAATAAGCTATTCATTGTTCATAAAAAATTATTCGTTTTTAAGAATGTTTTGAATTTAATATTTATTTTAAAATTTTAGATCCAATAGTCATTAAACCGGAAGTACGTTGGGTTCTCGATATTACAATTGCATATCCTCAAGGTAAACCTCTGGATTTACCAACAATTATAACAGGATCACGGCCACCATGTGAAACCGTCCTTTTTTATCGAATTTATCCTAGTACTGCAGTATGTAATTTAAGTTATATAAGACCTATCTTCATGTGAAATTAAATTATTAATATAATTATAGTTTTTGTAGTATTATACTTAAACAAAATGAAAAAGCTATTCTTTTTTTTTTGTCTGCAGGTTCCAAAAGACTCAGATTTATTATCTAAATGGCTGTATGATAGATGGGTGGAAAAAGAAAAACTATTAGATAATTTTTATAAATATGGAACATTCGGTGACACTAGACAACTTAATGAAGGTTTAAAAATACAACAAGATCCTCTAAGATATTTAGTGCTACACTTGTTTTTCCTTACGTCTAGTTACATTCACTATAATATGTTTTCATATGTGTTTTCGTATATTTGGTGAGAATAATTTTTATTTGATATCAAAATTTATTAAATTCAATGGATTTTATAAGTTATATTATACAATTTACCGCACATTGCAAAATATTTAAATCACCTGTGGTACATAATGAATTTTACTAAACATTTTCTCACATGCTGCCTGTGTAAAATTAACTAGAAGTTCTATAAAACTATTGCATTTTATTAATAGATTACTATACAAGCATTGAATGAAGATTTTTTAAAAATATTCTTCAATAACAACTTCTTGTCATTATATTTAAAATTTTAAAACTTTAGTCACAGTATTAATAAAATAATTGCAGAAGAAATTTTCCACTTTTAATAGTTCAATAAATATCACTGGCTTTTGATATTATTCATTATATTATAGACTATTATTTCATTGCAATTAATGATTAATTTTAGATTATAACTTAAATGCTTGATACTAATTTTAAAATAATGTGCAGTGCTTTGTAAAATGAAACATTTTCGGATGAAATTTGATAAATATTGTATTTTTCAAAATCTTTGTAAGTAAAATTTAAAATGGATAATTAAAAATGGTGAAAATGGTGCGTGCATGTATGTACGTAAGCATGTATGTAATTTTTTAATATCATAATTAATACGGTTAAAAATAACACAAAATTTTATACGGCCCATTCTTGGTATTCTATCTTAAATTTATACAGTAATAGTGTATGTATGTACATAGATTTCTTATTGTTTTGTAAAAGATTATTTTTATTCAGTTTGATGAAAATGATTTTGATTAAGTTACGATGATTATTGTAAGAGCTATTTTATTTCCTCAATAAATGTAATGCATAGTATAATCATTGAAGTTTATCGAAACAGTTTAACAAATGAATTAAAAGTCAAAAAAATGTGATGTATTTTATTAATACATTGAACTAAAAACTTTAAATAATTTTAATTTTATTTATCTTAGAACTTTAATTTTTAGGACACGCGTAATTGATTGTTTAGATTATTAAGCTTATAATTATTAATTTAATCTGCTATTCATTTGTAAATATAATTAAAAATTTTTCCATTCACAATCGTTTGATTTATGTGTTTTTTTTTTTATTTATCAAATTTTAATTCCCAATGTGATACATATATTTAATTTTTAATCTTAAAGCCAATTATCGAATATAATTATAATCTATCTTGTATAATATCTGTGAATATTATGATTTAGTATCGCCCTATTCTTAGGCTACTGATAAGTAAAAAAATATTTATGTTAATTACATAAGGACTATGTACAGATATCACATTTTTATTTTGTGTTTTGCTGTAATTATTGATAATTATATGGATATTAACGATAATAATAATTATGATTAAAAAATGAAGCGTCTTCTATTTATTGACTATTATGAATAATTTTAATTATAGAGTGGATATTATTTATGAAATATCAATTTTTATATTGTTTGTCAATCATTTATTAAATTTATTAACAATTATTTCATTTTAATGACTTATTTTTATGTTAAAATAAAAAAAATCCAACAGGTCACGTCTCTATGCCTTTCTACGCTCTTCTACAATCTTATAGGAATTTATTGGAGTCAAACGCTCAAAAATTTCCTTTTTTATTACGAAAACATCAAGAGCGAAGAGGTATTTGATTGGAATAATCCTTTTTTATCGACCGTTCAAAAAATTTAGTTTGTATTTTATTTTTAAGATGCCGCTAGGTGTAATATTCCAAAAATTTACCATAGATCGATAAAAAAGGATAATTCCACGGAATACCTCTTTATTTTTATACTATTTGATCAAATACCTCTTCTCTCCTGATGTTTTCAGAATAAAAAAGGAAATTTTTGAGCGTTTGAATCCAATGAATTCCTATAAGATTGTAGAAGCGCGTAGAAAGGCGTAGAAAATTGGACGTGACCTGTTGGTTTTTTTTATTTTAACATAAAAGTAAATAAATAAAATGAAATAATTGTTAATAAATTTAATAAATGATTGATAAACAATATAAAATTTAATGTTTTATAAAAATATTTACTTTATTGTTGTGGTTATTGATTATAATAAAAATATAAAAGACACTTCACTTGTTCTATTCATTGTCAAAATTTTGTTTTAAGAAGCAAGATATTTTTATTATTAGGTTTAATTTATTAACAAATACTTCTCCTTCATCATACAAAATATATTCTTAAAGTAGATTGTACTTTTATCTATCAAATAGAATAGTTATCAATAAAAAACAATGAATAAGTATTTTGATCGACAAATTATAAAAAATGTCTTCAATCATGAAAACCTATGCTGTGGCTAAAATAATACAAAGCAATACCTAAATCTTCGTGCTCAGACTTGATTAGAATATTCTAAAATTGATCTAGCATTTGGAGAAGTAGGAACATCTAATATTTTTTGTGTACATCCATTTCTCTAGATGATCAAGAAATAATCAAGTCTACACAGTTTATCAAGTAACGTATACAGTCATCAAAGGAACTAGAGATTTTTAGAGATTGATATTCAAAGATTTTATCTTCTTCTGATTCCAAAACTGATCTATTAATCTCAACAGTTTCACTTTGATGTTCCCTTAGGGACATTGATGACATTCCAGCTCTTGTCATTCTCAATAACTCCAGTTGGACTCGTAGACTCATCTTGACTTATAGTCTCTTCAAGTCTATGATTGAGCTCAATTAAAAATAAACCAATTGTCCTCAAAATATCCTGATTTTATTTAGTTCATTGTCAAACAATAATTTTTTATATTCATCATGTAGAGTTATTGTTTATAGTTTTGAACTGTTCATAGAATTGATACTCAATCAGCAAGACCATATTAGTTGAAATTACTCGAGCAACCTGTATGATTAAATTACATATTATAATCTCGAATTTTTTATAAAGATAAATGTAAATATTTAATGAGAATTTCATTGACTCTATAATAATCCTACTATCAAGTGATCATAGGTTCTACAGCTTAATGATTACTTACTGAAGTTAATAAACTGTTATCCAAACGAAATAATCCACAAGCAGTAAAACATAAGGACTTCCTATGAAGCAATTCTATTGAAAATTGTTCCAGCTAAAAATAATCAAAGTTCATTAATAAATTATATTATTTGTAAATATTATCAAAACTGTTAATCACATTACCTGACGTTTTACAGTTATTTGTGTAAAAAAGTTTCCAACCAATCTATAAACGATGTCACTTGTTTTTTTCATCTGAAAGTTATTCCATTAATTACCAAGATTGATTTAATTTTAATATTATATTAAATTTCGAATAATTAACAAAAAATTTTCCTTACCTCGGACATTAAATTGGTGACAGAACATGTTAGCAATGATATTAAATAAAATTGTTTAAACATTATCAATAAAATTGGAATATTATCACTTGACCAACTTTTTTCTTTGAAAATTAGTAAGCCTATGTGAGATAAATTGAGAATTGAACAGACACAAAAAAAAAATATATTAAGTAATAATGACAAAGAAAAAAAATCTGAAAAATTACATAACACTTCACTAAGATCTCGTTGAATTTTACGAATAAAAAGGATCTTTTTCAAAATCTCATTGTTATTATTCGTGTCAATTAAAAAAAAAGAAGAATTTTTACATCTCTTTTTCGATTCTAATAATGATAATAAAATATTATTTAAATTTTTATATATTTTACAAATAAAAATAAGAATAATAACAAATTGTAATATTATATTTCCAATAATATATGAAACTGTAAGTAATAAAAATCTTATATAATTTTTATTATAAATAGACATTCCTATTAACACTAAGTTATCTAGAATGTATAAAAAAAATTTTGGAAGCAAACATTTTTTAAGTTCCAGTTGATAGTCATTTCCAAGTACTTCTAATACACTTTTATTTAGGAATAATAGGATGTTGATATATTTTAATAATTGTTTCTGTCGAATAGAATAAATTGAAATAATATATACTAAATTAATGATTCCACTAATTATAATCCCAATTATATACATAGCTGTTATTTTGTTATTGGTATAATGAATATGTCTTTCTATTTTACTTATCATCCATATCAATATTATTGTTAAAAATAATAGCAAGATAAAATTATAAATTGATCCCATTTTAGAGTAACCAAATTTTATTGTCCATTGTTTTTTATCTTTGTGTTTATTTGAGGAAACGTAAATTGTAAAAGGAGCTGATCCAAATATTTTAAATGAAGCAAATAATATTTTTAACAAATAAACTTCATAATGTGAAAAATGACGTTTAAAATTTTCAATCATTTTCAAAAGTATTTATGTCAATTATTAAATTATTGTTCAACTAAACACAATCACCACAAATACTTTTTGGTGAAAATTTGACTACAACAGAAGCAAGTGTTATTTTATGCTTTTCCATTTGACACAATGAATATTTATGATTAGAATTAATATAATTGAGGTGTTCAATTATTTATGAGTAACAAATTGATTCCATTTTAACGGAAATTAATTCAGAAAAAATGCAATGAGAGAATTTGAATTCTATTGAATCGATTAAATTAATTAAATTGTATTATGCATGAGAAATTTCAAGGTTGTAATTATGATTAGGGGACAACTCCAATCACGATGAAATTTTGGACATTTGTTGACCTTCGGGGGACATGGAAATCTCCAAGTGATTTTTGGCACAAGTGCTCCATAAAATTTTTATGGAGGTTTACAATTTCAATCATACATGTACTTAGCCATTTATTTATAAATATTTTGATTTAATTGATCGAGAAAGGGGGTTATGGCAAGGTGGGGTGTCGAGGTCCGGTTGTTGAAAATGGATAATTACTCCGATGCGGAGTTGGTTTCCTTTTTTGGGACCAATGGGCGAAGCCATTGCTTAAAGAAGATTTGAGGGCACAGCCTACAATATAAACGAAATTTATTAATCACTAATTGAGGTAAATACATAAAAAATTAATCCAAATGGGGTCTTCCCCTAATTGAAACTGTATCCAAGTTTACTTTGCCAACAATCAACTGGACATATCAACTGTTGGTAGTTGTTCAATTTACTATAGTTTTTAGGCCAAATGTTGCTTGGGGATTTTATTATTGGACTCCAATTTTGATTGAGCTCTTCTAAAAAAGTTGTAAAAATAATTTTTGGTAGTTTATTGTTGTAAATTAAATTCTTCAGTTATGATTTATTATGTTAATGAAAAAAGTTAGGTTATTTCGACCAATTTACATTTGAAATTATGGTTTTAATTATGATAATAATAAATAAATTATAAATTTAATACTGCGAAGGGACTTTTATATTTGGATGTTTAAATATGGTAGGCCTTTTGCTTTTCCATATCACCCGATAGCACCCAATAGAAATACGTGCATATAACCTATATTTTCTTTCTATTTCCTCATTCTTTATTTTAGTGAGACATGCACACATATTCATGTCAAACATAGTGTGAAAAGAATAATATTTTGGCTTTCGGGGGCCTGATATTAGTGAAAATGGTATGAAACAACAATGTAATAATATTTATCTTAATTAATTTTACAAAATGTAACGAGTACGGTTTAAATCATTCGTCAACATCTTTTTTCATATACGATTGTTTTTAAATCTGTGCTCTAACCTGATTTTAGTGTATTTTTATAACATTTTTTAACTTTATTGTGATATTTTTGTTGTATTACAAATAATAATTATATTTTTACAAATATTGGTGATATTCTTAGTAATATTATTTGTTTTTTAATTCCAGCATAAGCTTAAATTCTCACAGAAAGACAAAGTCAAAAAATTTATAACTTTCACTCAAACTGGTGAACAAACAGCAATTTATTGTCTGGCACAAAATGATTGGAAGTTAGATTTAGCCAGTGATAACTATTTTCAAAATCCAGATGCTTACTATAAAGAACCCAAAAATTCTGTTGATAAAAAGAAATTAGACATTTTATTTACCAGGTATCAGGGTAAGTGTGTTATGAATACATTCAGGTCTCTGTCTAATAATACCCAGTGGGTTTTAATAATGATTTCTTGATTATTATTTGAAAACCTCATTATTAGTACCATCAAAGCAATGACAAACATGAGAACACATTTATTTTTGATATTTTGTTCTTGGAGTAATCATTTTTTCGAAGACTAATAAAGTAATCAAATCTTTAAATCTATATGTTTATATTATTTTTAGTAATCAATCATAATTAAATAACATTTTTTAAGTACTATTGAATTAATATAGTCCTAATAAAGATGAACTTCTTTGATAAAGACTTTTCCAGTCAACAAAGTTTTATTAAATTCGAAATATTTATTTAACAATTTTTATTTATTTATTTTTTATTAGTACATTCTTATGTCAAGGTGTGGTTGCCTGTAAAATTCAGCTTCCTAATATGACCTTAAAACACTGCTATGTCATCTCATGATTGCACAACACTTTCTCGTTGTTTAACTCACAAATTTTACTCTATAAGGCGAAGGGTAGCTGAAACCTGTATTTCAATCAGGAACTAGTCTACTACATTTACTGTCATACTCTTTATTTTACTTTCAATACAAATTTACAGTCATCATGCTTTATCCAGACAATATTTTATATAAAATTATTTAACTTCAAACCCTTATGATGCATGACTTTAATTGTTTTAGATCCGAGTGAGCCAGACAAAATCACTGAAGATGGTATTATGAAATTTCTCGATGATCTTTCACTAACCCCCGAAAGTAAATTGGTTTTAATTATCGCTTGGAAATTCAAAGCAGAAACTCAATGCGAGTTCACTAAAGATGAATTCATCAATGGCATGAATGAATTGGGGTAAGAAAGTTCATTCATTATTTGAACACATTTTTTTTTCGGTTCTCATATTTAATTCATTCTGAAAGAATATCGGATCAAAGAATAATTTTTAAGAACTGAGCGTCTTAAATGATTTAGTTTAACCTAGTTAAAATTATTATATAATTAATATTCAATAATCGATAATCAATATTCAATATTCAGTCTTTAACTATGCGAAAATTATTTCCGCCACATTAGGACAATGAATAATATGAATTCTATTAATTTTCAGTGCTGATAGTATCGATAAACTCAAAGCTCGACTCAATAGTTTGGAAAATGAACTAAGAGATTCATTGAAATTCAAAGATTTTTATCAATTTACTTTTAATTATGCTAAAAATCCAGGTCAAAAAGGACTTGATTTAGACATGGCTATTGCCTATTGGAACATAGTTCTTAAAGATAAATTCAAGTTTTTGGATTTGTGGTGTCAATTTTTACAGGTATGATTTTAAGTTATCTTAACACTTGATAATTCCATACTGATATATATATTCTTTTTTATCAACTATAATTTCTGAAAAAAATCTAGAGAAATTGTTAAAAATATTTTTGATCATAATTTGATAAATAAAATACACTTTTGGTTTCAATTACGTTCATAATAATCTAAAAACTATGCTGTTTAAAATCATATTAATAAGTAATGATTTATTTTACCAGGAGCATCACAAAAGATCGATTCCTAAAGACACGTGGAATCTTCTATTAGACTTTGCTTTAATGATAAACTCAGACATGTCTAATTACGATGAAGAAGGTGCTTGGCCGGTGCTGATTGATGATTTCGTAGAGTGGGCACAGCCACGAGTACGTCAATCTCTCTAACGTCTTTCATTTGTATTACCTAAGTATCAAAATTCAAGAATATTCCGTCGATGAGAGATAAAACAAAACGTTTAAATTCTAAAATAATAATTACATTAATTTGCTTCATTACTTCAATATTAATATATCACATTGAAACAATGCTTCTGTTGAGTAACTTATCAAATAAGTCACGTGGAAGAACGATATTTAATTTTTGAAATCACACCTTGTTGCTCAACTACTCAAATAATGATTTCAAAACATGTTATGATAGTTACGGAAATTATTATGAATATTACTTCAATAGTTTTGCTTTACTTCAATACTTTTTCAAGTTTTAAACATGAAAATTTATATTGTTTATAACTAGATTTACCTGTAAATAGACAGAATAAGACAGTAATTATGCTGTTAAACTAATATATAAAACATAACAACATAATTACGATAGAAAAGAATTCTTATAATGAGTTATTTTCTGCTATTTTTGGCATTAGAATTAGATTATTTATTAAGTTTCTATTTTGACAGCTTTTGGAACTTTTACATTGCCATTAGTATGTTATGTTTTTTTTATTTTACTAAAATTTCATTTCGTTAAAAAGATACTTAACGTACTATCCATACTATTACAATATAAATATTCTATTAATCGTAAAATTTCGATATTCCTGATTTTTCTTAAAGTTGTTATTGATACTTGGCTGTAAAATACCCAGTGGATAAACAAAATGAGATAACTAAAATTTTACTATTACATCTTTGACAATTAAAGTGAGTGTAGAGTACTTAGATCAAATATCTATTTCAAATATATAAATTATTTGTCTATCTGAATATATTCTTTGAATTGTTAAAAATTGGAATTTAACGTTATAACGTTCATCAAAAAAATTATGTAGACTCTTTGAATTAGAAAAAAATAGTTTGACATTATATTTTTGCTAATATTATTGGAAAATTAAGATCATTTTGGCAACAATCTTTTTTATTTTCTTAGATAAGTAATTTTATTTCAAATGAATATAAGTGTGTTTTTAATATAAAATCGTGATTATCTTTTGAATAATGTTTAAACAATGAACTTAAATTGAAATTAAAAAAAAAAAAAAATAATATTAGAAAAAATTTATAACAAAAAATGGTTGAACTATTATTTTTTGACTCTCAAAGTGTCTTGTAAAAATTATCAAGTATTGTAATTTAAATTTATCAAATATATTGAATTGAAGTAGATCCAAAGATATTACGTAACAAGAATATGTATTTTCGATAGACATATTTTATAAAGAGAAAAAATCTGAGTGGAATAGTAATTACTAACGAAATTAAAACAAAAGAAAGATAAAAATACTTTACTGAAAATTGTAAAGATGTGAGTAAAAGTAATGTGAAAAATGTTCAAGTATTCCTTAGAAAAATTTTGTATATAATGTAAATAATCGTCAAACTATATATCTATATAAAATGGAAAATAGTTAAATCTTTGCTGTTTCAAATAAAAAATGTCTTAAAAATTATATTGTCGTTGATTATTAAATAAAATATGTTAATATGTATTAAAAAATTTATAAAATTCACCTGTATATTTATGTTCAATCAGCTATCCAATATCTGTTAGAAAAATTGCATTTTAACTTTGATAGAGAAATGCTAGTTCATACTGATCAGCATGAGCATTAAAGCAGTTGTATAAAACAGCGTCAATGTACCAATTACAAAGGCTCTTTAGCTGCTCAAACTTAGCCTATTTCGTTGAATAAAATCATTTTAATAAAATTTGTTGAATTAAAAGGAAATAAATGATATGTTAGTGAAAATACTTGTGCTATAACTAGACCACGATCAGGATATTGAGGTGTTGAGTGATTGTGTGAGTCAAAAAGAATTATTTTGCCAATCATTTCTTGGAAAATGTAAAGAATTGTTCGACCACAAGTGATCAAAAGCATGATTAAAGTATCTGCTTTTGGACTTTGATACCATTCTTCAAGGTACTGCTGGATATTATTGCTGATATTCTTCTTTATGTCTTCCCTGAAGATATGAAACTTCTGAAGAAATAAATCAATATTATGTACTTAATTATTTTTAATTGATTATAGTAAGAATAATTGTCTTATCCATTTTTTCTTACCCATTCTACTAGACTTTTCAGACGTTTTCCACCAAATTTAAGGGCCTCTACAGTATCTAGATATGGATGAGAAACCAAAGACTTTCGAATGATTGAAGCATGTCTTCTATTTCCTTCAACAATGGACTCAGCTATGAATATTCCAAGCTGGGGATATTTTTCAATGTTTTTGATTTGAAGACCTGATTGGCATATTCTTTGAGCAACGAGAAGACATATTAATGTACAAGCTTGACTTGCTTACGGAAGATAAGATTTGGTTAATTATGTGACTATGATTAATTTCATTAAGTCAATAATAGTTTACTTTCTTGTCCAGGTGGATAACGACTTTGTGTAAATTTAGAACTGAACCAGTACACTTGAATTTCTTTAACTGATGCATCTTTTATGTATGATGGAAAAGAATGGCCATCAAACAATGGAGGTAGAGGCATTTTTATTGTATTTTAAATGTTTAATTATGTTTATAATAAAAATTCAGTTCTAAATGGAATTTTTAATTATTTTAAAGGGATTAAATTTCACTGAGAATTTAAAAATTTGAATTTTGACAGCTAAAAGGTTAAATTTATGTTAATAAGTATTTTTGTTCGTTGTCATTCTGAAAATGAAATTCAAAAAAATTCAACATTTGAACATTTTTACCAGCTGTTGATAATACTTTTCACGTCATTGAAAAAATTATTTTCAATAATAAACGATCAGTTTTGTAAAATTACGACAGGATTGTTAATTTTATAAATAAAAAATTAATAAATACTCATTGTAAAGTAAGTTCAAAATTTATTCAATAGTGTAAATATTAAATTATTGTGTCATATTGCAAAATGGCATCAATGAAATTCGGTTCGCATTTGAAGGAATTAAGGTTTTTACTGTGTCAAGCATCAAAATCTAGTCAAGGTGTTAGGTAAATATTTAATAATTAATCAACTGATTCATAGAAATTATTAGAAATTCCAAATATTACTTTGGATTCTTAGAAAAGCAAAAGAATTATTGAATTAAATCTAATTAGAGGTTAGAAATATGTTTTTAGCTCTTCAGTTTAATGAATAATATCGTGTATTATGTAAGTAAGAACAATCTTATATTGCAGAGACTTTATTGAAAAACAATATGTTCCACTGAAAACGAGTAACCCTAAATTTCCAATGTTAATAAGAGAATGCTCTAAAATAGAGCCCCGATTATACGCTAGATATGGTGAGTCTTGAATGAAATATTATTGTTTTTTAACTGAAACTTACTACATGATATAATAGATGCTTTATAAACATTTTCTAATGTTTTTATTCGCTTCTAGAATTTGGGAAAGAAGCTTCAGTCTCATTAGCAGATCTAAATGCTGACCAAGTTCTTCAAAAAGTTCAACAATTAGCATCATCAAAGCCATAAAGTACTTCTTTGTAAAAATATTACGTATGTGTAGATAATAGATTCTTTTAGTTAATAATAATAACGACAAAATATTGAATACATAAATAAACGAGCTTTAATTTCCACAATCAGTAGATTTTACTTGGAATTTTTACAATTGTCTTTAATTACATTTATTTACTATTTATGAAAATAATTTTACAATTTTTTCAATATATTCTCTTTGGACAGAAAGAAGGTTGCTAGTTTTAAATTACAACTTTTAATTAACTTCTCAAATGTGCATTGTTATATTATTTGAACGATTTTAAATTCAATTATTTAATTTAAATTTTACGATCATAACTAATTGATGCTAATTTATTCGGATTTTTGTTAATCATCAAATGCTGGAAGTCCAAACACTTCAGGTTTAAAATCTTCCATACTGTTTAAAACTAAAGTCGCCTTTTCTGTTAAATTTTTTGGTAAATTTGGATCAGGTACCATTACAACTTGCATCCCTGCACTAACTGCTCCTTGAACACCATTTGGAGAGTCTTCGAAAACAAGACACTGTAAATAAATGATTATTTATCAGAACCAATACATATTCTTCATTTATACGCAAACAATAACAAATTACGTATTTATAATTTCAGTGTTAATCTACATATAAATCATTAGAGCATAAATTAGTAACTGATGACATTGACAATTGTTTAGTGAATAATTGTTGAAACTTATTCACTTAGGTATATTAATTATTTTAATTAATTATCAAGATAACTGTAATTTACAATAAACCAATATGAAAAATATTACCTTGGCAGGATCTGGTTTATCTGGAAATCGACTAGCACAGACCAAAAAAATATCTGGAGCCGGTTTCCCATTTTTAACTTCATCATCTGAACTTCCACACACACGGTGATGGAAAAGCTCAAATATAGGTTTAAGATTTTGAGTTTTCAATTCATAACTTGCTTTGCTAGAGCTTGTTGCTAAAGCTATTGGAATGTTGTGTTTGTGTAAATGCCGCAGAAGTTTTTCTGTTCCTGTTAAAAATTATATAGAATGAAAAAATAATTCTTTTACGTTCATATTAGTATCACATTTACATAGATTAATAATTGATTCTTATTCTAAAGAATCAAACCTGGAAGCTTACTCTTTTGATTTCAATCATATTTTTAATTATTATCAATGAATTTTAGATATCATTTTATGTTTAAAATATTTTATTTGAAATCTAAAATCCATTGTTATGAATAATCTTGTCAATGACCTTGACCTTAGCTCAATCGATTCTAATATATCTAGGCAGATTCATCAATAATTTTGTTGCATTTCAAACAAATAAGTTTTTTTCTAGTTTAATCTATATAATGTGCCATACTTTGGAGGTAAAAATCATTTTGACAACTTCCAGCTTTTGATACAGTTTGATAATGAATGAATTAATAACTGATTAATAACTAAATACAGCAGATTCAAAAAGTGGTACATGACAGTTTTAAGATGAAGTATCACCCATCAAAATCAATGTTGTTATAAATAATTTAAAGAAAATGTTAAGATTTCATCAACAAAACCCTGTACAACAAAAATAAAACCACCAGATATTATGTATCACGAAAAAAAATATAAATTTTATGCAAAGCATTCAAAATTTATAATATGTACACATTGAAGTGATGATTGAATTATTAAATTTTGTAGACCTGGCATCATTCTAACTTGATTGAATAATTTGTGTTGTAATTCATGGTATTGTTCTCCAAATTCTTCCATGCTCAAAGGTAGTTTATAATAATCAATGATAATTTCAAAGCCTACAAGTTCCGGACGTCCAAGGACTTGAAATTCCACATCACCTTCGTACTTATGCCCATACACTGATACAATTTTATTGTATATTGTCTTATACACGCTTTCCGAATCTGCACAAAAAGAAGAAGTTTTTATAAATTATATTAGCGAACCTGGAAGCATTTCGCTTTTAGAAAAAAGCTCTTCATAGTGTGGCAACACTTGTTGAATGAATTCTTCTGGAGTTATTGGTAGATCAAGCATCTCAATAATTTTGCTGAAGTTGTCATTAGTCTGTAATCCCATCGTTGCTGCTTTGTGTTCCCACGTAAATTCCTTTCCATATTTGTTTACCACTCGATTAAATGCCACAGTATATCGAGTCTCTGTGTCTGTTTTACAAGGTAGATTAGAAACATCATTCAAACAAATTATAACATAGATTAGTTACTTTGATGTTCTTATTACTGATAAGAAATAAATAGTCTTAATAGTTTTGTAAATTCACCAATACAGAAATGATATTTTATTGTAGATTATTTTATGTATGTTTATTGATTAAAATTAAATAATAGTCATTAGAAAGAACAATCAAATTCATAAATCTTTATCAATATTCCAACGAACAATGGATGAGAGTTATCTAATCTTTTTTTTGTTCAAGTTTTGAAAAAATTTTATAAATGTTTGCTCTAGAAAAAAATATCTAACACTTTAGAAGAATTATTTACGAGTTATTGATTAACTATATAACAGTTGAACGTAGGAAAGATGTAACAGAACATTTATATTGATTTCTATTGATATTTGAAATTTAGTTGGACACTATTTTTAAAACAATATACGTTCATGAGCTTCTAAAATATCGAAAACATTTACTGATGACACGGTACATAATAATATAAAATTAAACTATGATCCAATGTTGCAAAGATATTGCATAAGTTGAGCTCATTGCTGCAATAAAAATTGTTCGATATAAAAAAAGTACAGTAAGTTGGTGAATAGAAAAAATATGTAGAATTATTATTGAAAAAGAAAAATGATATTTAATAAATTTAACATACCAATAAGTAATCCATCCATGTCAAATAAACAGTGAGTTACAGGTTTGAAATTAGTAGCCATATCGTATTGTTGGAATTTTGTCAATTTCACAAAAATTTACAATCAAGTCACTTATTTTTGATTTACAAGTAAAACTATGTGGTAATATTTATTATTTATTTCAAACTTTCAGTTATGACTTGCTGTAATTTTGGAGTAATTCAAAAAAAAGTGACTAGTCCTGGGTGGATAGGTTATTTTCTGAGTGACAACTGAAATGAATCGACACTAAAAATTTGAAACAAAGTATGTAAGTGTATTTTTTCACACCCACTATACCTCTGTCAATAAAGACAAAAGATGTCGAAGCTATTTACAATTGATAAAAAAAGTAATCTTTGTTATCGATTAATAATTGATAACGTAGTTCACTTCTAAATGTGAAGAAGTGATATTTAGTCATTGTAGAACGTTTTATATGTCATTTACGACTTTCAAAATCCAAACAAAATTATATAATAATAATAATAATAATCGCAATAATAATAATATAATAATAAATAAGTCAGTGCTTTGACTAATCTACATTGTTAATATACATTAATAGTTTATTGCATGTAAAACGCAATTCGTATAATAAATGTCAAATATGGTAAGTTTAAACAGAAAAAGAAAATTTTTAAAGTGATAAAAGTTATCATTATAAATGAGTGATTAATAAAAGGGTTATAGCTTTGTTCTCTTCAATTAAATTAACGTTAAATTTTTAATAATGGTAAAAAATATTTTATTATTGTAGAAGAATAATTATATACTGTTTATTTGTTTTCGTAGGATGATGATGACCAGTATCAAGCAGGTTATGATGCTGGCTCTTTTCCTCAAGATTTTGGATACACCCCTTTTGATGGCGTTGAGACTGATGGATCTACGAATTTATTAGCTGGAGAACAGAAACCTAGAATATTGTTGATGGGTCTTAGAAGGTAATTTTATTATACATAGCAATCAATTATGATGTTTTTTTAATTATTGACAGCTCTACATTGAAGAATCGTTGTACTTAGAGTGTTGAATCATCTGGGTTAGGTATTCGTTTGATTCTATCAACAGAAAATGAATGAGTCATACTCATTGTATAGAAGAAAAAGGAAGATAAAGTTAACAATTTAAATGGAAATTAATCAATAAAAATATAAAGAACATAAGATTATTGAAAAAAAGTTATTTAAATCTAGAATTTCTATTTTTTTATAATCAGTATGATAACTCTTTTATTAGAATAACATTTTTATTTTATTATTACACCGTTATTGAACTAATAATCTATACATGTATCTTCTATAATTGTTTTAGGAGTGGAAAATCATCCATACAAAAGGTTGTATTTCACAAAATGTCACCGAATGAGACTCTTTTCCTCGAAAGTACAAATAAGATAATAAAAGATGACATTAGCAATTCAAGTTTTGTGCAATTTCAAATTTGGGATTTCCCTGGCCAAATAGACTTTTTTGATCCTACGTTTGATAGTGATATGATTTTTGGAAGCTGTGGTGCACTAGTATTTGTAATAGATGCCCAAGATGATTATATGGAAGCTCTCAATAAACTACATTTAACTGTCACTAAAGCATATAAAGTAAATCAAGCCATTAAATTTGAAGTTTTTATCCACAAAGTTGACGGATTATCGGACGATTATAAAATGGAGACACAGAGAGAAATTCATACAAGAGCTAATGATGATTTACTTGATTCAAATTATGATCAAATACACTTGAGCTTCCATTTAACGTCTATTTACGATCATAGTATTTTTGAAGCCTTCAGTAAGGTAGTACAAAAATTAATTCCTCAACTACCTACCTTGGAGAATCTTTTAAACATTCTTATATCGGTAAATATTATTTTGAATTTTATTAAAATATGTACACTACCTTGTATTTCGTCCATAATCTTTTAATGCAATATCATTTTGTCGTTTTTAGAATTCTGGGATTGAAAAAGCTTTTCTATTTGACGTAGTATCTAAGATTTATATCGCAACTGACAGTTCTCCTGTCGACATGCAAAGTTACGAGCTTTGTTGTGACATGATCGATGTTGTAATTGATGTATCATGTATTTATGGGTAAGTTGAAAAATAATATGAACAAAAAAATAATTCTAATAATTATAGATTAATTAAATAATAATTATTTATAGCCTTAGAGAAGATTTAGAAGCACCAGTGTTTGATAATCAAAGTTCAAGTCTCATTAAATTAAACAATGGAACAATACTTTATTTACGAGAAGTAAATAAATTTCTAGCATTGGTTTGCATCCTCCGAGAGGATAATTTTGACAGGCAAGGAGTAATTGATTATAATTTCCTGTGCTTTAGAAATGCTATTCAACAAGTTTTTGAATTAAAAAACAATAAAATTTGTAATGTTAATAATGGTTCTTCGTCACCAAGAACCACTGTTAATGAAGTAGCAAGTAGTGTGTCTCCATCAACTACTGCTACAACATCAACAACAAATCCCACAGAAGTTGGGCAAAATGGATCAATTATTTTAGCACACAATTAATTTATGTTTAATCATGTTTATTCGATATATTTTTTTCCATTTGCTTTTGTTAATCTTCTTTTATAATGTAATTTGATTTTAACTGCATTTATCAAATTAAGATAATTTATCATATCATCATGAAATTTTTAGAGTTATATAGCAAATATTAATATACAATTTATTATGTAATATAGCGTTGTTTTATACGACATTAATCTGTAATATAATTATTATAAAATAATACGATTATTATATATATAATAATAATAGATTACAATTGTGGTAATAATAAGGACATTTGAGTTAGTTAATGGAGTTATTTTCTCTGCGAACAAAAATGAATAAAAATTTTCAAAACTGTTATTCATTATCAATTTTTAAAAATATTTTAGTAATCTATTTTTACAAAAAAAAAATTCTATAAACATTTTTTTGAATGACTGAAAACAATGGTCTGTACAAGTGTATATGATATTCAATAAATAAATTTTAAACCTTGAAATTATGTTGATCATTTGCCTGCTGTTGTAAACATGTAGACTTTTACTAAGTGATTATTATTATTTATTTAAGATTCATATACTGGGCATTCGCCTTTCTGCAAGAGTAATTTTCACAATAAAATTTGTAATCAAAGATTTAAAACTTGATGTTTATTCCGTTATTGTTTGCATTGTTTACATATAAACGTTATAACAACATTCAACTTTTTTTATTTATCAACTGTCGATGCTTTGATGTAGATTAATAAGTACGACATATTATCAAAGAATTCTACCAAATTGAAAAGCCCGGATTCCAAGATTTCGTGGCATTGAAACGCTGCGCATAATCGTCATTCACACACTATGCACCATCGTAATATATCTTGATTGTGTTAGTTCAAGTACTTGACAAAGCAAGAAGTGTCAGATTTTATTGTTGGTACAATAAACTGTTTAACTAAAAAATTGTCTAAAAATTTTCAAATAGTGAAAACTTTACGTAAATTACGTCGCAAAATGAAGAAAAATAAAGATGACTTGAATAACGATCGTCAAAAGGCGAGTGTTTCTAAAGAAGTTTCTAAAAACTTCGTTGATAAAATCCTTGGAGATGTTTCAAAAACTTCAGCAACTAAACAAATTGCTATTGGAGCATCATCAGGATGGTAAAGTTTTATTATCATATTGAAAAAAATAAAAACATCTTATCTTTTAACTTTGATGTATTGTCATAATTATATTAGCTTGGGCTCGTTAGTCTTGAAGGTTATAATTGTTAACCGCTCCTATAAAAATGACACTTATTGATATTAAAAAAAATGATCTCAGAATCGATTACTCATATAATTTTCTATAAATACTAAATAGGGTCACTGGTTTTCTGGCAATGAAAGTCGGAAAAATTGCAGCATTCTCTGTTGGTGGTGGAATAATACTTCTTCAAATAGCTGCAAATCATGGTTATATAAAAATCAATTGGGATAAAATACAAGATAAGGCTGAGAAGTTGTCGGATAATATAGAAGAGAAGATTACGGGTGAAGGCCCAAAGCTTATAGACAAGGTATACATGACATTACTTCATTACAAAGTCCTTAAATAGGTGCTTTTATCAAAGGATAGTGTCTATAGATTTTCTACATTTAGACACCAGAATGAATATAGACTTTCTACTTTAATAACAAAAAATTACTTAAATAGTAACTTAATTACTTGAATAGTAAAATAATTTATTTATTTGTTTATAAAATCTAGAGATGGAGAAAAAATAGTTTTAATACATATTAGATTTACCCTGTATCAAAATTATTTGATTAGCTTCTGTAAAAAATTATTTCACAGCCAGTGTGATTAAAGCTTCTTGTCAGCTTAAGATAAAAAAAAAAATAACCATTCGCTTTTTTGTTCTAAACAGGTAGGATTGTGGTGTCGACAAAATACTTATGTAGCCACAAGTTTTCTCGGTGGTTTTTTCATTGGCCTAGCGATGTAATCAATCGACAATGCCCCATTATTGTGTTTATTTTATTCGGAAAAAGTAACTAGAAAATTGCGATTAAAAAAAACTTATCTTGCCTTACCTTTTTTATTGTGAATGCATCGAATAATATATTATTCTTGTAATTAATAATAATTTTTAATTTATCTCTAGCATTTTTTATTTATTGACTGAATTTTCAATAAAAAAAAATTTTCTTATTAAAATTAACTTTGTCTTTCAATTGATATTAAATAATATTTAGTTTTTGTTGGTAAAAGGTAAATTATTAATTGCAGGTTGAGAGGTATGTAGACAAGAAGTTGGATAAAGCTGAGAATTTTGTTCACGCTAAAAAGGTGCAAGGTCAAAATTGGTATAATAGATTATTGGGTGAGAATGTATTTAAACCACGAGAAACACACTTTTTTATTGTTTCCTTCATTGCTGGCACCTTGATTGGAGTCGCCACTTCTCATTAGAAAAATCATAGTATGTAAAACCAAAAATCATTATTATTGTATTAAATACATTTAATACTTAACGGAAAGTTATTATTCTTAGAATAATTCTATACAGTATCAAACGCTAACAATTTATTTATAATTATACATGATATTTGTACGAACTCCATTTTTTTATTTATTACAAGAATTGTGAATACTCTAACTAATTTATTAAGCAGTAATAATATCTCTTTGTGATATGTTTAATTTCTTTATGGAGTAGAAAATATACTAGTAATAAATACACAAAGATTGAGAAAATCATTGATTGTTTTAATTGAAATATATTTATTACTTTGAACATATCTAGTTCTTTATTATAAATAATATTAACTCGTAGTTAGATAAAAATACTGTTTTATTTATTTAATAATGTTTTAAACATTGCATCACAATTGACCTTAGTTTCTTTCGTAAACTTTGATTGCCATTGCAGAATATGTGAGTTGAATTTTCTGATATTTGGATAAGCGTATCTTCATCTTGCTAAAAATGAAAAATCAAAAGAATGTGTTAAAAATAGATTACATCAACAGCTGCCAAACATATGAATTACTTCACAAGCTTTCATTGTAGCATTTCATACATTCCAACTTAAAATTCAATATGTCAAGTATTTTTTCAAAAAGTTCATTCTTACCAAATGTATATTAGCTGAGGTAGCTGTACTTTGCTGTAGTTTAGCATTATGAATACCAGCTTGATGTAATTTATGAATCAAATCTTGCGCATCAATGGTTCCATACTCATATTTATGTTCCGTAAGGATATCATCTTTATCCAGAGAAGCATTATCTTGTTTATTTTTTCTCTTAAGATTAGCTCGTGCTGATTGATTAGCATCATTGATACTTTTAATTGTATAGACATTATCTTTAATTTCAAGCTCTCCAGTAATAGAAGCTAAACTTAGTCCTGGTCTTACTTCATTCAATACAATATTACTAGCTAAATTAGGTTCGATAAAAACGCGACTCTTCTTCCTCTTCAAAGGCAACTTGATTACTTCTCCACGTCTGAAAGTAATCAGTGGTTTATCCTAGAAAATGGAATGAAAGATATTTTGTTATTTTCTAAAAAAAAAAAAATCAACAGATTGATTGGAATTTAAGTAACTTACTCCAACTGGTTCAATAATCAAATCTAGTCGATGAGGAGCTGTAAATGGTGGAGACATATAACCTTCAGGAATAACTAGATTATCAGGTTTCAGATCTCGGATAAGTTTATTAGCTTGAGTGAAGTTCAATGAAGTATCAATAGGATAATGAACAGCTTTCATTGCTAATGGTTGAAATGGAGCCAGAGCTTCTAAATATGGAAAATCTGGTTCAGTAAAAATAATAGTATGCTGAGGATTATTTCCCCACAACTGTACAAAATGTACAGCATCTCCAAACCTCAAGCTTGGATGTCCACAAAAAACCACACAAGGTTGTCTGAATTCTGTACTAAAACCTCCAGCCCACGTTGATGTAAAGTGTTTTAATCTTGCATTTTTTACTAAGAAAGCATGAGGGAATGGTTCTTCGGGAAGATAAACTTTGTTTTGTTTGCTTGTTGATAGCCATTCAGCCAAAATATTTGAATAGGCTAAAGAAGATTCGGCGACAGGAGAAATAAAAAATAAAGGAATTTGAGAAAGACCTGACTTGTCTAGATGAGTGCTCAGGCATTCAAAAAGATCATAAACAACTCCAGAAGGATAGCAAGGAATTAAAACACAACCACCATTTCGGACAGTCAATGCAGCTGTCATACATAATTCTCCCAGCATCGTATCAGGATTTGCTGTTGGAGTTTGTGTTAAACCGGTTAAAATTAAGACGTCAACGTGCTTTAGAGTTGTCTGCTCCATAGGACGAGGGTGCGTTGTTAAGGTTGATGAACCACTAACGTATGCTACTTTTTCATGGTCGCATGATATTAACCAATTACTACTTCCCAAACAGTATCCTGAGCTAATAGGAATCACTGTGAGTGCTCCATAAATATCCTAAACGGTTAAGATAAATGTTATTACTTGGATATTCTTGAGAAATGAATAAATTTAATATTGAAAAGGTTCCTTACGATTTTTTGGTCATAACCAACGAGCTGAATATTTGCTAAAGCTGCATTTACAGAAGCCAATGAGTACAATTGTTTCCATGATTTTGGTTTTAAAGCATCAGCTAGTGGTGATGGTAGAACATGTAACATTTCTTTCCAATGTTTGGCTAACGTTGTTCTTGGTGTTTGTTCAATATATTGTACTAATTCTTCCATAAAAAATCTTCCAATTTGTAATGTAGGTTCTGTTGCATAAACAATTCCTTTGAATCCTGTTCCTTCGGTTACAAAAGGCAAAGCAAGCATACATGTGTAATTGGAGATAAGAATTACATCAACTTCTGAAAAATCTACAATTTTTTCTAGAGGTGGAGAAAATTCGGGGATTGAATCTACGAATACTCTTCCACAACATTCTTTTAGTTCTCCTTCAATTTTCCAATCTTGGTAATGATGATGATTATCTCTGGGCAACCAGTTTGGGAGAGAATTACATTTGGCACTTGGTACTAATGGTATTGGCATGAAATTTAAAATTGTTTGCATATTTAAACTGCAGTCTAACATTAAAGTTATTCCTTTGAATGTTAGGACGAGACATGGTTTAGTGGGTTCACTTGAAAGACAGTACTGAAAGAAGATATAAACATTATACCCAATAAATAAATGTACACAAAAATAATAAATAATTTTTGTTTAATGATAAATAAGTTATGAATGAAATATTTTATTTTCTTTAAATAAAATTAATTACTTTTGAAAAAAATATTTTTTCATTAATTATAGTAATTATTATTCTTACCAATTTCATTTTTATAAATTAATATTTGCTTTAACAATTCGCAGTAATTCAAAATTTTATCCACATTGATAGTTTATTTATTGTAAACAAATTTTGAGGTTATACTCCATAAGTTGGAGGTTAAGTTTTTCACTGTAAACAGTTACATTACTCCAAATATTAAACTCCACTTGGTAAAACTTTTTATTTATATTGTTATAAAAATCAAAAAATGCACGAAGTTATTGTTTTATTTGATGGTTACTCCAAACAATTGGAATCGAGTGGCAAAACAGACGCCAATTGCTCTTGTACTTTGGTAAAAGGACCGGTCAATGTGATTGTTGACACTATGACTGCTTGGGATCGTGACAGGATTCTTAGTGGCACGTAATACTTGAATAATTCACATAACAAAAAATATTACTCATTTCTACAATGAAAACTTGGTGATTTCTTTATTTCCAATAACACTAATAACTGAACAAAATAACTTTGCTTGAAAATTTTAGCTTTAGCAGAACATAAGGTCAAACCAGATGATATAAACTATGTCATCTGTACGCACAGTCATCCTGATCATATAGGAAATAATAATTTATTTACAAATGCCGTACATATTGTTGGTTGTTGCATCCATAAAGAAACTATATTTGATGAATTATCCATAAAAAATTTAGGTAACTTCAATTTATCAAATTTCAATAAATAAAATCATTCTATTCTTTAATGAAAAAAATATTCTGTAGGCGAATATCATATTCATGATGATATAAAAATAATTGCAACCCCTGGACACACATTAGAGGATGTCACTGTAGTAGTAATCAGTATCATAAACAACCACAAGGCTGTGATTGCGATTACAGGAGATTTATTTGAAAACGAGAATGATATTGACAATCCAGCCATTTGGAAATTATTGGGAATTACACAACTGGAAGAGGAACAAGCTAAAAATCGACTTCGAGTGATATTGATGGCAGATTATATAATTCCAGGTCATGGATCTATGTTTGAAGTAACTGATAAAATGAGAGAGACAATAAAATCTCAAGTACAAGGATAATTGGTAGTTTGGTAAAATAAATTAACAGAATTTTAAATATTTCAATTTTATTTATTATTCATTTTACTAGATTTGACAATTAACTCAAACAGAAATCATTAAAAAAAATGAAAATCACTGATACACACTTTTCAAACATAAAACATGTGTAACAATTTTCTAAGTAAAACACTTTCAGTAGCGTTGATGAGCGTAAACTATTCAAAATATACAATATATTTACATATGTTTGTTATGTAATACTGATTGATTTTGTAAAATTAACACAAGAATCCAATCATTAATAATGATCCAATTAACAATAACATTTGAAATAAAAATGCAAAAATAATATTAATACTAGTAAAGTTTCGAGAGAATTTAAAAATAACAAAATTGTAAAAAAAAACTGTTCATATTAGAGTTAATTTGATCGTTTATAAATTTATAATGAATAAAATTAGTGATTATCGTTATTGTCTTCATCTTTTATGTTTCGAGTTATTGATAATTGGATTCTAAACATCACACAAAATGGTCAACAAATTATACGAAAATGGCGATGATAATTAATAAAACTTATTTAATAATTATAATTATGATAATTATAAATATAATAAAGTAGCTATCGTCCAAATTCACAGGTATGTAATTACGTCAACATCTTTCATCCTCTACATATTCGGTCTATGGTGAATTGAATCAGCAGTTAGCTGCAAAAAAATAAAAACAAAAACCCAAAAAAAAAAAAATAAATAATAGAAACTTAAAATATTAAGCTCTATATCACAATAATAACTAGAATAAAATAAATAATAACTGTAAATAATATGAAAATATTATTAAATGATCATTTGTAGGCAAACTTTCAAAACTACATAACAAACTTGTCATGCGTAATTATTTTTTAAATCGAATCAGATGAATTAAAAATTATAAAAATGCAAAATAAAATTTCTATATTGTTAAGAGTAAGTTTAGTGTAATTATTTAAATAAGTGAGATAATTTTCTCGAATAATTTTGGCTGTTTAAGGAAAAATATTATGTAGGAAACTATTTTTAAGTGAAGCAGTGCAAAAAAAAAAAAAAAAATTAATACTTTCATGCATAAATCTAATAATGCTGCTTGTCATATAAATAAAAAATCTAAAATGTTAATAGATGTGTTGGTGCAATAAAAAATTAAAATAACTACCATAATACCATATTAAAACTAATTAATATTTATAAACTACTATTTGCTAGTTCGTAATAATTTTTTAAACCAAAAAAATTCATTCTTATTTTTCTTAAACGGCCAATTACAAAAACCCCAATACAAAAACAAAATTTTGAATGATTTATATCATGTATAATGAGATTACGAGTAATCACAAATGTAATAAATAAAAACTAGTTATTGAATAATTAAAATTCACTAATACAAAATTTTCTTAGGTAAAATGGCTACCGATTCCGGCCTAAACGTACTACAGAATATAATGGCAGAATTGAACAATCTTCAATAAAATGTATACATTATGTATATACACACTCGGCAATAACAAAAGTTTTATTTATACTTTAACTGTTAATTGTATACATTAACAATAACCAAAAAGCTTAGCCCACAAATCAATGAGAGATGAGATCAAAAATCTCTTTCTCTTGGAATATTGGGCCACACAATTTTAATTTTTTTTTTCGCAAACATTGTAATAATATTCATGACAAATATATTAATGGCCTTTTTTATTTTTAAATATGTCACCTTTTTTTCACACATATACACACACTTACATACATTCAATGGCTTCTTTGGCATGTTTTTACCATCACAAACATTTGTATAGTGATTTCGAACAATACAAATTACAACATTCAGAATAGTACAATTTTAAATGGACTTCGATTAATTAAAATATTGACAATACAAATGTTCTTCCAGATACTTTAATTAATTATTTAATGAATTTTTTTAGTCTTCATCATTGATTAATACTCGCGAGTCTGATTGATTAGTCTAATTTACTATTGTCATTGTTGTTATTTAAATAGATTTATTTATCTCCGCGAGTGCAAGTTAAGAATAATATAAGGCTCATCAGCATTAGAAAATTCCGAGTTGTTATTTGGCTGGTAGCATGGATTGACAGTATAATTTAAATTATTGGGTTGATGAAAACTTACCGGTTCAATACTTGTATTCCACTCAACATCTTGATGTTGACCTTGACCCAAACATAAATCAGAATCAGAGTCTGCTTTTCTTGATATATCATCCTGAAACATTATAACATCATAAATCATATAAATTGTTTCAATTTTATTCAATCAATTAGTTAATTCTATCAATTTTAATAAATTATTATTATTATTTTCAATTAATAACTCAAGTTTTTTTTAATCATTAAAAGCTCATCTGTCTGCTGGATGTAGATTAAATACCAATATCTAAAATTAATCGAAATTTTATCATTACTTTCCATATTTAATATTTATTCAATAAATTCCTCCTATTATATTTCAATTGAATTTTTTTATTGCTTCAATATCAAGTATTTAACTGGTGATAATATGAATTTATGATTTTATCCAAATTTGGAGCAGCTTAAAAGCTTACAAAATCAACAAACTTGGCAGAAATGATTTTTTCAACTATATGATAATTTGACCTACTTAGAAATATTTATACGTCCTCATAAAATTGAACGTAGTGTAGGAAATTCAACTTATGTGAGTGAGAGAATTAGTTTTAAAGGTTTCTTATTTGAATAGCATGTTATCGAATCACCTCTATCATTCTTATTAATATTCCAGATGATAAACAGTTCACCGGTTTATTTCAAAGTTATAATTTATATCAATTGTAAATGCATTACACGCACAACAAATCAACCTAGTTAGCAATAGTTAAATTACACTTTGAATAATACATTATAGAGAACTTCTAAGATTAATAACATTGTTTGTTAAAATTAATAAGTTTTTGATCATTTAAAATAAATTGTACAATTTTTACCTGAGATAATTGTTGAGCAGTAGTTAAGATTCTTGCTAATGGTGTGCAACATACTGGTAAAGTTTCAAGAAGTGTTGGACGTGAATGAGTGAGAAGAGGTTTCATGTACCTAGTATCAAAGTCACCCCATATTCTTGCCAGTAAAGCCTTTTCATTAGGTTTTGCAGTGGGAACACCTTGTGTTGAAGAAGTATCTTGCATTGAATTATACTGAAAATTTTTAAATAACATAAATTAAAAAATAATATCAAATAAATAAGTCATGTTAAAGAAAGAAATGATACGTAAGTTGATTTATCAAGTAAATGTAATTAGAACAGATAACCAAAGTTGTCAACAACCTTCTAAAAGAGTAAATTACAAAAAAAGTATTATTTGCAATTACATCTATTTTATTTATGTACATAATGACATTTGATATTCACCCATGAATTTCATGTGATTCTAAATTTTAAGGTAATCAATTAATTAGCGTGAAGGCAAAGCTTAAAAAATTTTGCAAGGTTAACCAGCATACTGAACAATATGTTGTGATAAAATAAAAACAAAAAAGCTGTCACTAAATGCATAAATAAATAAATAAATAAAATAAAGCAAATGAAATAAAATCAAGGAAACAGGAAAAACCTACCGGGGGACTTTGATCTCGATGTACCCGTTGCAGATTTCCGCCAAATCCATTTCCTTCGCCATTGGGCTATTCAAACAATCTCTTTAGTCGTTTTCTTTTTTCCTTATAATATCATCAATAATCATCAACCACATGTCTTTTAATATTTTACTTAATCATTCAAGTTAATGTATTGATGCTTGTTATAAAATACAAAAATATATCTCTCAATTTTCTATCATTGTTAATATTATTAATACTTGTGCTTGAGGTTGTTACTAAGATTAATTGTGGACATTAATATTTAATATATTAAATTTTAGTTGATAAAGTTGGTGCATTTATCTAAATACTCCCCTAATATACCCAGGTAAAGTAGCAATAAAAATAATTATAAATAAATTTATAATTTACAACAAAAGTTTAAAAAATATAATAGAAAGTCATGAGACTGAATAAAAAAGCGAGCTACAATAAATTATTTTTTTTTTGCATTATTTTGCTTTATGCTTACGCAATAATAAGCTCTTTTTGCTTATTCATTAAATGATATGGTAGTTCAATAAAATAGACTTACATGTCGTACGTTCGCTCCACCCGATAAACCTTCCACTTCTTCATCGACTCCAACCCTTTAATAATAAATAATAAAACATCATTGTTTTTTTTTCGAATCAATAAATTATAATAAATTATCTATTTTATAATGACATTTCTACATTTTCAATCTTCTTCATATATTTTACTAAGACCAGACGATTGCATGAATGCCTAATCTAGCTGAATACATAAAACATTAGTTATTTTTTCCCCGCTGAGAATTTAAAGAGTGAAAGGTAGGTTTCACACGATGTGGATATTATACCATATCTTCGACCTTGATATTGATCTTGAAATTCAAGAGTTCATATCATGCTGCTTTACGAGGAAACTTTTGAAAAAGATATCTACTCTTTTTTTTTTTCTATTATCTCAAGTCTCATTTTCTAGTGGAAGAGATTACCATAATTCTTGAAAAAATATGAGTATGTTGAGCCAAGTTGGCTATCAAGATAATTGTAAAAACCGAGTCATTTAATAAGTAATCATAAACTGTGTTATTGAAAATTTAGAGATTTTAATTTAATAATAAGTAAGGTTTATTAATTGTGAGTAATATCTTGATATTTTATATTCAACTATTGGCACGCTAGTATTTTAATGAACATATAATTTATTAAAATGCCATAGTAAAAAGAATTATACAAAAAATCACATCCGACTGCGCCTTTACCACAAATGTGGTATAAAAATAACCTTTCGTGACAATAAAACGCATACACCGTATGTTTTACATGCAAATAAGAAGATTGGCATCTAAAACAACGACAACGACCTATTCCAAGGATTATCTGCATATTCGTCACAGCATGAAATTGCTCTTTTTTCACTTCTAGTTAATTAAAAATAATAAAACAAATATTAACTTACGGTATTTTAAACCAGTTGAGAAATTGTGTGGTTGCTCCTCCTTGAAAGATGACTGTTAATATCACAATCAAACTGGTAGTAGTCAGCATAGACTGTCTAGCATTTGATACGGTATTTCTAATGGCCAGAGCAAAACTCATTGCTCCTCTAAGCCCAGCACAAAATAGCATATGTTGAAAATTAAGAGATATCTTTGGCTTTCGTGCCAAATTTAATATAAATGATAACGGATAGACATTGGCTGCTCTTCCTAGCAGTGCACAGATAAATCCTACGATGATAAATCCAAAATCAAATCGATGTTTTGGGAATGTAAACATTGACACTCCAATGTAACTGAAGATAAAGTTTTCTGCTAAGAAGTTTAACAATTCAAATAATTGTTTTGTTCGTTGCCGGGAATTTACACTCAAGTTATTGTAAGTGTAATGGGCTTGGCAAATTCCACAAAATAGCACAGCCACTATTCCAGTCAGATCAGCTGCCTCAGCTATGAGGAAAGTGCTGTAAGACATGAGGACGAAAAGTGCCGATTCCAATAGTGGAAAGTCACGAACACGAGTAAATTTTGTCAATAAAGCAGTAAGACATCCCATTGTTGCTCCAATTAGCAATGATAATCCGAAGATACGTATAAAATCACCAAGTGCTTGGAAGAATGCTACTGTTTCAAAGCTACCAGTGCTTTTTGCATACCTTGTTCCATAATTCTGAATGGATCTATAAAATAAATATAGAATTTAAATCAAAAAATAATTCAAATGATTAATGTTTATAATTAAGTTTGTTTATAGATTTAATAAAAATATATATAAACTTACCCGCTTAGTACAATAGCAACAGCATCATTTAAAACACTCTCACCAAAAACCAGTGCATATAAATTCACATCTACATGTAGATCATTGAAAATAGAAATAATCGTCAAAGGATCAGTCGGTGATATTAAAGCACCGAAATATAAAGTATCTAGAAACTCAAAGGAATTTGATAAATTTGGAACCAATTGAAAGAAACCATACATCAAGGCTCTGAAAAAAATATTTCATATTTCAATATTATTTTCGCATGAAAAATATTCATAAAAATTTATCATCAGCTTTTTATAGAATATTTTGATATTTATTTTCGATCTTCTCGTGATCGTGAGTTAACGATTAAACAAATTATGAAAATTGAAAGTAAAAAAAAAATTATTTACCCAATGACAAAGGATGAAATGGTAGTACCCAAAAGAGCAAACATAAGAATAGCACCAAGATTTCGGAAGAAATATCGCTGTAAAAAAATCATTTAATTAATTGTATAACTTCAACTAATTAATTGAGTAAGTAATTACTTATTCTATTAAAAATGATTCAATAATCATATAAACTTACTCGTTTTAAGCTATACCCAGCATGGAATATTATAGGAGGTAAAATAATATTGAAGAAAATTTCTGGATCAAATGTGGCCTAAAAAGAATAAAACAACATAGTAGTTAAGTGTATGTATTTTTAATGTATTTAAAACCAGAAAGATAAGATATTCATAATTGCAGATAGTCAAGAAAAAGGGTGATAGTAATAGTAGCACTAAAGTCCAAACATGTAGGATAAAAAAATATACCATAAAATAAAGTTCACTGTCTCCTTTGTTAACTTCTCCCCGAAATGAATATGTAAATGTTTTATTTCCACCTCCTTTATCTTCAGTGAAGGTGAACCATAATGAATCAGGAGGTACTGATTGATTATACTTGCTGGTGCTAGTATCCTCGACGACTGGCATGTGAGCTATTATGTTACTATTCGTATGAATTCCATATCGAATTATCGCCCCAATGATTAATCCTGTACATGGAAAAATTTTACATAGCATAAGTATTTTCTTCTAATGATGAAAAAAATTATTATGATCAACTATTGTTGTTTTGGAGTATTATTATTGAGTTAAAAATCATGTAGTCATTTAAATTAACCCAATAACATCATCGGATTAATCTAGAATTTATACATTCTTGTTTTTGATTAAAAAAAATACTTAGAAACTTCTTATCTAAATATTAAATGAGTATAATTTTTTTAATTCATCACATGATTCAAATCGCTAAATTCAGATGATTCATTAACATATGCTGGACTTCAATCATATGTTAGACTTTTTCCTTCTCGTGTGATAAAGGTGATAAAAGAAGTGGGATATTTCACTTATCATCTCCACAAGACTAAACTTGACCTCACTTAATTACATGTAATTAATTTCGTCGATAAATTATATTGAATTATAATGATGTTTTTGGAAATTAAATTGTAGAAATGATTTTCTTATCTATTTTATTGTTCTTTTTATATCATAAGAATTTACTAGAAAAAGATAAATTCTCTCCAACAAAACTTTTATGCCACTTTTGTAATCTGTAAAAGAAACTTTTCTCTTGGCTACGGTGTTTTGATAAAGTCAATTCATGATCTATTTCAACAAATTTCCAATGTTTTACTTTCTCAGTTATTATTAAATAGAAAGCTGATCTCAAATATTTTTATTGTTATTTATATTAGTAAAATTTTTCCCTCATTTAAAATTGACTCGGTATAATATGCGTGTAAAGACTTAAAACAAATGTAATCATCTGAAAGAAGATACTTATGAGTCAACGGTTATGAATTTTTTATCAAGCTACGCAACGAAATATTTTTTTCTATGTTAACAATGTTCTTATTAAATAATAATAACCATTATAATGTAATAACAGCAATCTTTTGATCTTTAGGACTGTAAATAATGTAATCATTAATCGATATTATTATCTGCTATCATAAAGAATTTTTTTTTTAATTTCTATCATCACTTATATTATATTGTTTTGCGGTAAATCTTGCTGGTGTTAGGTGACATTGAATTCTATTGTCTCATTGATTGTCAGTCAGTGGGATATTGTTGGTGGTTAAATCTAGGTTTTGATAGTGTAGTTAATATTAAAATAAATGATAGAATACCATAAATAACAGCAAGTCCAGTTTCATGGAGAAATCGTAATCGACGATGCTTGAATGTCCAAATGGTAAGAACGGTAAGAATTAATAAAAATGTATAAATGAGTAAATTTAAACTGTCAAGACGATGCAATAATTGTGCTTTAGCATCAAGTTCGATGTCAGTAGTTGCACTATTACATGTTGTTGTCAACGAACAAAGACACAAAAAACCGAAAAATAAAGAATAAGTTTGTTTGGATGATTGTAACATTTTTTAATGTTGTTTGATTTTTCAAACAAAGGAGTAAATTACTGGAGGTTTATTGTAGAAATCATTTGTTTCGACTTTAATAAGAAAGTAGTCAATTTCATAACAGTTAACCAAACACTATAATTTCGACAGATCACGATGTTCGACCATATGCACTACACGTAAAAGACTGACAATTCTTTCTGTCATTGGTAATTATTTCGTTTACTTGGCCATTGACTCATCATTTGTGTAGATTGTAATGTAAATAACCAAAGAACGCTACCACATGGCAGCCATTTTGTTTGATTTGATGCAAATGTGAATATTTCCGGGATTCAAATAAAATGATGCAAAAATAAGTTTTATGTTGAATAATTATGTTTACTTATTGTCTAAAATGTAATTAATTTTAAAAATATATTTAAATTATTATAAATAATTATTTGGGAGATTATATATATGGGCAGAAGTTTTAAAAATTCGATTTAAAAATTAATCAAACTATAGCACTGTGTACATGTTGGCAACACGGAAACTAGACTTGGTGGTTGGCAACAGTGTTTCGCATAGATGTTTTACAAACTATAGATAGTCAATATGGCGATGCATCATCGATTTCACCGCTAGACTCCACGCTTACCGAAATTGATATTATTATCAAGTTGATTATTTCTAATGAAATTTTTTGTTTTATTTATTACATGACGGTTTTTGAATGTAATTAAAAGTTTTTTGTGGAATTAGTTAATACATTAATAACAAAATAAAATGGCTGATTCTGATGATGAGTATGATCGAAAACGCAGAGATAAGTTCAGGGGTGAGAGACCTGAATCGTATTCAAGAGAAGGACGACGAGATGATAGAAGACGTGAAGAATGGGTTGAAAGGTAAGTTATTTTTATAAAAATTATATTCCCTGTGTTTATTTTTAATTGTTACTCATATTATATTTTTTGTTCAGGGAGTGGTCAAGTAGATCAAGAGCTCGACCAGATTACAGAGAATATCGTGGAGGTGGTGGTGGTGGCGGTGGTAGCAACCGGGAACGTTATAGCCCAGTTCGGTCGCAAGACTTGGGACCTCCAATGAAAAGAATGCGGGCTGATTGGGATGATAGGTCATCTCGGAGTTATCCGCATCCAGAATACTATAACTCGTGGCCTCCTGACCATTACCTTCCTCATCATAGTAATCATCACTATGGAAGTCATCCCAATGCTAATAGTAATAGCAGCAATAGGTGGGTAATCATACTTTTTTTAATTAATTCTGGATTTTATTAAATTATTAAATTTGATAAATTTTTAATTATTCGCAATAGCCGAGAGGTAGCTGGAAACTTTAGCAATTCAAATATTGAAACACAACCTCCGATGATGTCATTCAAAGCATTCCTAGGTGCCCAGGAAGATACTATTACTGATGAAGAAGCGATCAAGCGTTATAACGAGTATAAACTTGAATTTCGACGTCAACAGTTGAATGAATTTTTTGTAGCACACAAAGACGAAGAATGGTAAGCTGAAATAGTAATAATGATTGTTTACTTTAGGTTAAGAGAAAAATTAATTCAAGATTTTGCCTTTTGCATTTGCTAACATAATAGAATTCTAAGTATTTCAGCGCTTGAATGATTCTTTAGTGTTTTCAATCGCTATTGACATAAATATGATAAAATTTAGGAATAATATATTAACTATTTAATTTAGTATAGAAGGGTAAAATTTATAGATATATTATTTTAGTAAGTTTTTTAGAAATATTATCAGATCTGTCTATCCCCACAGTGTGGTGCAGTTCCTGCCATCGTCTTATTTCATCTGCGTAAATATTTGAATTTTTGACAAAAAAATTGACATGAACACTAAACATTGATATATACAAAATGGTGATTATTTATTAGATTAGATGAAAGGATTATATTGAAGAATATTTGCGAGCTGGGCGCGCAAAGCCCAATGTAAATGCTCGCCTTAGGCCGCGATTTTAAACTCGTTTTTGGTTAGGCAATATGAAAAAAAAATTGATATGACGAAATGAGAGTTATTAAACAGGTGAGGTTTTATAATTTACCATGTGACCGTTGTAAATTATTGATCATACAATAATTTATTTATCTATAACTTGATAAAAGGCATCAAACGCCAATCACTTCATTTTTTTCATTAACAATTGGTATATTTTCTTTCAATCAAATCCAATTTTTTTAAATATATGGGTCTGTGAGCGTGTGATTATGAATCTTATTTATGATGTCTGATAAATTAAATGCAAGATTTTAAAAAAACTTAGTTATTACTGGATCTTACTAATAATTTTTTTTCTCTTTTTGCGTCCAATAACTCAGGTTTAAAATAAAATATCATCCGGAAGAATCAGTTAAAAGACGAGACGAGCAAATTGCAGCATTAAAGGTAATTTTTATTTATTATTAAGATTAATATTGAATATCTAAAGTAATGTAATATAATTTTATTGAGCAAATGGTTTTATCATAGACTAATAAATTTTTTCTTATTTTAGAAACGGGTAGAAGTTTTTCTTGAACTACTAAACTCAGGAGATATTGACAAAGTATCAATAGATGTTGATCAAGCAAATCCTCTCCTTCATTTGTTAGACACAGTAGTAATCAAATTAGAAGGAGGCACTGAAGAAGACTTGAAAGTTCTTGACGCAGCACCTCCTTCAACACCACGAGAACCAGTACAGACAAAAGAGAAAGAAAAAAGTAAAGACGCTGAAAAAGATAAAGACAAGGATAAAGATAAAAATAACGACATTTCTGATGATAAGAAAGAAGAGATTAAAGTGTCAGAGGAAGGAACAGTGGTTGAAAATAACAAAGAAAATGAAGAAAAAGGCAATGAGAAATTAACGGAAAAGGAAAAGAAGAAAAATAAGAAAAAAAAGAAAAAAGAAATCACGGATGAAAATCATGAAGATTCCTCTGCTAAAGTATCTGATAAAGAACGTATGGAAGAGGATGAAGATGTTAATGATGAAAATAAAATGAAGACAAATGATGCTAATTCTGAGGAAACAGTAGAAGAGCCGGAAGAACAAAAAGAGGAATCAAATGTCGAAGGCCAACGAGAATTTTCGGAAGGAGAAAATGCTTCCGAAGCTGTGGTTGTGAATTCAAAGAAACGGAAACGTTCTCACAGTAGTTCTAGCAGCTCTAGTGACAGTGATGATGTTGCTCATAATAATAACAATAACAACAGCAGCAGCAGTAGTAGTAGCAGCAGTAGCAGTAGTAGCAATTCAGAAACATTTGATGCTGGAAAAATGGAAACTCTAGAGGCAGAGAAACCAGTTGTGGAAACTGAGAATGAAAAGATAGAGGAAGATGAAGAAGAAACGAAAGGAGAGGTTAAAGAGAAGGATGAGGAAGAAAAGAAAGAAAAGAGTGAGGAACAAGAAGACAGTAAAGTAAAAAAATCAATTGAACCTGAAGCAGTCATTGATTTAGCTAGCGAAGAAAAAGAAAAAGATCCTCCTCCACGAGCTCTTCATAAAACAAGTAGTATTTTCCTTCGAAATTTAGCACCAACCATCACAAAAGCAGAGGTAGAAGCCATGTGCAAAAGGTTCCCCGGATTTCTCCGAGTTGCTATTGCTGATCCTCAACCAGAGCGTCGTTGGTTTAGACGTGGATGGGTATCGTTTGAACGTCAGGTTAATATCAAAGAAATCTGTTGGAATCTTAATAATATTCGGCTTCGTGATTGTGAACTTGGAGCTATCGTCAATCGAGATTTGCTTCGAAGAATCAGAACTGTAAATGGAATTACAGCACACAAGCAAGTCGTCAGAGCGGATATTAAATTGAGTGCTAAAATAATCCATAATTTGGATGCTAAAGTAGGGCTATGGAATACAGTTGCAAAGAAAGATGGTAATGAAGTAAATGCAAATTCAACTGCAGCTCCAAAAGAATCTGATGAACAAAAAGCTAATGATGATGATGCCATGAAGCAGGTTGATTTTACAGGACTGTCGTCGAAAAATCCTATTTTGACTAATATTACTGATTATCTTATCGAAGAAGCCTCGGCTGAAGAAGAAGAGTTGTTGGGTATGGGATCATCTGGAGATCAACAGGAAGAAGAAGGTCAATTGCTGGGTGAAGGCGAGGGTCCCATTGAAAGAGATCCTACTTTAATCAAAGTCCTTGACCGACTTATTCTTTATTTGCGTATTGTTCATTCAGTTGATTATTATAATCATTGCGAATATCCGAATGAAGATGAAATGCCCAACAGATGTGGTATCATGCACGTTCGTGGACCTACTCCTGTTTTAAAAGTTTCTGCTAATGAAATTCAAGAATACTGTAGAAACTTTGAGGGTAAAATGGCATCTTTTCTAGCCCCAAGTGCTGCTGCTATGCCTAATGCTGAGTTTGAAAAATTAGGTGCCAAAAATTCAGAAGCGTATCCTTTTCAAATTTTTATTTTTATTAATTTAAGAATTTTTATTATTTACAAATATTTCAATTGATTTTCCTTAATTAAATTTTTTACAATTCAGTGAAGTTGAAAAGTTTGTTCAAGCAAACACTCAAGAAATTTCAAAGGATAAATGGCTATGTCCTTTGAGTGGTAAGAAATTTAAAGGTCCAGATTTTATTCGCAAACACATCTTTAATAAGCATGCAGAGAAGGTAGCAGAGGTAAAGGCTGAAGCGGAATATTTCAATAATTATTTGAAAGATCCTAAGAGACCAATGCTACCAGAACATCCAGGAAATAAGGCTCCACCTGCACGGGAAAATCCTCGAGAAAATTATCCTCCTCATGGAAATATGCCAGGGTATAATTATTAATCTATTTTATTATCTTCATTTAATTTAATTGTTAAATGAAATCATTGTTTAAATTTAGAAATGCATCAAATTACAGATTCGGTGGTTTTGGCGGAGGTAACTTTGGAAATTCCAGAAGTGTTTTCGGCGGTGGCGGTTATGGAAGTGGATTCGGAGGAGGATTTGGAATGCCTCGACCAACACGAGGTGGATTTAATCGAGGCCGGTAAGTTCTTATTTATTTTTTTATATTACCATAATATCAACAAATAATTTTTAATTAAAATATTTGATAAAATGATTTTGATAAAGTTAATTTTCATCATATCTTCACTTAAAAATAGCATATTAATAATAGATTTTAAACACTTTATTATATTTAAATATATTATTATTATTTATTAGATTATGGAATGCTTATTGAAATATTGAATATGTTATAATCAATATTAAGCATTCGTACATAGATACATATAGCTTTGATTAAAAGATTTACACGTGCGATTAAACACAAATCTTTGCCCTGGTCATGAAAAAATTTTCTATTCGTCGTTTAAAATTTTTTCGTTAAATAGTTTAATTAATTAATTAATCTACGACAAAAGAAGAGTTTTTCTACGTGACTACGTACAACAACAACAATGTGCTTACAGGGCTGTTCCAGAGTCCACGGGGACAAGACCAGTAATTAGTTATAATGACTTGGACCCGATAGACATCGATAAATTCTAATTCCAACTCAGCTTGCGCGAAAATTCATTATCTACTTAAGTAATGAAAAATAAAACTCGGATGATTTTTTTCCGAAATGTAAATTTAAAAAAAATGTAATTGTCATTGTAATATGTATTCTATGTAATGATTGACAATTTTCTTAACAGTTGATTTTAAAATAAATGAAAAATAACTAAAAGTTTAGTTAAATTTGAACAATTATGTTTCATTCAATTTATTAATGATTAAATATTCCATTATTTTCGATAATTTGCAGCGGCAACAATGCTGACTTTCGACCTGTTATTCACTATCGAGATCTCGACGCACCAAGAGAACCAGATGAATTTTTATAAAAATATTAATTATCAATTGATAAAAATACGTAATCAGGAATTAAAAAGAAAATGTTTATAAATATATCACAAGAACAAATGATGCGATAATGATTAATTTATTTGTGAAAGAAAAATATCAATTTTTACATAATTATCGAACAGCATAGTTAATGAATTCAACTAATATCACTATCAATATTAATAAATTAATTATAAATGATAAAATAATGTACAATTTATGTTATTTGTAGATTTAAGTTACATAGTGATTATTCGAATATATTCAATTAAACCGAAATTTACATGAATTGAACAGTTTAATTATATAAAATTATACATGTAAGTGTACATGATTTATGAAAAAATTGACTTTGTAATAAAATTTGTCATAGGAATTTCTAACGATTTGTTTCTTTGCATGCTCTACAAATATTTTCTTTCCTATCGGCGAGGATAAATCTTTTAAAATTTAATCCATATGTTAATTACACTAGACCTTCAACTTTTTTTTATAAAATATTTTTAAACACTTCCTTATATTTATTATTTTTTAATCATGATATAAATATATGTACATGCAGGTGTTAAAAACAACTGGATTTAATGTAAGAGCAATAATTTCTGAATAAATCCGCTCATTACCTTTTTAAATACCTAAGAAACAACTTTTTGGATTAGAGTTGATTGTTGAAGAAATTGGACGTTTAAAAATGTGTAGAGCTTTCAAAAAATATTATACTATAATTAAATCTATTTGCTTTTACGTGTTTACCTACATTACTTCTTTTTCACTAATCAATATTCTTTGAATTACTTATTGTTACAATCAATATGAAGATCTTAAGATGTTTTTATATTGTTTTAATATCATAAATTCCGGTTATGAAACTTGGAAATTTCATTTTGAGTTTAGTATTCTCCATGGATTGCTCGGTCATACTCCATTTTCGCAGTATTCTCACTTATAGGTCTACTGTTAGCATGGAAAATTAAATTTCTATTGATATCTAAATAACCACCGTTTGTGCCTGATTCTTCCCAACTGACATTACCTAAGTTATGGTCATCATTTAGAATTGGTTTTCTAAAAAAAAACAATTATTCATCATTTTTTCTCTATTCAATTCAAGAAATATAAACATAATTCAATCTGGGTTACGAATTATTTACATTACTTACAAATATTTAGCAAAATTCGTCCACATAGTCACCATTCTCTGCCGATGTCTACCAATATCACTATTAGGATCTATTGGCTGACGTTTATTGTTCACCCAAAATATATGAGCAATATCATCACCATGACCAGCACCAGGTTTAGATTTCATCGCATCAACTTTGTGCAAAGCTTGATCATAGTCAAAAGAATTCATATAATAATAAACTGGTGCTTTACTGTGGGTACTTAGAAAACGTTGAGTCAAATCTATATCCTTGATAAAAAAGACATCAGTCAATGATGATGATAATCTTTTTGTAAATGAATTACCCAGAATATCAGTGACTATTGAAATGACTGAAATATTATTAATAATATTTAAAAATATAAAAACGAATTCATATATAAACGACTTACGAGCAACAAATGAAATGCCTTCATCTTTCATAACTCCCAACATATGAGGTTTGGCAGTGAATTGTCCAGATCTATAGAGTTTTAACGGATGATAAGGTAAAAATGGATCTTTCACTGATTTATCTTCGTTAGTGGGTCTGAATGGGATTTGATTTTTCTAAAAAAATAAATCCAAAACGATGGTTATGATATCTGTTAATCTTGTTTTTTAAGTAAGACATATTATCTTGTAAAAATAAACCGGAAATTAATATTTACAAAGAGAAACATTAGAAAGTGTACGTCATGTAGGGAGTCAGTGCTAACGTGAACCATTTGTCTGTATAAATCTTCTTCATCAGACCAATAATTGAGTAAAGATCCAACGAAATGCCATCCCATGTAAGCTGACTGTCTGCTAGGGAAATATGCCCACTCATTTAGTGCTGCACCACTCATGGCAATGGATGCTCTGAATAAATCTGTAAATAAATTCAAACGAATTTATTGATATGGTTTAATATAATGTTAGATAATTACCTTTAGATTGTGGGGAAAGTTTGTGATATTCAACAGAAGCTGCTCCAGCGCTTTCGCCAAAGAGAGTTACTTTATCAGGATCACCACCGAATTTTCTTATATTCCTTTGAATCCATCGAAGAGCTTCAGCTTGATCTCTCAAGCCGTTATTAGCATCAAAATAAGCTGGTGCTATGGCAAGAAAACCAAATACACCAAGACGATAGTTCATTACCACTACCACAACATCTTTTTCAATCAAAAAGTCTGGACCAAGCTTTGAACTATGAATGGATTCAAACTGAAAGGCTCCACCATGGATATATGCCATAACAGCTCGTGGTCGGGGATTTGTAAAATTTAATTCTGGTGTATAGACATTTAAATAAAGACAATCTTCACTTCCAATATGACGATCATTTGGATTCAAAGTAAATTGCCATTGTGCGCAATCATTTGGATCTTCGGTAGCATTTAATACTCTACTCCAAGGCTTGGCTGGTACAGGACGCTAAAATTTTTTAGTAATAGTATTTGATGTTTGAATGATATTTAGTAAGAATTATAAATGAAATAATATTTACTCTAAATCGTCGTCCATATCCAATGGGTGGTTCAGCATAAGGTATACCTTTGAAAGCTGAATATCGACGTTTTAAATGAATAGTTTCCAATATATTTCCACGAACCTTCCCTTTATCTGTTTGGACAATCCTGGTATATTTAGCTAGGACATAAGTGCTCAAAAAAATATTTAATAAAAAAAATTGAAATAATAAAACCAGCCGTGTCATATCGAAAATAATGTGCAGTCTATAAATTTACTAGCAGGAACAATTTAAAATTGAAGTAAAATGAATTTACTTAAAACTCATAACGACTGTGTCTATAATATTGAAACAATCTGATAAATCTGATTATAATTATTACTATATTTGTTAACCATTTGGCATAACAGTTGATTAAATAGATAACAGAAAAGAACAATGCTTATCTAAAAAAATATTTGTACCATTTCGCAAAAAATTAATGTAATTAAAAAAACTACTCTTACAGGTGGTTGAAAGCAAGACTGCAAATAAGATTTTATTTCAAACGGAAGTTTATTTTATTTTAATTTGCAGCAAATTAAATAGGACCACTTCTTGCAACTGAATATCCAATTTAGTATCCTTGCAACCTTACTCGGTCATACTCCAACTGCTCAATGAATTCAGTTACCGGTCTATCGTTGGCACGGTATATTAAATCGCTATTTATATCTAAATAACCACCATCTGAAGTTGATTTTTCCCATTTTGCATCACCCAAAATCGGATCATCTTTATCATCTGGGATTGGTTTTCTACAAACAAAAAAATGATCATTATCATTCATTTTTTTGATGAATAACTTAAGAAATAAATTAGGTTGCTTATAATACTCACAAATATTTAGCAAAATTAGTCCACATAGTTACTATTTTCTGTCGTTGCTTTCCAATATCACTATTAGGATCTATTGGTTGATGTTTATCGCTTACCCAAAATACATGAGCAATATCATCACCATGACCAGCACCCGATTGAGATCTCATTGCGCCAACTTTGTGCAAAGCTTGATCATAATCGAAAGAATTGATGTAATAATAAACTGGTGCATCACTAAAGCTGCTCAAAAAACGTTGAGTAAGATCTATGTCTCTGAGAAAAGCAACACCCGTGACTGCTGCTGATAAAAGTTTCGTAAATGAGTTACCCAAAATATCAGTGATGATTGAAACAGCTGGAATATAATTTTATTCAGATTAATTTGAAAAAGTCTTTCAATTCAATTTCGAGATGTATTAGAAATGACTTACGAGCAACAAATGAAATGCCTTCTTCTGCCATGGCTCCTAACATGTGAGGCTTCATACTGAATTGTTGAGTTCTATACAATTCCATGGGGTGGTTTGATAAAAACGGATCTATTATCAATGAACTATCTTCGATAGTTGGTCTGAATGGAATAGGATCGTACTAGAAAGAGTAACCAGAAATAATTGAAAAAATTACTTAGTTGTCAACATGGTATTGTTTTTATGAATACTCACCCAAAGACAGAAAAACCAATGCATATCAAGCAGGAATTCAGTGCTAACGTCCACAAGTCGTTTGTACAATTCTTCTTCATTATTCCAATAATTGAATAGAGAATTAACAAAATTCCGTCCCATTCGGTATGATTCTTCTATAGAAGAAAATGCCCATTCATTTAGTGCTGAACCACTCATGGCAATGGATGCTCTAAATAAATCTGTAAATAAATTCAAACGAATTTATTGATATGGTTTAATATAATGTTAGATAATTACCTTTAGATTGCGGGGAAAGTTTGTGATATTCAACAGAAGCTGAACCAGCGCTTTCTCCAAAAATAGTTACTTTATCAGGATCACCACCGAATTTTCTTATATTTCTTTGAATCCATCGAAGAGCTTCAACTTGATCTCTCAAGCCATTATTAGCATCGATAATCTGGGATCTGAGTGTGAGAAAACCAAATACACCAAGGCGATAATTCATTGTTACTACCACGACATCTTTTTCTATTAAAAAGTCTGGACCAAGCTCTGAACTATCACTGCTACCAAACTCAAATGCTCCACCATGGATATATGCCATAACAGCTCGTGGTCTGGGATTTGTAAAATTCAACTCGGGTGTAAAAACATTCAAATAAAGACAATCTTCACTTCCATGGTAATAATTAGTCAAGGTCATTGTCCATTGAGCACATTTATTTGGATCATTGAAAGCATTCAAGACGTCATTCCAAGGCTTTGCTGGTACCGGTCGCTGGAGATTTTAAATAAATCAAATCAATTTTTTGAGTTATTGTAATAACGATTGATTAAATAAATGATGAAAAAAAATATACTCTAAATCGCCGTCCATGTCCAATTGGTGGTTCAGCATATGGTATACCTTTGAAAGCTGAGTAGTGATGTTTCAAGTGAAGAGTTTGCAATATCTTTCCACGAACTTGGCCTTTATCTGTCTCTACAACATTCGTATGTTCAGCTATGACATGGATGTTAAAGAAAAATATTAATAAAATTAATTTAATTAATAAAAGAACTTGTGCCATAGTAAAAGGCAGAAGAGATCATGAACTAATCTTTTTTTCTCTAAGCAAAAAATTAGTGTAGTAAGGAATAATTAAAAGTATAATTGAAATATCAAAATCAGGCTATTTATATGTTGAATTTTAATTATTTTTGCCATTTTGAAGCAGTTGGTGATACAGTTGCTCAAATAGTAAACGGAAGAAAATAATACTTATGGAAAAATGTATTAATTTACTTAGTACTAAAAATTGTAATATTATTAAAATAGTGTGTTTACAGGTGAGTCGAGGGATTAATTTCAATTTAATTTCATGTTGAGCGGAAGTTTATTTTTGGTATATTTGAATAAGTCTAATAAAACTATTGTCATCATTGATATCAATGATTACACCAAAGTTATATTTAATTCAAATTATTGTTGTATCTATCAACCAGTTGATGTCACAGCTCCTTCAAAAGGAATAATTATTTCAATAAAATTGCCTTTATTGACTCAATTTAGAGCTGATGTACTTTTGTATAATTATTTAATAATAATTACTCTAAGGTTATAAATTATCATTATTCTAATATTATCAAAATTGCTATGAAAATAATTTCAAACCTATAAAGCTAAAAAGTTGGATAATCAACTTAATTATAGCAGTATTCATGAAAATATTGTATCCTTTAGTATATCCAAAAAAGTGCTCTCATATGTTCCATCGCTGTAAGTACAATACATGTAGGTCTGCTTTCAGCATGAAAAACTGGATTTTTATCAATGTCCAAATAGCCGCCAGCTGGACCTGATTCTTCCCACTTAATATTATTCAAAGTGTCATTACCTTTGTCATCTACGATTGGTTTCCTACAGGAAAACAATAACGATTTATTTTGAGAATAAATAAGATGATTGAAAATAAAAAGTTATTTACGATACTTACAAATATTTAGCAAAATTAGTCCACATGGTTACCACTCTCTGCCGATGTCTTCCAATGTCACTATCTGGATCTATTGGTTGTTGTTGATCACTTACCCAAAATAAATGAGCAACATCATCACCGTGAGAAGCACCATCCATGGATCTCATTGCGCCAACTTTGTGTAATGCTTGAGCATAATCGAAGGAATTTTGATAATAATAAACAGGGGCTCCACCATGACTAACCAGAAAACGTTGAGTTAGATCAATGTCTTTAGTAAAAGAAATACCCGTAACTGCTCTTGCTAAGGAATTTGCGATGAATCTACTCACAAAGTCAGTTACTACTGAAACAGCTGAAATGTTTTAATTAGTATTAAAATTCATTCAAAATGACATTTCGATTACTGTGTTTTTACTTGAAAAAAATGACTTACGAGCAGCAACTAAAAGGCCTTCATTCTTCATGAATCCTAACATATGATGCTTCCTTGTGAAACTTCCCGATCTATACAAATTTAATGGATGATCAGTTAAAAATGGATCTGTCACTAATGACGGATCTTCACTGGTTGGTCTGAATAAAGTAGGATTCAACTAGAAAAGATAATCACATATAAAACAAAACTTTCAGGAATATTGCAATTAAGAATAAAGTGTTTTTGAATACACTTCAAAGCAATATTGCTGTCGTAATTATCTAAAATATTAATTGATGTCTAATACTCATCAACTAGTGATCATGACTGAGAAACATGAACTAACAAAAGATTTAAATTTTTATTATATGGTAATACTCATTTATATGTCTGTATAATGTGACAACAGTACCTCTTTTATTACGATAGCAATAGTTTTGATTTTTAGTGTGGTATTACTTTTACAAATACTCATACATCAGAGACAGTGCCCAACATTTGTAAATAAAGTAGGTCATTAGTAGGAGCATTGACCATTCTTGAATACAAATGTCTTTGACTGAAATAATAATAAAAATATGAATCAACTACGTTCCACGCTAAATAAGATGCTGCTTCAGGGAGATAATATGCCCATCTATTCAATGCTGTACCACTCATTGCAATTGATGCTCTAAAAAGACCTACAATATAATTGATTATATTAAACGACTTCCTAGTGAGTTTAAAAAAAAGTTATTCAATACATATCGGAGAATTTCAGATAATTACCTTTAGATTGTGGGGAAAGTTTGTGATATTCAACAGAAGCTGCTCCAGCGCTTTCGCCAAAGAGAGTTACTTTATCAGGATCACCACCGAATTTTCTTATATTCCTTTGAATCCATCGAAGAGCTTCAGCTTGATCTCTCAAGCCGTTATTAGCATCAAAATAAGCTGGTGCAAACGCAAGAAAACCAAAGATACCAAGACGATAGTTCATCAGAACTACCACAACATCTTTTTCAATCAAAAAGTCTGGACCAAACTTTGAACTATCGATGGAACCAAATTGGAAAGATCCACCATGGATATATGCCATAACAGCTCGTGGTCTGGGATTTGTAAAATTTAATTCTGGTGTATAAACATTCAAATAAAGACAATCTTCACTTCCAATGTAATCATAATAATGATTATTTACACCTATATCCCATTGTGCACAGGCATTTGGATCTTTGGTAGTATCTAATACTTTACTCCAAGGTTTTGCTGGTACAGGACGCTAAAATGATTGGATAAAATTCTATGGTTATTTGAGTTATCAGGTAAGAATTTATTGAATAAATAATGAAAAAAATATACTCTAAATCGCCGTCCATGTCCAATTGGTGGTTCAGCATAAGGTATACCTTTGAAAGCTGAGTAGTGATGTTTCAAATGAATAGTTTGTAGTATATTTCCACGAACTTTGCCCTTATCTGTCTCTACAATATCCGTATATTCCGCATTAATGTTAATGATGATGAAAAATACCAGGAAAATTGACTGAAATAGTAAAAAAAGTAATGCCATATTGAAATGAAGTGAATTAAAAAATTAATGCACTGATGAATTCTAACTAGTGTGCATATAATATCAAGAATATCAGATATATATAGCTGGTAGTAAACATTGTTTAACATTCAACCATTTGATATTCGGTATTACTAATGTAAAAAGATAACAATAATTATGCAAGAAATGCATTCTTTGACTTAGTTCTGAAAAAATGTTATTAAAGTTTTAAACTTCGTTTTCACAGGTGGCTGAAAGGTCATTTTGTCAAGAGGTCATTGATCGGTATATTACATTTCAAACGGAATCTCACTTTATTCCAACTCAAGTACCATTGATATTATTATCTAATTCAAACAATCGAAATAGTTTTATATTGAATAAAATTAGTCATGCGTGCGTCATTAAATATTGCAACCATTCAGATCTTATTTTCTTAAGACTATTTACAGTCATTGAAACAAATGAAAAGTCTTCAATATTATTTTTAATAACAATGTCGTTTAGTGAAACAATATCGTGAGGAAATTGTTGCATACACAAAACAACTAAAATGCAAGAAAACTATCATGAAATAAATATTGAAAGGATTTTTTCAGACATACTTCATTTACATTAAGAATCAAGATAATTTTTTGATGAGTTAAATTAATTAGTTATTTTTTTTCATAATTATAGAACAAAGTTTTTTAACAGAAAATTACTCACATATAATAGACATCTTATTTAGTGCCTTGAAAATCTTTTGAAATACGAGTAAATTAGGAAGTAAATCGAATCATTGAAATTATAATTTTGGTAAGAAAATATCAATATTTTTACAGCCTCTACTCTTTAATTCATTGAGTTTTTTTTCTCAATTAATCTCATGTATTATAGGAATTGAATGTAATTTTGATTCTTAAATAATCTAATACATGTTTTGATATTTCATTGAAATCTTTATTAGAACGAAATTTTTCGTCCAAACATGTTATGAGCGTTTATAGATAATGATACTAAAATATTCTCTTGTTTAACATTTGTCGGTAACGTCATTTTTCATTTACTCGGCCTTGTCAATGTCGGATTTGTACCCAATGAGCAATTACTAACCGCTGGAACGATTTTTTCCTATATTGAGTTCTCGATCTCGAATTTTTTAAGCTTGAGCTTAACTGGAAGAACTATAAAATTCAAGATTATATTAGAAATATAATATTTTCATACATAAAATAATTTGTTTTCGTATTAAAAAGGTACAAAGTTCTGTCGTAATCAACGACAATTACCAAAAATTCCTTAAAAAATTAGTTATTTATTTTTCATATCTTCAAATTAAGATGGCCGTTCAATGACACCAATAGAACATTGTCGTACATCAATTTCTTACGGAACTTTGATAATTTCTCTTACTAGGAATAGATCTTTTTACTTTTCTCATAACAAAAAAAAATTATTTCAAATCTGAGAACATGACATTTAGGATATATCCACGAATTTTATAGTTTTTTAATTTCGTCCATTCTTCAAAAATTCGAGATTGGAAACTTAACCTAAAAAATCACCATACCGACGGTCGGTCATTGCTCATCAGGTACTAACCAGGCATTAATGAAGCCGAGTGAGCATCAAAATTTCAATTTCTAATAATACAGTATTACAACAATTAATTCTTTAAATTTCTTTACAAGAACGATCCTTTCTTTCAAAACAGGCACACCACAACATCTAAAGTAAACATTCTTAGCTCGTTAATATGTACTTTATACAATTCAAATAGACAAGAATTATAATTTACAATACACAAAAAATATAACATTTTATATCATTACTTTGTTTTGATTTTCAATTTATTGATTTCTTATAATTTATAAACAATTTCAATTTCTCTTCTAAAACTAACGAGATTCAAATACTCATTTAGTTAAATTCATTTCATTAATGAAACGACATCATCAACTTATCGTCTCATATTGTATATAATTTAATCAATTCGTACATCTTAAACGTCTTATTTTACATCCGTATATTGTGCTGTTATTTTTTTTTTCCTTTTTCTCTGAAACTTCATTGACATTTAAGTCTCCTTACTATTCATTATCGATATAAAATTCACATTTTTTTGGTAAGTCAGAGTTTATAAACTGTCATATGAATATTACCATTTCTTTCCGTTAATTTACCACATCATTCATTATAATTATTTTACAATAATAAAAAGGGCATTATTCATTTTTAGTTATTTAATATTTATTTTGGAGAATAAAATCATAATTATTATTCAACTTGGTTCATATATTTCTTATGATATGAAAATATTAAAATTAATATTTACATATTACATATACAGTTTCCAAATATTATTTTACAGACCGGCATGGCGCCAATAAAACAATCACGAAAAAAGGCTACTACTTCTGATTGCAAACAAAGAAGTTGCTGTTGTGCCGATACTTCTGAAACTGATTCTAGTGATTATTCCGATAGTGATAGTGACTCATCTGAAACATCAAATTCAACTGAATACTCATCTGCTTCTTCAACTACATCCGATTCAACTACTGATACCGATGAACAATCATTCACTTGGGAATGTAATTGTCAAAAAAATCGCAAACGTGGTGGGAATAAAGTTGCTAAAGCTCGTGCTTCTGCTACAGAGAATAAACGTTCTAAAAAACGTTCATCACGTCGTAAAAGTACACATTTTTAATATTACTCATTACTGTGTTAAATATCATTTTTATACATCTTTTGTTTTTTTCGTTATTTCAGAATTATCTTCATCATCTTCTTATTCATCAGACGATTATAATCATGGTTGCGGATGCAAATCAAGAAAAAATCGTCGAAATTATTGTGTATGATAATACTTCATTTTTATTTCTTCACTGATCACTTAAGTTATATTTATCAATCAATTATTTTTTACCTTTTTATTACTTTTTTCTAAATTAACAATTAATCGAGCTGTATTTATTTTTATACATATGTAGATATATATTTATACTATTGTTAAAATATTGCTGCTGGTTGGCATTTTATATATTGAATGATTTTATTTTTACCATGTACATTTATAAAATGGCAATAATTATAAGATAAAATTCACTCAAAATACTTTTCTTTTTTTAATAATAAACTCTACAATTACATAATAAAAATAATGATCTATAAATTCATCAACATATTATAAATTCACTTTTATTAATCACAATTATATAAATTTTTATACGATAAAATATTCTGAGTGATACAAAATTGTATAAAAAAAGCAAATGTTATTATGTTACAATAGCAGCACTCAGAACAAACCATGAACTTCAAAACAAGTGCAGGCACGTTGCAAAATGAGCACGTGACAATATCTGATAAATACACTTTATGTTAAGACCTTAAATTAACATGATAATTTATTGAAATAATCAATAAGTTACCATGCTTTTCATTATGATACCTTTATTATATAATATAAAATTATCAAACATGATTTCTATATTCAATGAATCATCAAGTATGTTCAACTAGTGTAATTATTCAAATATGCAATGTTCTTAATTAAAAATGCCCAAGTTAATGATAATTTTTCCATTATATTTATATCATTATAAAATTAGTTCTTTTATTATCAATTTTAGTGGAATTTCAAGTAATGTTTATTCTTTCTCTAAATATTATATGATACAAAATTTAATGTACTCGTCCATTTGCACGTTTCAGTATCAAATTTTAACGTCTCAATTATACAGTCAATAGTAAGATAACGACCATTTGGTTTTCTTGAACTTATCCGAGAGTCACGCGTCGCTTACTAATCAATTGCAGTTTGTAAACATAGGTATTAACCAAAAATAGAATAAACATTTTATAGTCGCGTGGACTGACAAGTGTTTGCTCCTGTAATAGCATCACAATAACGACAGATATCTTTAGTTAAATATATAATTTAATTTATTAGTATACATTGTTTAATAACGGTTATTAATTGAACATTTTTTCATTATCATTATTATTATTATTATTATTATTAAAAATTTTTATATATATTTATATACTATCGTGTATACCTTGAAAAAATTTTATAGTTTAAATTTTAAATAAATATCATAAAAATTATCACATATCTTTTACTTAATGAAACATCGTGTTATACTCAATCATTTTATTCCGTGAAATACATGATACAAATAGATTACGTAAACTATCTTCATATTACATAATCGTTAGACCACATGCATTCAACGTCCTTAGTCATATTACATTATATAGTTTGTAACATTTTTAACAAAAAATACTTTACAATATGAACTTTTCATTAAATATTTCCTTGATATACCGAGTATATGTATAATCGAATATTTTTTCATACTTGTAATAATAATTATTTGTTGGTTAATAATAAAATTACGATAAATTCAATGATAAAGAAATGATTTGTAATAAATTATGATCTTGACCTACTTTTTTCTAACACTTACACTTAGTAATTCTGCCTTTATTAGCGCTATCTTTGACCACCATGCACTCAAATTTAGCTACTTTATGTTTTATCGCTCTGACTATTAACTTCGATTTTCTGATAGAGGGGATAAAGACCTTCAATTAAAATTTTGCACAACATGCATTGCTCCAGAAACCTACTTTTCATTTGTATTTGTGACATTGCTACGATTCATGACTTTTATCATCACTCCTTCTATACTCTATATCATATGTATTATAACTACTGTATATTTAAATTAAATCAACTGTATAAAAAGAATATAGTAGTATCAATATTACAATATTTCAAAATTATTTCAGTATTATGACTGTATGGATAATTATCCAAAACCATTATATCACACCTGATTGATATCAATAATATATAAATATTTTTTTTCTTAATATTACTGTTAAAAATTCGAGACATTTTTATCTTTTTTAACATTTTTGTATTTACTTAAATTGTGTGAGTTAAAAAATCAGACATTGAGGAAGGTCATAAAAACAACTTTTAAAATTTATATTGTATTATAAAAATAAATATGAAAATTCTCAAAATATGTTACATTTTTTACATTTAATCATAATAATTTTTGAAATAACATTTATTCATTACTTTTAAACATTCAAATAAATATTAACGAGCTGATTAATTTTAATGAAATTATTAATAAATAAAATGTCAATAATTATTTCATATGTCAATGGTAATTTCGCAACTTAAAATCTCAACATATTGATGATGTATACATGTATGAATAAATTGATTACATCATGTTATGCAATTGTTTACAACTCTTATGAATTGTTAAGTCTTATTATTGTAAATAATAAATCATAGAGTTATTATTATCATACAATAAGTCAACCATGTCTAATGTGTAATATAATAAATATGTTGATTACCTAAAAATAAATTGTGCTGAGTCCAACAAACACATTTACACGTGTAGTCTCAATTATTGGCTTTCTCAATTATTAAGACGCACTTAATTTATTGCGTTTAAATTAAATGATATTTTTATTGAATACTGCGTATTAATATACATGAAATAAAGATTACAATTTATTGTGCAAATGTGTCATTTATATTTTTATTTACCATTTGTTCACATTATAAAACTGGCTAAAATCAAGTAATTTCTATCTATTAAAACTCATGACTTACTGTCAGACAAAGAGATACAATTACAAAAACCGTTTGTGTGAATATAAATAAATATTTATAATATTTTTTTTTATAAAATCATAGAAATTATAATTCAATAATGATAATATAAAAAAAAAAATTAAAAATTATCGTAACAGATCCCAGAAAACAATAATTAAAGAATACAAAATTAAATCGACCAATCAGAAAAGTGTAACCATTTTAATTGTGCGCTGATTGGTGAATTTTATTGTTTAATTTCCGAAATAAATAAAAATAAAAATTAAATAATTTTTTTCCGTTATCGACTTGAGACAGCACTCTCAAAAAGCGTGCAATGTATTTCTAGTATCAAATTAATTATCATGAAATATAAAAGTAACAATTGTATCATGATATAAAAACAAAGACGAAATCTGAAAGATGTCTTAAGATAAAAATGTGATAAAATAACACAAATTATTGTCGATTTTATTACTTATGAATCAAGGCTTTAGATATCAGTAAGATTATGCAATAGTCCACATTACTGTCTTGAACGGTATATGTAATATGAAGAATGTATCACCGATGGTATATATAAGGTGGTAACAATACAACTATACATGAGAATTGAACGGGTGAGAGATCGATGATCTTTTGGTAATCGGCTTCACGTTTCAATTAAACACACAAGTCAAGACATAGTAAGTTTAAAAGTACAACATTACTGATTCAATCGCTATTGCAATTCACTCCACGCCTACAATTGCGATGAATATTACCATTTTATAAACGTTGAGCAGAATAAGCTGAAAAAAATTTTTAAATAAATGTTTTATCAAAATATAAAACTTTGCATCGTGATGTAGACTATTAATAGTATTATTGTTTTTTTTCTGTTCAGTTTAATCATGAAAACTTGTGATTTCAATGCATAAAACGTGACAATTGACTCAACAATTGAAGACACGGTTTGGCAAATATCTCGATTAACGTTGGACTCGTGAACATTGCACAACATAAAAGTAATCAATACAATAGTATTTGAGAGCGCGTGAGACGTTACAGCATCGACGATAATCCTCACGTGTCTTATAAATGGTAACGTACACGCGTAGTGATTCTGCTTAAATGATAAAATGATTTAATAGTTACTCCTTTTTGTCATATTATCATTATAATAATTATTTATTATTATTTTTTATTTTTGTTTGATTTTTAAATAATATAAATGTGATTAAATTCACATTACTTTACACCAATTGTTACATGAAAAATGTTTAAATAATCAATAAAATCAACACGAGACATAAAAAACCCTTGAATGAGTACGATCAAAGAAAGCACGTTGCATAAAACGTGCCTGTTATTAACGTCAGCATTTCATTGAATTTTTTTTTAAAATAGCATCCACCCTAAACAGAAATCAGTAAATTCTGTGAAAATTTTTACTCGATTCTCTTCGTAATAATACTTGATATTTTTTTTAAAACATTCAAATGTATATTTTTAATTTAAAAATGAATTTTAAATTCAAACATCATTGGTACATGTAAAAATTAATAATACATACTTACAATTGTACATATATATATATATTTATTTATTGGAGAATGTTGATATAATAAAAAGGTTAACTTTATTTAGTAATAATAATAATACCGTGTAATATACAGATTATCAGTTACCATTCATTGAAGTGAAAGCTAACAACCTTGATTTAATAATAAAGGTTGCAGCCCCTGTAAAATATGTGTATACTAGACAATATTTATTCATGTATCAATTAGCCTAATTGCTGTAAATTGTACATAGGCCTAATATTTCCCGAATAAAAATGATCAATTTTCGAGCGGGCCCAAAAGAGGCCCGATTTAAGCCCAAATCATTTTTTAGGCTTACAGAAAATATTTTTAGACTTAAATTGGGCGTTTTTTGGGCCTGCAAAATATTTTTAGGATCAAAGTGAATGTTTTTTAGGCCTTGAAAATAACTTTTGGGCTCCTTCGAAATTTAAACCTGTAATGGACTCGTTTTGGGCACTGAAAATTTCTCCAAGTCAAGATTGGGCTTCAATAGAGTCTGTATTGAGCTTTTTTTGGGCCTATTAATTTTTACTCGGGTTAAAACAAGTGATTAATATGGTAGAGTTGTTATACATGTGATAGATAACGTAATGAATTTGTCAGAAAGAGAAAAAAAAATTTCACTAGAGAATTTATTCAACTTAATAGTAGTATTAATTAATCAATTGATAATAAAACAATAGTTAGAGGTCACATATCTAGCTTTATTACGTAATATAATAGAAATATATCTAACGGTACTAAAAATGATAGTCATCATACATA